AAAAAATTATTTGCGTTCAACAATGAATCAAGATCGTTTGGCATCGCTCGCACTTATGTCTATTGAATACGACATTTTGCGTAGTTTGGAATTCGACAGCATAATACAAGATTTCGTTGAATCCAAAAATCGCAAAAAAGTAATATATTAGATCATAAGATTCTGCAAAATAATTTATTACCGAAAAATATTATATTTTTATTTGTATCTTCATAATTTTGTGCAAAATACACTTGTTGTTTTTAAAGCTAAATTATTTTGGTCAATAAATTTTTTTCTCCCAAGTTTTTCGTAGGCCCCTGAATTTCGTAGGCCCTAGGCACGTGCCTAGTGTGCCTATAGGATAATCCGGCCGTGTTGTCATATCATTTTTTAAACAATTCGAGTACTAATAAATGATTTAAAAATAAGCAAATTTTTAGTTTAAAAGGTAAAAGAGTTTTTGATTTGTTTAAAAAGTAATTATGCTCCATCATTCGATCATGAGACTATTTAATATCTGTTCCTAAGGAATCTTGTTCAGAATTCTTTTTTATTTCACTTTATTGTAAAAATGATATATTTAATACTTTCATGTGATATGTTGCAGTTTAAAATACCTAAAAGATGACCGAAATTGTCAATAAAAAAAAAAACAGTTAATACTTTTGAACATGAATTTAAATAACTCCATACGTTTTGTTTGACTATCTCATTTTATATTATCGCAGTATTTAGAGCAGACAGTTGCTTGTGGGTGGGGATGATATAAGTAAAAAAAACAAAATCTATTTATGCCCTGAATATTATATTTTTAAACTTCTCGCAAAAATGTAGTAAAAAATAACTGTCGCAAACAAATTAAGTAAGTGCGAAACAAAAATGATATCAAAATATGCTGAATCACTAGTGAGACAGGTGGGATGAAAGACATCGAAGCCAATTTGATTGAATAGTAAAACTGGAAGGTGTTTCTAAAATCTGGAAATCAATCAGGATTCAATTTGTTTTTGTCACAAAATTTATCAGGGGCTATTCATTAGATTTCAATATTGGATATGTTTTTTCTTTGATTAAATATTAAACATTAACACATATTTGTCTTTTAAAACCTTTCATTCTATAATAAAAATAATTATTCTATAATTGTTATTCTAAAACTAATTGCTAATTGATATAAAGCTACAGTGTGTTCCATTGATATATTAAATGTCTTCTATCGGCGGCACCCCGACATTGCGATTAAAGTTTATTAAGGTAATTACTTACACTATAACCTGAAAACAGACTATTTTTAAAATATTTAATTAGAGTAATGTAGAGTTTTCATCATTTTATCATTATCAGTCTTAAATAAGGTTTTATATTCGACTGTTAGATTTGCAGTCCTTGTGTTATATCTAGTCTAGTTTTTAATTTATTTTTGGTGCATATAAATTAAATGAATATTCATTTTCAGTTTATAAACACATTTTTATAAGCTGAAAATGAATAAGATAAGCAGAATTATGGTTTACTTCTAAATAAACTGAATATACTTGTTATAAATGTTAAAAATGGTAATTTGGAAAGCATTTTTCAAGAATGTCAAGTATTCAAATGACTTAATTTATTAATAAATATTTAAAAAAAATTAAAAGAATATCCGCAAGGCAGGTGTGTATATTTGGGGCTGAAGATTATGAAATCTAACACAAAACTTGTGATCGTGGATTCTATTCCAGCAGATGACAGTTTTTAATTATTATTTCTTAATACAGGAAAATGTTTTTCTTGTTATTTTTAAGTATGCATGTTAAAAACTAATAATTTAACAATTATTTAAAAAACTAGAAGACCATTTACATTTTGAAGATGATTAAATTTAGGCAAATTAATAAAATTGGTACCAATCAATAAAATTGGAGAATTGGTACCTGCCGCAGAGTTATTACTCAATAAAGAAGGACTCAAGAAGGGATAGAGCATTCCCCTCCGAATGAGGGGCACCGAGTTCGAATCCCAGTGATTGCTGATAGATATGAATTCCACACCCGGCTTTAACCGACCACAGTGCTGACGTGAAATATCCTCAGTGGTAGGCGGATCATGGGTTAGAGTCCCCTTGCTATCAGACTTTGTGGCTTTACTCTCCATGTAACTCAAATGCTGGTTAGTTCCATCAAAACGTCCTCCATGACGGCAAATATTTCTTCCAATACTTATCCCGAAGTTCACTTGTATGAACCGTTCAAAATTACAAGGCTACGGAGTTCAACATTAGTAGTCGTAAACTCGAAATTGGGTAGGCTGTTCAATGACTGTTATAAAGTAAACTAATAATTTGGCCACGATAGCTTGGTTGGTTGAGCTATGGACTCCTGTTTGTGAGAATGGGAGTTCGAATTTAGCCGGCCGAATAATACCCATGTATAAAATGGTGACTGGTGCACATTAAATCTGTCGGGGTCATAAACTCCTCCAAGTTTTCAGAATAATTCAATACCTCTGAGTACTGATCCAGGAGTTTCCTTGTCTTCTGGATTGGTTTTAAAATTTCAAGGCTACGTAGTTAAACATTGGCTCAAAATTGAGTCAGTTTTTCAACAGCGATTATAAAAAAAGACTAATAATCAAACTGTATTTTCTTGTATTCTTTCTAACTCCTTGCATATTTTCTACACAACTTCATAATTTGATGTTTCATTTGAAGTCTTAAAGATTTTGAGCTGCAAAGCAAAATGTATGTCTTTCAGGAAATTGATTTTGATGATGTGATAGAAGATTCACCTCTCAAAAAGTGCGAAAAGTATTGTTACCTTAAATTTTCGATAAAAATAATGTATATAAGCTTTTATAATTAATTTATATGTTTTCACTCTTAAAATAAAATAATTTTTAAAAATTATTCAAAATGATTTTTTTTTTCTAAATTTTCTCATGAAGGGCCCCCAGATAATGACAGGCCCAGGGCCCCTATAAACATAAAAACGGCTCTGCTTTGTTGGGTAAGATAGTATTATTTTTGTATTTGAAATTGTATTGAGAAAGTATTATTTTTGTATTTGTGGGGCTTTTTATAAATTTTAAAAAGCATCCAAAGACTTTTTCTGAATGTATATTTATTTCTGTACAATTTCTGTTGAAGATAATTAACAATTTTTAACTTATATTTTATAATTTTTCTTTTCAGTTTATTTCAGAGTCAGCCTTGCCATAACAAATTTACCTTATCAGCCTGAATTGGAACAAAAAACCTCAAATGAATTCAAAAGAATAGCAGAGGAAATAACGTTAGGTTTAGAAGGACTTTACAGGACAATTCCTGGCCAACAGGCAGTTACAGTTCTATCATTCCAGTTAGTCATTTTTTTCTTCTTTGATTTTGACTTTCATAAATTGTTTTCAATGCTTGAATGTCTTGACTAAATAAGTTATCACCCTGTATGAAATTCGAATGTACTTTTCAGTGTTTTAGACTACTATGTATACTGCATAAATCATTCCATAATGGTGTTTAATGGAACTCTAGGGCTTTGTGGAAGAGTTAAAGGGATACCACGAGTTAGTACTTTTTATAACCGAGGAGTTTTTAAACCTCAAATTATGTTTAGATCCAACCTATAATTCATAATTTATTTAATCTTTTAATTTGAAATTATATCAAGAAAATGCCAAAGAAATACAAAAAGTACTTTTTGAAAGAAAATATAATATTCCTTATAACAATATATTGAACAGATTAAGAAAAGAAAAAAACATTTATAAACTATTGCTTTAGTATTTCCCATTAGGCTTATCAAATCAAAATAAAATTATTATCTTTCTTAAAAGAATATATGTTTCTCTCAACAACATTTGTTCTCTCAACTCAGCTTATTTGTATACACCCAAAACAAATAATAACTAGACTAAATTTAGCACAAGGACTGGAAATTTACCTGTGAACATAAAACAAAATTTAAGATTATTAATAATAAAACAACTAAAAATCTTCATACCTCTAATTAAGTATTTAAAAATGGTCTTTTATAGGTTATAACAACAATTCACAACAATAATGACAGTTCACAATTACATCAATAAACTTTATTTATGAAGTCAGGGCTCTACTGAAAGAAAGTTGATTATTTAGTTTTCAAGCCGAAGAACTGGGAACCGCTGGTATAAATTATTATGAATGGATTAGAATGTGTGTTAAAAAATTGCTTTTCATTAAAACTCATTTATTAACTTTTTTATTAAGATTTAATAGTAGAGTCTTGTAAACTGACAAATAAAAATTTGTTCAGACTTATAAAATTTTTAAGCCTTTTGGACCAGTTACTAAAATTTCTTAATTTCTACCCTTGTTGCCTTATAATATTGGATATTTATTGCACTTTAAAAATAAATGATGATGTAAATTTCCTCATGTAGCTAGACATGTGAAATTATAATCAGTTCGATACTTTATATTCTATCACAGACTCTTGTTTAGGTACTAAAAAAGGTACTTATTGAAATATTTTTAATTACGCTGAATTTTGTTATAATTTTTTTAAATAACACAACTATTTATAATATTTTAGAAAACTACATTCCACAAGAGACCGAGGTGCTCTAGTCCAATTAGATATTGGTTCTCTTGGCAATGATAATGAAGCAAGTATTGAAAGAGTATTGCGAGATGCCATAAAATCTGGTTCCATCGCAAGATATTCGATTTCTCCAGAGAACTTCTCTGTTCGAGAGTTTGGTGGTACGTATAAGTAGTAGAAAAAATTATTTTATTTAAAAATATTTGAAATGAAGTCTTTTTAGCATATCCTTTTCATGGGAAACTTTTTTCGAAAATGTTTTTTATTTATTTTTTTTTAAATTTTTTTTTAAATTATTTTTTTAAACTTTTGTTGTCTAGTAAAATAATACCCATAGATTCTTTGAGAAATAAATTATTCAACTGCAATAGTTTGTAAGCTGTACAAAATTTGAAAGCTAATTGTAAAATTTATAATTGATAGTGTGAGTGTTGATTTAGTCTTTACTTTAATGTTCAGAAACTATAGCTCTTTAATTAGCTGGTTGTGAATTATAGTCGTTAGTGTAACAATTAAATAAATTTGTTGAAGTAATATCTAATAGATTTTTTAAGTAGTACGCACAAAATAAAATAAAAAATGGATTGTCTTAATGACTTTCATATAATTGAATTGTCAGATACTAAATTGCTGTCCTAATTATGCAAAAGGCTGTCCTAAATTATATACTGGTTAAACAGTAGAATAGGGTACCCATTGGATTTGGCACTGTAACTTGAAGCTTCAATGTAAATAATCAATTTTTCTATAATTTCTATCACCATTTCTCATTATTAGAAAGCCTCACTTTTAAGTCTTTTTTCCTGTTTTTCAGAAGAACATAAAAAAAAATAAAAAAATTACAGAAACTGAGAGGGGCCCCCTGTAAAACTTTTATCATTATGCTAATTAATTTGTGCAAACCTTATTTTAAGTTTCAAATTCAAATTTAAAATTGTATACTCTTTGAATCAAAATTTTTTTTCCAATGGATTTAAATTCTTGTTCCTAATTTATGAGAATAACCAAAATATGGGAGATAACTGCAGACTGGAAAATATAGTCTCATTAGTTTACACAGAGTGGCTAAGAATATGGACTCTTAAAAATTTTCCTTCTCAGGTATTTTTGCTATGTCTCAGGAAATGTTTAAGGGACACAAAAATATTTTTTTGCACGAAGATAATTGTATAGAAAATTGTTTTTTTATTATTCACAATTTTCTGTTGTCCAAATTAATATGGTTAAAGAATATTTAAGTTTAAAACCTAATTTTTATTTAAGTTTAAACAATGTAATTTTTAATGATTAAATCTAAGATTTGAATGAAAATAGTTCTTGGGAATTACACTCTCAATGTAATTAATTAGCGTAAGAGTTTTTTTCTTCTTCTGATTTAATGGACAAATTCTTTCAATTTTTCCATGTTTTAAATTTTTTATTTCATTTGAATTTTAATAATTAATGAGCAGCAGTAAGAAAATCTGTATGAAAAGCATGAAATATCTAATTTTGTGTCATTTTTAAATGAATTTTTTAAAAAATATTTTTGTGCTCATAAATAAATATTTCTGCAATGTTTTAATTCTTTTAGAAGATGCTGGAAGGTCTTTACAACCTGAGTCCTGTCGCATTGATGAATTGAGTTGTTCGTCTGGTGAATGCATTAGTATAGAAAAACGATGTGATGGTACAGAAGATTGTAGAGATGGGTCAGATGAAGTTGGCTGCCGTAAGTAGATATTTATGTACTTTCAAAAGTAATTTTAAGATGCCAATGTATAGCGATCTCTATGTGTGCATAAATAATAGCTTAGATTTTAAACACTAGGAATTTAGATGTAATGAATCAAATTTTTCTGAATGTGGAATAAATTTTTTTCCTGTCCGAGAAATCTACATTGTCTATTTTCAAAGTTTGTATTTAAAAAATAAAATGCAAGAATGATGAATCCTTTTAAAAATTTTTTGTAGACAATCCCGCTTAATGTCATGTGTGTTTATAGGAATAAAATTTAGTGAAACCAAATTATTTTTGTTTGTTGTCTTTCAATGCTTAACATCTTAGAAAAGAGATACTAAAATTTAAATAAGAATTATTCTTTGTAAAAAAATTATTCTTCGTAAATATTTTGACCTACCAGAATTTTTATCGTTGAGGATAAGAATGCAAAACGTGCATTATTTTGAATAATTTAAATCAGCAAAATTATCATTATTTGCTCCAATAAAATCAAGAGCTAATTATGCAATGAATGCAAAAAGGAAAGATTTTAATTAAACCAGAAAAAGCAAACCATAAAATGCAAAAACATTCTATATATTCATAACAATCCAAATTGGTTATGCATGAAAATGTACAGTATCATGATCATTTTAAATTAATAATTCATAGAGTTATCATAACTAATTTTGACTACAGTATCTCTCTAATTAATAGAATAACCTATTTATTCAACTACAGTTGGCTGAAACCAATGCTTACCAATAGTTGGGAAGACTGTATTCAAATTTTAATTTAATTTGCTACAATTCTGGTTTTTATGCTGTTATATTTTTATAAAATGAAAACATTGTCACATTTATTTTATGTTTCTTTATTAGTTACATGATATTTAATCTCCAAAGCTGTCTTCATATTAATTTTAAAAAAAAATGTGTAGTTTTTTTCTCAAAACGCTCACTAGTTTTATATTATGTTATCTGAAATAATATATATCCGAATAGATATTCCAAGATTTTCGAAATTTTTATTTTTATTTTAGTTTAGATTTTAAATTAAATTTTTTTAACACTTGTTTTGATTTTTTTGCTTAATTTTATATGTATTATCCTTTTACCAAAGTTACCTGTTTATTATTTGTGCAACCTTCATTTGTTATGTACTGTTATTCACACCTGCATTCTCTAAATGTCTGTTCCTAATTTGTAATTGTTGAAGTATCTGCCAATCATTTTAAGCATTAGTTAATCTATTTTTTGCATTTAAGTATGTTAAATAAGAGTTAAACTGTGAGGAAAAACTGTTTTTAAAATATCAAGCAAATTTTTGACTTGTAAATTTCATTAGTGTGTTAAAAATAGAACAATAGATTAGGTTATAATTTGTAAGTTTTTTGGTAAAGATCAGATTTTTTAATTTTTAAATGTTGGCCCTACAAAAGTTTCATCTTGGGTGCCTAAACTAGAATCAAGAAATATTTTTTAATATGATAAACCATGGTGCTGTGGTATAGTTCACTTTCCTGTGTTTTGTTTTGTGTTTGGCTGTTGTCACTTGTCGTCTGTTTGGCTATGAGCTGCTGTGTACCTTTCCTTGCAAACCCATCTCAAATCCTGGTGTTTTCAAACCAAATTAAGAGCGTTGTTAGATTAGTTCTTGAAATTTGAATGTTGCAGTTCGGGGCCAAAGCTCTACTGTTCCGTCAAATCTATCTCCTAGTTGCCGTAGTGATAATCAAATGATTTGTCATGATGGAAGTTGCATAGATTCTGTTAGAATTTGTGATGGAGTTAAAGACTGCTCATTTGGGGAAGATGAAATTAACTGTGGTATGTTCTAATTGTATTGCATCAATAATTTTATTTTATATGTTTTAACATAGCACCAGAATATATGTAATGATTCCTGCTATATTTTTTTTTTAAACCAAGCTCTGAAGTTTAGTTTACATTACTATAAGTTACAGTTGTTTTGAGAATAAAGGATTTTTGGAAGACATTTTAGGAATCTTATACGTGGTAAGCAGTTAATAATGTTTAAAATTTAAACCATTTTTCCAGGTTACATATTAAGAGATCTATTGTAAAAGCTTAACGCTATTTATATTTTATAACTAGTATTTACTGGTGCAACCTTCTAAATTGTAGTTTTTAACTTCTAACATTTTATTGTCATAAAAAGTGATTTGCTTGTATAAAATATCTCATATATATAAGCTCTATTACAAACTTAAATTTGTGGGGGGCGGAGTGTATTAACTTCACGGTCGTAGTCGCTCCTGTGTTGACTTTAGCAGTCGAGTGTATGCAGGTTGACATAGTGTATGATCGAGAGGAGACTGAGCAGCAATAGTGTGAGGAGGTGGATAATGTCGCAGTCACAAGTAGCAAATCAACTGTTCAATGTGGACTATCCTAAGAAGTAGGCGTTACCAGATCGAAGTGGGCATTACTGTCAAGATAGGCATGATCATATCACGTCTATAAGGTACCTCCTGATTGAATCAAGTTAGCATGTCTTACATACCAGTGAATTGATGTTTAATAATCGTAGTGGTAGTTACGCCACAAATTCATATCCTTTACACCAAGAATGAACTTGTTCTCCAAATCTGCCATTACACAAAAGCTAGGTAATTTTTTTAAATTATTAATTAAGGAACAGTAATAAGTTTCATTTCTTAATTTTTCATGCTATTATTTTTTTATTCTTTTTAGTACTGGTCAATTTAATGCAGGTCAACTTGGAGTTTTGTACTAAATGATAAATGTTGCAAATTTTCTCTATTTTAATTGAAATTTATTAAATTTATTTAAAAAATTTATGAAATTATGCATAAATTTTTAAGGTATTACAAGTTGTCCACCAGGCCAATTTCAATGTGATGGCTCACGATGTGTTGAAGAAAGAAAAAGATGTGATAGAAGACCAGATTGTTCTGATAGAACAGATGAGCTTGATTGCCCAGGTAAATTAGTTTTATTACAGATATCTCTTCTGGTTGTTTATCTTCTTTAGGTAAACATTGGATCCAGGTCCATGAGACATTCATAAAGTTTGAATTTTTTTATTTCCCTAAATGCAATCTTGCACTGAATTTATAATATTATTTTATTTCATTGCTATGAGAATGTCATGCTGTTATATTTGTTAGGAAGACCTTTTCTTTACTATACCACAGCAATCGGATTATAAGCCAAGCTTTGGAAAAACATTTCCCACTGGGCTTTTACGTCAATAATCTAATCTTCTTATTATCTCTTCCTAATCTTCATTTTTAATAGCTCAATATTATTGGTTTTGTTGCTTACACTTAGCAATAGTTAATGCTAATTGGTTATTGTAAAAAGTACTTATACTTCACTAATGTTATAAGATGTAAAACGGATGTCAAGTAAGTTCCCAATTTTAATGAATACTCACTAGAAAAAAATTATTCGTGGGAAAAATAAAAATTCATAGAGAATTTCATTAGGAAAAAAATTATTTTTTTGAGTCAAACCAAAAGTATCTTTCAGCAATATGATGTCGCTAAAATCTTTTTGTTATTCTTATTTTCATGGCAAGAAAAGAAATTTAAAATGAATTGAAAACACTAGCATTTTTTGCAGTAATGTCAGTTATTGCTTTAAATTTTATTAATTTTTTAAAAATGCAATTTTGATTTTATTTTTGAATTTGTCCCAAATCTTTTTTATTCTTAAATTTATTCTTAAGGAATCCTGTTTTTGACTAATTTCTTTCCTAGTTTCTTATCTTTCTTTATTTTTATTTGTTCATTTTTTTTGCCTATTTATTGCCTTATTTTATTATTTTCTTTTATTATTTTTTTCCATTATTTTTAGATACCTCTGATAGAGAATGTCGTCCCGATCAGTTTAGATGTAGCGATGGGCAATGCATCGATTTAAGATTTAAATGTGATCGTAAATACGATTGTCGTGATGGGAGTGATGAAATCTCATGTGGTATGTTCCAAAACAGTAAAAATTGTGATTTTTTTTTAAAAAGGGAACACCTGTTTGAAAACCTAGTGTTTTACTTAAATTTTTTCTTGTTTTAAATGTACAGAATAACTGCTCCGATGAAACAATGTTTTGATATTAAAATCATTGTATAGATGTAGAAAGAAATATCATGCAACTTAAAATGTTAAATAACTCAGTTTCAAATTAAAATTCCTGAAAATGTTTTCCAAGTTTTTCTTTATTAATATTTTATATTTAATATTTTAATTATTTTTCTGACAACTTAAAAGCAACATTTTTTATTGCATATTTTAAGATTTTTTTAAAAAAATTTAAAGACTACAGGAAAGGCATAGATTTATAAAAAGATAGTTGGAACAGTAAACTTGTAAAAATGTTCCTTAAAATCTTATTAAAAATCAAAAGATTGAATTATCAAAAAATCTTATGTAATGTTACTTGTAAAATCTTTAACATTTATAAAAAGAGTAAATTATAATTAATGGAATTGAAGAATAATGACTTTAAAAGATTGCATTAGACATTGTTTAGGTTAAAGGTGTAAAGAAGTGTGAGTAGTGTGTTTGGAAGCTTATGTTTCATCTTATATTTGCTATGACTTTTAAATTAAAAGGACTGTTTTATAAGGCCATTTAAATCTTTTATTTGTGGAAGTTTTTCTGGAACATAATGCGATAAACCCTGTCATCTAAGCGGAAACTATAATTTGGTTGCAATGCTGTGAATGTAGTGAAAAAATTCTGAATATTTACTAATAAAGGATAAAAGCTGAACAAGGTTTGACAAAATTATGCAATGCATTAAAAAGATTTTCAGAAATATTGACAATAACGCCACATATTTTGACCGAACTTGTTTTCTAGAAAACATATTTTTTAGTATCATACTGATTAATACGTCTCACGGTTAGCCCGATGGCAAGGGGATTCTACCTATGATCCATCTACCACTGAGAATATTTTAAGTTAGCGCCAGGGTCATTGTGAGCCAGGAACAGAATTCATGTCAACCAGCTACTGCAGGGATTTAAACTCAAGTCACCTCATTGGGAGTCAAACGCTCTATCCCTTGAGCCACTGCAGCTCTCATTATTGACATTAAAACATTCCACTCTGAACAGTTTGAGAGTAATGTGTAAAAAAAAGTTTTTTTAAGGGGATTATATTCGTTGTTTTGCAACAAGTTAATCTGCAGAGGATTCCTTTTATGAATTATTTAAAAAATATTTGCCCCTCTAAATTGTCTTTTGTTAAATCTAATAATGTGAAGTTATTGGGAAGAACAAAAATTAAATTGCACACACTATGTGGCAGTCCAGTAAAAAAATTTATTACTGAACTCTAAAGAGCTCACGGTGCGCCTTAACCAAAGTTAAATAAAATGCTCTTACACCTAGAAAATTAGAAGAGATTCTGAATTTACAATGTTAACAGATAATAAAAATCAAAAAATCAAGATAATCTGTGGAGAGATTTTTAAAAAAATCCACTTTGAACATTTTTGCGCACTAAGTATGATATTTTGGAAAATCGGACGTCGTTTTATATCAATAGAAAGGAAAAAAATTATATAACAATGATTTTTCAGTTGTAATTCTATTAAACTTTTATTATTTAAACATTTTACTGCTGATAAAATATGAAAATGTAACATAATTTAATTATAATTACATCAATTTAAACATGTGAGGCATTATATCTACAGACAGCTCTCGAAAGGTGTTTAGAATAATCCGGGTGATTTGCAGCAACCTTATTAATTTCCCAGGAAGACTTTAAGAAATCAAAATGTACGGACTCCATCGCCTGCTCCCCAAAAAATGCTAATCCTTCACCGTTTTTGTCACAGAACTGTTCAATGTGAAAAAAAACTGCATGAACCTTTGCTGTAACGCTGACACCTAAGTCCATGTAGCTCTTTTTGAAAGCTTCTATACATGCTTTGAAATTTTGGTCAAGATTATTTCCGAAGCATGCAGAAACCACTTTTTTGAAGTCGTCAAATACTTTAACGCACTTCAGTATTTCTAGATTTTCAAACTGGTGCAGAAGTTCTTCTTTATCCAAAAGTGTTTTGCATGCATTTCCTTTTAACCCAGAACGTCCTCGTCTGATTTCACGCTGAACATGACAAGCTTTTGTCCATGTCAGCGATTAATTTTCACACTCTTTCAACATAAGCGTGAAAACAGTGTTAACAACACCAAGCATAAGGTGTAATTCTGGCGGTGGAATAATGTCTAGGAATGTTTTGCCTCCAACAGTTGCAATTAGCAGTGGATGAATGCAATTGAAATAATCTTTCGCTTTGTTTTTTGAACCTTTTCCTTCAGTCAGCCAACTTGTATAATACGATGAAACATTTTTGGGGGATTTCAATTCGCCACAGCTGCTTAGCTCATCTTTCTTGGTATAGCAATAAGTGCATGGGTATGCGCTGCTGTGCGACATTATACCTAAGATATTCGCTAACTTCAAATCGGTTGCAATTGTGCCATGGAAAGGATTTATATTCAACGTTGAAATGAGTTGATCTACATTCTTATAATTTTCTTGTGCACTCGGAACGGCTGCTAGAATGAATAGACGTTTAACTCCAGAATCCTTAAATTTCCTTGCAGCTATCCCCTCATCATACTTAGCACGCTTACCGCTGCACTCGAAGTCCAACTCATTTGATTGTACAGAAAGACATATTTTTAAAAATCCACCTCCTCCATCAATACCCATCTTTAAGTGAACATCCAGTACATTTCGTTTATTTTNCTAACAAATAGGGTTTTTTTTATTAAATTTAAATTTTGTTTATATTAAAATCTTGTATAATTATATGAACTCATATAATCGTCACAATAGTTATTGCTGATTAATAAAAACTCAATAGGATTTCATTTCTTTTAGTAGGCAAAAATAAGAAAATGTTTTTAACTCTGCAGCCATTTTATATTACTCAAATCATGGACAGTTAAATTTTTTATATTATTTAAAAATATGACAACTTTGCTATTTTATTCCGAAAAAATTGTTTCAGTAGTCCATGTGTAATATCTTCATTATAATTAATAACTGAAGTATCATACACATACTTAATAAGGTTTAATAATTTTTATATTCGTTTTGACACACTGTTTCCATAATTAATCAATATGCTTAACTTTTTCTGAAAAAGTATTTTCATGTTCAAGCTCTCTTGATATTGCTGACTAACCCACACCACTATCTGTATTTCTAAATGGTAAAGTTCAAGATTTAAGCACGAATCATTCGGAGTAATATTAGGCTGCAGGGCTCTTATTCGTTTCTAGTATTTTATTTAATTAAAATGACCAATTTAATTTTTCTAATAAACATTACATATATTTTTTAAATGAAGTTAAATAGAATAATTTTCATTTATTTTTAACTCATTTATGTTTATTAATTATTATATATTTATTAATTTTTAATAATTACTATATATATATATATTATGTATATTAATAATTAATATAATTACTCATATATTAATTTCTTAATTTTATTTCAAAGCCTAATACTTATAGACTAAGGGGAGTTTTTTTTAAAAATTATTTCTTTGCTTTTTTTGTTTATGATTTATTTTTTTATCATTTGTTGTTTATTTGTTTTTGTTTATTTTAAAATTTGTATTTACTTAAATTTAGAACCTAAAGTGTGTGAAGCAAATGAATTTCGATGCGGTGATGGTCAGTGTATTAACTCAAATTTACTTTGTGACAGAAAATATGATTGTTCAGATGGTTCCGATGAATTTTCTTGTGGTAGGTAGTTTCTAAATTGCAGAACTAGTTTTGTACATAATCTAAATAAATGTCAGCTAAGCATTCTATTTAGACCAAATAAAGTTTCGGGATAGCTGTTAAAATTAGTGATCAATTTTATATATTTTTTAGATGAGTTATTTATCAGTATTAAATAACATCGATCTATAAAACTACACAAGTTCACAATAGAAATGGGATTATTCTTTTAATTAGTTAATCGGTCTAAAGTTAAAAAAAAAATTATATCTTGAAAGATTTTATAGCATAAATAATAAAATATTGTTCAGCTAAAAAATTATTGTACTCTAAAGCTTATTTTTTTAAATGGTAGCTTTTTTTAGATAAATTGTTACTACAAATGTACATATGTCTTTAGATTACAGTTTAATAAAGGCTTTTAGATAAACTGTATTCCTTAAATAAATAACCTCTGCTTTTGTTATAAAATTTCATTTCAAATTAATGCATGTTCGATAAATGAATGTCGCTTTTTGAATATGTTTGGTGTTAAGTTTCAAATGTGATACTGACAATGTTTTACTGATAATTCAAGTGATACTGATCATGTGGTAAAAACATTTACCTAATAATATAATCAATTACAGTGAAAAATCTTTATAACGCAAACCTTGAAACCTGAGGCATTGCGTTTTATAAAATTTTGTATTATATTGATCATTTCACTTACCTTCTAAATATGGCAACATTGGTATGGAAAAGATCAATCTTAAAATGCTTAAAAATAATTTTTAATTACAAATGCTTGAAAAATACAAAGTATGCATTTAAGTATTTATTAATTACAGAAAAAAATTGAAATTTTCTTCTGCATTAGTTTTTGAAATTTAAACTTCTTAATAATGCAGAAAGTTAATAGTTCTTGCTTAGTTATAGAAATTTCTTAAGCTCAAATTTCATTATTTACACCCCTAAAGCTAGTGTGGTATATGAAGAATTGTAGTTTATGGAATCTCCTACTGTAGTAAAATTCACTAACATTTCAATTATGTTATCAAGTAGTAAATCCTTTTTCACTTTAGTGAAAAAGGTAAAAAGAATTATTTTTCAATGCTATGTTTACTCTTTATATCTATTTCAGTATAATGCAAATGAGATATATCTGGATTATATGCATGAAAAAATGCTTCTTTTTTAGTAATTTTGAGTTAAAATAGGTGTATTTTATTTTTCTTTATCTTATAATTTATTTTATTATTATTTTTGTGTTTTATTTTTGCATCATTTGTTGCTTTTTAGTTTTATTTATTTTTTAAGTTGCATTTACTTAAAATTTAGAACCTAAAGTGTGTCAAGCAAATGAATTCCGATGTGGAGATGGTCAGTGTATTGACAAAAACTTACGTTGTGACAGAAAGTACGATTGCACAGATGGCACTGATGAATTTTCTTGTGGTAGGTTGTTTCTAAATTTCAGGACATGTTTTGTACCGAACCTAATAAAAAATAGGTTTTCTATTTTATTTTAATTCAAATAAATTTTAGGAAAACTAGTATAAATTTGTGTTGGTTGTGTGATTGAAAATATGATTGTTTGGATGGTACTGAAGAATTATCTTGTTTGATAACATTTAAGCTGTTTAGCTCATTCTGTTTTATCTAAATGCATCTAATCGCAACTTTTTATTTTATACACGACAAAATTTTAGGTTTTGATTATTTAAAAAAAATATATATTTCAAATTTTTAAAAAATATAAATAAAAAACTTGTTGGTTATGTCCTACTTCCTCCAATAAACTTATAATTGAAAACATTTTGTAGCAAATTTGTCAGAAATTTCTTTGCTAAACTTGTATGCTCTTTCTTATATTTAATGTTATTTCGAATTTTTATTCATTATTTCATTGACTGCCATTTTCAAGTTAAATTGCTTAGGTTTCTCATACTTAGGTTACAGGGTGGGCTGGTTAAACTTCTGAGAAAATTAAATTTTTTTTTATCTTGAACTTTTTTAAAATACACTGTTGGATTATAAAGTAGTTATTGTTGATTGTGAGTTCAAGTAAATAAAATAAAACGTTAGGAAGATCTTATTTTAAGTAGTAATTTGTTTGAAAGAAAAATGACTTTTACATAAATTGTTTTTACCAAATAAATATAACTTACAGCATTTGTAAAGTATATGAATAAAATAATTATAAATCACATACATTTTAGATAGTAAAATAAATACTACTTGTGAAAAAAATCAAGTTGTGAATTTGTAGTTCATACATATATATTTTTACCATTTTAGATTCCCAAACCTGTCAGAGAGATGAATTCCGTTGTTCAGATGGTGAATGCATTAATCTCAGTCTTAAATGCAACAATAGATATGATTGTCGTGATGGATCAGATGAGTTATCTTGTGGTAAAAAAAAATTCTCCTAATTTAAACAATTTATGTAACAATAAATTTTTTGGATCTGCTGTATTTTATGCATGTAAAGAAAAGCAAGTTGAATTAGACTAGTTTGACTGTTTAGTAAAATTTACAGATAGTTCAGCTGCATTCAATGAAATTTTTTTAAAAAATCCCGAAATTAACTCAAGCTCACTGTTTTTACATTAAGCTTCATAGTATAATTCTTAATCTTGCAAAAGTTTCTTAAAAGTACCAAAAGTAGATTCCCCCCCCCCTTAGTTTCGAGTTGTAATCATACAAAGGAGGTGCAGCAACAAAATGCTGTATTTTCATTACTTGACTTCTTTTTTTTTTTGGTAAATAAATTAGCTATAAAAATTTTATGCTTCGTTTTACTCAAATTTCATTTCATTAGTGCCTCTATGGAGTAATCTAAGCAAAGGTATTTTTATTTGGGATGTCTTTGTTGAAAAATTTGGTAGAAGAAAACAAAAGCAAATCTCACTTTATCTAGCTGAAAGTTGAGTTTATTGAGTAGTTAGTACTGAAATTTCTTATGAAATGGTGAGTCTTACAAAGTCTTACCTGCCAGATTTCCCAAATTTTGTGTAAGATTTTTTTTATTTTTTATAATCCATGCATTTTGTATCATCTTTAAAAGTTAAAATGAATTTAGCCACCACTACACATAAAAAAATTAAACATGTGATTATCATGCAATTGTTTGCTTACATTCCGGTATAATAAAAAATTAACTAAGAATTGTTAATCAATTGTCATCTCTCTACCACTTAAAGAAATCATCATAGTACCAAGTAAAAGTTGGCAGGTATTCAAAGCTATAATTACTCAGCAGGTCCTTGATACTTTTTCTTTCACTTTATTTGAACTAACTTGCTTATTACTTATTGACTATGCAGCTTTAGTTAGTGTTCAGTACTAACAATATACTATATCAAAATTATGATAGAGATCTTGGTTATGGGCAATCTTTGTTTTTCATGCATTTTTTTAAAAGCTATGCTTATACATGTTTAAAGAATAGTTTGTATTTGTTACGTGAGAGATTAGGCATTCTGAACATTAAGAAAAAAGAGACTAATAGTTTCTTAGAACTAATTGCAAAAGTTTGATTTTGACATTATAACAATTAATTTTAAGTTACTTTAGTTAATCTTTATATAACAACTATTTCCAAGTATCAGATTTATTAATGCAAAAGTTGAACTTTTATTTAAAAAACTATTTATACAATTCCAGTGAGAAATTTAATGATTGTCGCATATTTTGTTTTAGATTTTTATTCTCTTTTGAAATGATAAATCATGAAGTTCAGTATTTTAAATAATTAATATTTTAAATACTGCATAATTTAATATAACTTAATGTTTATAAACTTTCCTAATAAAAATTTTAATTGGTAAAATACTAGTTTAGTGTAATTTGTTTTAGTTTTTTTAAAAAAATATCTTAATGTGAGGAATGAAAAAAGTCTAATATTTATATAAATATATTAAATAAATCTTACACCCTGTTCTATTATTAGAATGCTAAAATAATTATGTGAATATCGAAAAATCTAGAAATATATTGTTTTAAAAAAATTGCTTTCTGTATTTTGATTTCATTTTACACACATGCTTCTAGCCAAAACAGTAAAATTTTACTGCTAAAAAAATTTTTTACAACTAACTTTATTATCCAATAATCTAGTTCTTTATTTCTTGAATTAATTAGCTGCTAACTTACAAAATTCAGTATTTACAAAGTGTGACAATTGAATATTGGAAAGTCTAAAACATATACTCTATATGAAACTTACAAGCTTTGTTAAAAAATTATGATGTTGGCTTAAAAATTAATGTTGCTTGTTGTTCCTGCTAAAGAAATAGATAATATCTGCTAGTGTCAGATATTTCTTCTACCTGTGAAACTTCAAGCCGACCATTATTTTTGAGTTATTTATTCAAGCATTTTTGCTTTTTTTTGTAATAATGCTGTCTTTTAGTTTAAAGATCACTGTTTTGATCTCGCAATTTAGTTCCACACTGATAATTTACATTTTATTCCACATAATAGTTTATCACTTTGCTTCACAATCTTAAAAGAGATTTTTCATCTTGATTTAAATCTCTGTTGAATTTCTTATTCAAGTGACGTTTATATATGTAATTTATCTCTCTTATTATTTTTTTTAATACATTACCTGTATCAGAAACATGCTTTCCATTTATTTAATTTATCACACTCTGTTGCTTTTCTTCAACTAACATGTGCACAAAGCTTCCTCTTACTTCTTTAAGAACGTGTCGTCCCTGAATGTAAATCAGATGAATTCCAGTGTAGTAGTTCTGGCGATTGCATTAAATTCTTCCAAAGATGTGATTTTGTTGCTGATTGTCCCAATGGTGAAGATGAGAGCTTTTGTCGTAAGTGATATAAATATTTAAGATAGGAGTTTAAGAAAGCTGTTAATGTAACATTTAAACACAATATATCTGTAAGAATAATCCTTGGAGATGTAGTTAGTGTAACAATTTATTTCTTTAACAACTTGCCTAATTGATAATCTTTAAGTTTTTTTGTCACATTAGATTTAGAATCTTATTTCTTTAAAATATAAATAATTAAATAAAAACTCATCAGGAAAGTTTGCAGCTTATCTGAATTGAAAATGTTTCAAAAAGTATTACAGCCTTTTTTAACTCCAGTCTTTCATTATAAATATCGTGTTTGAATATTAAATGTGATAATAACAAATTTAATGTTTCCCATTTTTGTATTCTTTTTTTTCCATTGTTGAGAAGAAATCAAAATGTGCTTTATATTTTAAGATTTATTTTCTTTGATTTTTGATGCTTTTGATACCTTAAGCTTGAGTTATTTTTTCTTTAGTTTGCTCTTGATTATTTTATTTATTTTTACCTTTTTCTTCTTATTTTTGGAGTACATATAATGTTTAGCTAATGGGCAACTTAACATGAAAATATTAATCTTTGGAGCAAAAATAATGTAGCCCTATTTTTTTAGCTGTCCCTACAGCCATAAATTTATTCTTAAAATTGACTTATTATTTCATCAAAGGGCAATTTAACTATATGATTACTCTGAATTCCAAACTCAGTGTTTGAAAAGTGATATTTTTTTCAAAAATTAGCTGATTGATTAGTTGACTTTTTGATTTTCAAAAATGAAGTTTATTTTATTTTAGGGTCTCTAGATCTCAATAACAAATGTAATGTGGTTTTATTTAGTGATAACTGATTCAAATAACAATTCTAATTAGTTTTGGATAACTATAACTTTTCATATCATATGTAATAAAAATAGAAATCAAAGTTAAAAAACAAAACAAAAATTTTCTGACTTTTCATTTGTTATATAAATATGAAAGGTTTCTTTCCAGATAGAACATAAATATAAATTCTCATAAGTAAGAAAAAAAATTCAGTTCATCATGTTACAAGTAAAGGAAATTATTGAAATAAGTTTGAAAATATTACTTTACATCTTTAGATTTTCTTCATCATATGTTGTTAAATACATGCAGGTTAAGATCGCATGAATAAATTTAGATTCCCTTATTTGTTTTAAAATATCTTTTTATCAAATCAGGAAAATAAAATTATATAACAATTGTTTTTAAAAGTAAACATATATATATATTCAGCTATAACTAGAGCAATAATTCCTCAGGAACATTAAAAAAATTTTACCATTTCAGTTTTATGCAAAAACTTTATCTGAAATTTTTTTATCTTAAAAATATATTTGAATTCTAATCTATTTGATTTCAACAAGGATAATTGAACCTTCAGTTGTCATTCACTGTACTAGTGGGATTGAGTCTTGACCTTAGTAGATGCATAAACAACTAAATTAAAATTTTAGAAATCATTTTATGTACTCCTTCAGAATTTTGTTTTGCAACTTAGAAATTTATTTGTTTTTATTTTTATGTTTTGTTAATTTCTTTGCAAAACTTGCTTTAGAGGATATGCAATGTTCTCCTGATGAATTTCGTTGCAATGATAAAACTTGTATTGAAAGCGACCAACGCTGTGATGGACGCTATGACTGTCCTGATTATTCTGATGAACAAAACTGCAGTAAGTATTGTGTTAAAATTCACCATGAATGCACGTTCACCTGCATCATGTTTCAAGTTTGCTGCATACTCTGTTGGTGTTTCCTTACTACCTAACACTGTGCACACCTACTCACCCTTATTTACATGTAGTATATTTAATTACATATTTCTTATCTTGTTTTAATAAGAAAAATAACTATGAAGTAATATACAGTGAAACCTCGGTTAAACAGACACTCTTAAAACAAATTTAATTCTTCCCTTACAAGAGTACATTAAAAACAAAGTCTAATGCCAAAAATTATTTTTAAAATTATTGTAATAATGTAGAAATAATTAAATGATCTATAATAACTATTTACATTTATTTAAACTGTAAAAATTATAGTATTTACAATACAAAAAGAATGGCTGGAGAAATTATATATATATATATATATATATCCATAACTTTTGATGTAAAGACAGAGAAAGGCAGAATGTAGAATTAGTTTTAACAACGGCAGAAAAAGTGGGGTTCAGTTTTGAAGAGTAAAAAATAACATTTCGAGCATAAATGATTGTCTGCGTCCAGTTAGTGGAATGTCTGCTTTGCAGAGAATGTACATAGGTAATTCGCAGAAAATTCATGAGAAATTTTAAAAATGTTCAAGGAAAAGTGTTCATTTTGTTCATACATATTCCTCTTCACTCCGAATTAGAGCATAGGGCTTCTACTGCTGCTTTCCATCTCACTCTATTTGTAGCCAGATATTTTGCCTCTCTCTCTGTCTTTTCTATTATTTTTAAGTCGATTACATTCGTATTGAGCCAAGTATTTTTGGGTCTTCCTATTTTTTATTGTCCAGAGGGTTCAAATCAAATACTTGTTTTACTTTAAATTTTTCAGATTTATATAGAACATGACCAATCTATTTCCATTTGAGTTTTTTAATTTCCAGTTCAATCAGTTTCTATTTTGCTTTTCTCAGGATTTCTGTATTACAAATTTTATGGAACCACTCGATACGCAAGATACTTCTTAAACTTTTAATAAATACTTGAAGTTTTCATGCTATTTTTATTGCAGTGTCATGTCTCAGATCCATATTGTAGAACAGATTTAACATTAGTATAGAAAATTCTATTTTTTGTTGAATTTGTCTATTTTGTAGTAGTGCCTGAAACGTGAGGTTTCACTGTAATATTTTTACGTGTAGTTGTAATAATTTTTAATTTCTATTTCTAGCATGTTATGTTTGACTCATTTGATAAACATTCCTAATATTTTGTTATGAAATCACAAGATAATCTTGTATTAAAATATATTGTATGGTATTTTAAGCTAGAACAATACCTAGTTGTCTTGTTTTACTCAGTATTGCATGATCCTATTAGTAAATAAATTGAATAGTTTTGGAAAAAATATTTTCTACCTAAGTAAAATTAAATTCTCGCATAACTGAATGATAGATATTTTCAGAATTATGTTTTAATTATTATTTTGAATAGTTAAACTGATGTATATTTTAATTACTTTACACTTTTCAAAAAAAATCATGGTGCAATTTAACATAGCAGTCACAAGGTAAAAAGATAAATTAATTCAAGATTAGACATCTATTTCGTTATTTTAATATTAATTGACTATAAAGATAAATTTTTTTGTTCTTAAAAGATATTTTATGGCATTATATTAAAAATAAAAACTTATTTATGTGTTCTGAAATTTACTCAGGCATACTCAGGCATAAATATTTACTCAGGCATAAATATTTACTCAGATTTTAGAGTTTATTATAATTGATAGGTAATTTTAATAATTTTTAACTCATAAATATATCTACTCATTTGTTAATTAGTTTGTATTTTTATGCATGCAAATAGTTTCTATTAGGTCCAGTGTATTTTTCCATTTATGCATTGTGGTTTTAAACAAATATTTGTGTTTGCATCACTATATTTTTAATCATACAGAATACAGTGTCTGTTGCCATTTTAAAAACTAAGTTTTTTGCATTCTAATATTGTGTATTTCTGGATTTTTCATAGCTGGAGTTGTCTGTCCGTCTGGTCAGTTTCGCTGTGACAATGGGAGCTGTATTACTATGTCTCTTCGATGCGATGGAAGGCAAGACTGTCCTGACAGATCAGGTGCAGATGAAAAAGGATGTCGTAAGTATTTTCTTAAATAAAATTTTTTTTACTCATAAATATTGAATAGAAATAGGCTTTCATATCTAACTACATTAAAACAATTTGCGACATTTAATTTGGAATAACTTGCCACTATTAATTTGGAACAGCTGGCCATTATTAATTTGGAGTAACTACTTGCATTATATAAGTATTATTTTTAATTTTTAAACTTGCAGTCAATTTTTTGCTTAGAAATTAATTTTTTTATCTTAGATTGTTATAAATTAATCCAACTTAGCAATATAAATTTGCTTCAATTTAAGTAAATTTGGTTTAGTATTTTTTTATAAATGTTGCATGCAAATCTTTTGACATTTGACTATCCTCACTTTTCAAATTTTTTGCTTAGGTAAAAATTGATTTTCAATTCCTTGTAATACGTCCTATTTCTAAAACAATAATATTTTTACAGCTCACCATAACTTATGTCAAACAATCAGTCACTTTTGAACCAATGAACAGATTCTCATAATCTAAGTTCAAATATTTGTAATTTAAAGGGCTTAGCTAAGGTTAAGGTGTGTTAATTACTTAGTGCAAATAATAAAACTATAAAATCTGACACCAAAACATATATGTGTATCTAAATATATATATATATCTATCTATATATATATTTTTTTTCTCAAAATAAAAATTTTATTATTGACTTCAAATTCCTAAACAACAAAATAGGAAAAGTGGCTGTAATCTAAATAATATAGTATCAGGAAATTAAATTTTATTACGCATAAATATTTGTGATAAAAAGGTATGAGTAATAGATAGTTTCATGTAGTGTACTTTACATGAATTTACATTTCAACTATTTAACTTCACTGTTCAATTTGGATTCCATTAGTGAAGGCATGAAATGAGTCAATGAGAAGGATAAAGTGCCTTGCTTTTCGTTTGTTTTTAAATTGAACTAAATTTGAAAAGAAATCTGATTATTTTCTTAGACTAAATTGGTAAATTTATTTAATGAAACATGTTTGTTGTGGCATATGTTTAAGTATTATTCAACTGTATGGAGAGTACTAAGTGTTTTACAATGAGTTGCCTCTTGCACTTTTAAACATAATCAATTAGTTTTTTTATTTAGTTTAGGTATAAAAGTTTTTGCTAATAATTTTATTTTCGAAACTTTACTTAAAAAATATTCTAATGTAAGCATTTTTGCAATTTTATTTTTGGTATAAAATTCATCTTTTAGGTTATTGTTATGAATTAAAAATCTATTTTCTAGCTTGCAGTCCATCTCAATGGCAATGTGACTTTGGTCAGTGTATTGATAGAAGTAAATTGTGTGATGGACGAGTTGACTGTGCAGATGATAACTCAGATGAGAGAGACTGTGGTATGTTAGATTTTAAAAAAGATATTTTTTTAAATAGCTTTGATGAATTCGTAGCTTTAATTATTTATGGGTTTAATTTTCATAATTCATTCAGTTTTCCCCCCAAAACTGCAATAAAACATTTTCTGATTAAAAAAGAAATCAATGAGTCAAGTATTAAACTTTATAAAGATGTGTAATTTGATGTTAAGGATGAATAAAATAGTTTAGTTCACAGTTATTTAAAAATATTACTTCATTTCTGTTTACATTATAAAAATTTCTATGTTATAAAATCTACCTAATATAATGTATTAAATTGTTTTTAATAAGGTGATAAATTAAAGTTTTCTTCTTTTAGCTATTCCTGGTTGTTCTGCTGACAAATTTCGTTGCAGTGATGGTACTTGTATACCTGCTTCACAGAAGTGTAACGGTGTGCGTGAATGTAGAGATGGTTCTGATGAAAGGAATTGCCGTAGGTTTTTTTTTAATTTAATAAAATTCATTTTAATTAAAAAGTAACCAAACATTAAGTCTACAATATTTTTTTTTCTTATGATGAGGAAAAAAACCATTAGGCAATGCTCTATAATTTGCCTAGTGTTCTATAACATTTGTCAGCACATAATTTTGCATATAATTTCATTTTATGTAAAGCATCAGTTGTAGGAACTTTTTTTATTTTCTTTAAATATCTAAAAATTGAGTAGGACTGGAAAACAATAGTTGTTTTACTTTTTGTATTAAATTGTAATAACTTTGATATTTAAAAAAAAATACAGAAACAAAGTTAACTAATGCTATCAAAGGAAATGGTATGTTGTTATTCCATTGGTTTAGATGGTAAACTATCAAGGTTGTCTGTTAGAATTAAAATGAAAACAAGTTTCCAATACTTAAATTCTTTTTTGATAGCTACGTTGCGAATATTATTTAAGCTTATCTTTTAGTAAAAAAATATAGGAATCTTGCTAATCTAAACAAATTGGGACCATTGAATGTTCAGATTACAAAAAAGAATGTAAAGGCTGATTGTAATTGATCTTTCGTGGTATTTTTGTCTGCATAGTTAAAGAAAAATTTGTATTTTCCAATTTTGTTATCTAACAAAGCATTAGGATTTCAAGGATAAACAGATGTATGCATTCAAACAGTTTCATTTCAACAGGATAACATTTTAAAGATGGAAACAAATCATGTTATTAGCTGATCATTTTCTGATGTTATGTCCCCAGTCTTGTTCATATAAGAAATAAAATACTAACATTCATGTGTCATAGTTTTTATGAAGCTTTATTGTGATTCATATTCATATGAGTTAAGATTACCAGATTTGAATGATATTTTTGATATATTATGTCAACTATATGTTTGTTTACCACTTAAACAATGGAATTTTTGATTTTTTAAAATTGAACAATTCTTGTACAGTAGGAGATTATGTGAATTCATTTTTTTATCAGATGTTGCATGGTCCTTGCTTTAATTAAAATCCAAATTCTGTTTTTCTACCGTATTATTCCCCAATTAATTTTTTATTCAGTTATTTTGGGAATATTTTATCAAAGATTCTATTCATTTATAATTTTTAAAATTATAAGTTCAGATTTTCCAAAATTGCAAATTATTGGTCTTCCACTATATTGTAAGCATTTTAAAACTTCTATCATGGAAATTTAAAGGTATGACTGTCAAATTCAAAGTAAGGAATTTTTAATAACTAAATATTTAGCACTCTATTTTACTACCAAGTAGTATTTAAAAGCTTTAAAGTTGAAAATAGGAAACTTTATGTATATGTACTATTTGCAACTTGTTATAGCATGTATTCATTTAAAAATTTTATAAACAATAAGTCTTTCTTTTTCTTGTGCCAAAGGTAGAAGGAGACCAGGTAAGAATTACTATTTTATTAATTTTATATTCAAGTAGCAATGAAAAACAATAAAAGTTTAGGTCTTGTTATTTGTGCGTAGAAACAAAATGATAGCTTGTTTCTTTTTTATATGCTGCAAATAGGAAAAACTCATAAACGTAAGTTAATACAGTTCATTTTCATTCACATAAATATGTAAATAAGCTGGATGCTTGATTATGATGGGATGATGCAATCTATAATTATTGATGCCCAACTAAAGTTTTTTAGGTTTTTAAATTTCTCTTGTTTAGTTTTTTTTTATTGATGTGATTTATTTATGTTTTTATTGACCTGACAAATTGTATGGTCATTGAAAGAAATGTTTCTTAGTTGTAGCAACATATATGTTTTATTGAACATTCATATCTATCTTGATTTTTAAAGCAACAAAAAAGAAAAGAATAATTTTACCTAACCTAATAAATCTATTATTCAAACATATGTCTTCTTCTTCCTTATCCCCTAAATTAGCAGGGCTAAACAATGTCCATGAAATTCATGACCTGGAGGAAGTCTGTCTGCCACCAAAAGTGGGTTAATTAGAATGTCCCTTTTGTCCAGTCCAGGACAGTCAAGGATATGTTGGGGAGAAGCCTGCATTTTGTGGCACCTGAGGCAATTTTTTAGATTTTAACACTACCCTCGAAAGAAAGAGACTTAAGGTGGCCGCTGGTAAGTGCCGTCTGGTCCTTGCGGTTGCACCGAATGTTGAGTGCACCTCTTGGACGGGTGCTCTGGTACCAGTGATGTTTGGGGGGTACGAGCCAGGAAACATTGTCTTCTTTTTCGATGCTAGTTCCATGAAGGTGAGTGAATTTGGACTCATCAAAGTTTCTTCTGTCCCCTCAAACATATGTATGTACAATCTACTAGTTAGGCAGTTATGCTTTTTAGTTAAGCTTAGTATTTAAAAAAAATTCTTACTACTTTTGTTTTTATTGTACTACAGTTTTGTAAAATGATTTTCAATAATTGTAGAGGTTGGTATTTGTGTATGTAAAGTCATATTTTTTAAACTGTAAATGTTTAATTGCCATTTAATGTTTTAATCACCATTTTCATCAATGAATCATTTTAATTACAACTGAATAGAAATAATGAAAGTGTAAGGAATACATTATACTGAGATTTGTTTCATTTTTATTTTTTCTCTAATCAAGAGAATATTTATGTAACATATTGTAACAAAATTTTTTTTAGTTTTTATTGTGAATTACACTTAAATCAATCAAACAAATCAAGATCCAAAAATGACTTTAAAATTATTGAATATTTCAGCATGTCCATCTGACAAATTCATGTGTGCCAATCGTTTCTGTATTGACCTGAGAAGAAGATGTGATGGTTACAATGATTGCCAAGATAGTTCAGACGAGAAAGATTGTCGTAAGTTTCTTTCATAGTTTTTACGCTTATGCCCAAGTGTGCTTTGCATGTCCTAAAAGTCATTCAATTTTATTGTAGCTGGAGAGTGTGATGCCAACCAGTTTCGATGTTCTGATGGCAAAGCTTGCATTGCTTTATCAACAGTGTGTGATCGTAAATATGATTGCCCAGACGGTTCTGATGAAGTTGATTGCCGTGAGTTTTTGAATCTATTTATTGTAAGGTTTAGTAAGAATCATGTATTCAAAAACTAATAGCAACAAGGATAGACACGTGGTGGCTGCTTATGATAGTTAAATTGCTTGTATATAAGTAAATTAAATTTTTTATTGTAAGATAAACCAAATCTTTGTATGCTCAATTTAGGAAGTGTTTGCTTGACATTTTTCAATTAAAATGTGGTTTTCTTTTAGCTTGATTGCCACATCTTTTGAGGCTCAATTTTCTTTTTTGGATAGCTAAATCTTTTTATGCTCCGTTTTCTTTTTTGGATAACCGAATCTTTTTATGCTCAATTTAAGAGGTTTTTGTTTAAGAATTTTTCTTAAATAAAATGTAGTTTTTTTTGGTCATCTGATTAAGTTTGTGGTTTTATTAACAAATTAATATAACTATTAACTTGACTATTTACTTAAAAATTATTTCAATGACTACAGCTAGACTATTGCCATCAATAATTACAGTTAAACCATTTTATTTTGAGCATTAGTTTAACAGGATCATAGGTGGAAAAGGGAATTAATAACAAATGGTTGGTTTAGTGTTTTTAAAAACCTACATTCAAACTGTTGTTATGAGAGCAACTTGAATTTAACGAGAAACTTTTTCATTAACAGGGGTCTGTTTAGAAGAAATTTGGGTCTGTTAACAGACCCTTCACAAATTTGTTTATCTTCATTATTGTTTTGTTAATCGAATAAACCCTTCCCAGGGTTGTGGGGGAAAAAGGATGACAGATGTAAGCGAACTAATCTTTGTCTTCTGCAAACACTTCTTCCATTATTCGTCCGAAATGAATATTCTGCATTCAGCAGTATAGGCTAAATACCAAATATTTGTGTGTTGCATCTCTAATTTAGTAGCAGCAATTGCTGTCTATTTTTGAGAATGTAAATTTTTTAAATTAAAATTTTACAGTGTTGAGCATAATCTTTAATCTATTTACAGAAGAACTCCTTGAAAAAGTTTTTTGCAATAACAGGACCCTATTTGCACAAATTCACAAAAGCAGGACCCTGGTTGAAAGAATTTGGCTTAACGTTATTAAGAATTTGACTTAACGTTTATAACGTTATATATATCCACAAATTACGAGTCATTTTTTCACAATTTTACAAAACGGACCTATCACAAAATGTCTGGACAGACCCCTGATGAACTTCTCATTCCTTTCATGCCAACTGTCACGTATAAGTGCCAGCATGAAACGCTCTCACTTCCCGGCTGACACATTGGCGTACCAGAGTGCTTTCTCTTTCACTCTCAGTCGTCGTGTGCGACTGTGTTCTGGAATGTTTTCAAAACTATAATTTTAGACAGATCTGCAGATTTGAAATTGTGTTCGAAATGAAAATACGTCTCCCATGCACAAGTTTTTTTATTACATGTACAAGATTGACAAAAAATGTTTAAAAATGTAATAAAACTGAAAAAACCTCAATTAAATTTATTATATGAATGAAAAACATGTGTAGTATATATCATTTATCTATTTTACAGTACATCATTGAAGAACATGCTCATATTTTGGTAATTTCATGGATTTAAGATTAACAATTAATATCCCTCCATCCTCTTAAAAGAGATTCCAGGACTCAGCAATAAGCACGCAATTGCAACTCCTGTCTGAAAAGGGTTAAAAGTTACTTAATTACAACTTGGAAATTTTTTTTCTTGTATAAGGTTTCAAATACTCTTTTTAGTTAATATTATTCAAATGTTTTCACTTCTACTGTATTACTATTTTAGATGAGCAGGTTTTATTTTAAATTATTTTATTTTTGTTAGTTTTCAAGCTAGCTGTACAGATGCTTAGGTGTAGTTTTATTAATTGATTTATCAAGTTGAGCAATGTATTTATGTGGTTGCTAAAAATTTCAGTATATAGAGATCATTTTTATTTTCTTTTAGGTAGACCTACAGCTCAGTGCCGGCGTGATCAATATCGTTGTAGTGATGGCATGTGCTTAAATATCGCACAGAGGTGCGATGGCAATGTAGACTGCCCTGGCGGAGAAGATGAATCTGGTTGTGGTAAGAAAAGCATGCCTTGTTTGCATGTTTGCTTGTCATGAACAATTTAACTTATTTCTCAATTATGTTTCTCTTTTAACTGTTTCACTGTGAAACAACTATTATGTATTAAATGTACTGCAAAATATTCATTTTCTTATCCGATCCAAAAGTTGCTTAATGTTATTGAAGCAACCATGCATTTAAGAGAAGGTGAACTCTCAATGTCGACCAAATTATCATACAGTCAGACACAACATTGATGGTTTAGTTCAGTTTTGGAATAGATTCTGTACCCAGTCGATGTACTTTAAATCTTTTGAGAAATATTCTTTCAAGTTTGAGGTTAAAAAATAAGTGTTTGCTTTTTCCTATATGTATGGTTAATTGTGACTCATTTTCTGTTATAGATGCAATTAAAAAAAGAAAGAATTCTTAATTTGTTTCACTTTCCTTATCTTTGTCTTGTCTTTCCTTTCTCATTAAAAGTATGAAAAGTGAAGAAAGGAAGATTGAGTTACAGCATGATTCATATATTAATTACTTTGCATTTTTATAATTAAACTTTTTAAAATTTAAGCTTATAAATATTAATTTCTGAGTAGTTTATAATTTTTTCTTTTCATTTTAAGAAGCATTATCAAAAATAAATTTTATTGACGATTTGTAAGTTGCACAATCTAAGGAATCAGAAAATACAAATAAGCAAAATGGTATTGATAATAGGTTTTCTACAATATTTCGATCAATTTAGTTTAATAATGATTGATGTGGCAAGGCATATTGTATTTATGACCCGTGTCATTTCATTGGCTCATTCTGAATGCAGGAACTTGTCCAGAAAATATGTACAGATGCTCTGATGGTGCTTGTATAAATTATAAGTTACGTTGTGATGGCAAGTTTGATTGTCGAGATGGATCTGATGAAAACAACTGTGGTAAGTTTTATTTTAAAATTTCAATTAAATCAAATTTAAATTTTTACCAAAAAAATATTTGTTGAGAAATATTTTTTAATATTTTCTGTAGATTTTAAGCCGGCTTGCCGTCTTACTGATTTCACCTGTAGAGATGGTACCTGTGTTAACCAAACTATTAAATGTGATGGTGTGGTTCATTGTCAAGATGGAGATGATGAAAGCATTTGCAGTAAATATAGTTATTTATTTTTTGCTTAAAAAATAGATACAGGCAATAGACCAAATATTCAAATTCTATTGGGTATAATCAAAGTCTAATTATTTATCTCTATATTTTTCTAAATATGAATTTTTAAATGTTTTTTTTTAAATTTTCAAAAATAAAAGAATTAAGATTAATTATTTATTAAATCAATTCTTTGAATTAAATAATAAGAATGCACAACACTTACATAGTGCTCAGGTGTTAAATTCTGACTTATGAAATAGAAATGAGACAAATAAAATCTTTACAATTAAAAAATGAAAACATAAATATAAAATGAAAATATAAATGTGTGTTTTCCCCCTGATGAAGTACTGTTCTGCAAATACACATTTATACTTATATTTTCATTTTATATTTATATTTTCATTTTTTAATTGTAAAGATTTAATATATGTCTTATTTCTATTTTATTTAATACAAATTTGGTTTCAGCTACCTTGTGCTCTTTTCCAATTTGATTTATGTTTCAATGTGCTTATTTACCTCTTATGTATCAAAATCGACTTCCTAAATTGAATTGATTTTATGATTAGATTCTGACTTATGTTTAACTTTCCATTATGATTCTGAACTATGATTCTTGCTTTGTTATAATTTTTGAGCATTCCCCCATAAAAGCTATAGATATAAACAATTTTTGTTATTTTTCTTCACTAAATATAATTTAGTATCTCCTTATGGTATCTGAATTGATATTAATTTGTATTTAATTTTCAATGTTTATCCCTGACCTATTTGTATTAAATAAAACTTCTTATAATATGGTAAATTTTTAATAAAAACTTTTAACTTAAATTGTTGCAAGGAAATCAATATCTCTTTTAGAAATGATAGTCTTGATAGCAAAATATTTTGGATTAATTTCTACAAGCTGATCAAGTTTTAAGTTTTTTTTTTTAAATTTATTAGCTTCTGTAGAGTTGCCTAACTTAGTTATCATAAAATGTTATGCAAATACTGTAAAAAAAGCTTTAAATTAGATATTTTAAAGTAAATTCAAGGTAGCAAGTTTTGTTTTCTAAAAAATCATATTTAAATTGATATTTTCTTTGTAGGTCGATGTGGTGTTGGAGAATATGTTTGTAACAATGGTCAGTGTATTGAATCAAGACAAAGATGTGATGGTCGAAGCCATTGCCCCAATGGAGAAGATGAAGCAGATTGCCCAGGTAATAAAGTTATCAATTAAAATAACTTAAAGTGATTTATCTTGAGATTGGCTAGACTAAATTAACATCATTGAAAACAATTTAATTTAATAAATATTTCTTAGATATTACAAACTACAATATACAAATTAACATGGAGCACAGCTCCTAGCAACATGCATCAGCAATCAATGGAGGAGCTTTTAACAGCCTTTTAGTTGATAATCTCTTGTAATTACAATTTTAATAAGTATATTTTATTTTATAACCGTTGATAAACAGCCGACTCAATTCTGAGTAGTTAACAATTACCAATGTAAGTAGATGTGTAATTGTGAACCCAATCCAGAAAACAAGGGAACTCCTGGATCAAGTATTGGGAGAAATTTAAGATCAAACTAACCCGCTTTTGCGTTACATGGAGAGGAAAACCTCCCTGGGTTAGCTTGATGGCAAGGGGACTCGAACAAATGATTTGTCAACCACTGAGTATATTTTATGTCAGCACTGTGGTCGATACGAGCCAGGCACAGATTTGTATCGAGCAGCCATCCCTGAGATTCAAGCTCGTGACACCTCATTGGAAAATTATTATCTTGCAATGTTTAACTATATACTTGAAATACAAAACAATATTATTTATTTAAAATTATCTTTTCTTATAGAGCTATTGGTTAATTTTAAAAATAATTGGTTTTTCTAAAATCAACCATTTATGCTATTATTCTCTAGAAAAAGTATCTTTAGCATGCTCGTGTAATAAGATTACTTTTTCAAAAGAATTAGCCGAAAACAGGTTGAATGAAATAATACTGAAATACTATTAAAACTTATTATTTTGGTAGTTTCTTACTATAGTAATAGCATTAAAATATTAAAAAAAGCATGAAAAAGGTGCTAGCTGTCTTGGAGATGAAAATAAAATGAGTAACTTGACTCCTCTGTAAATTTAGTTAATATTAAAAATAAATTAATAGGCTTTATCATTGAAAAAAGTTTTAGTCGAGTCAAAGAAGTATATGTAAGAAAGCTAACCTAGGCTAGTATTTAAAAATTTCACTTGAGTTTAAGGAAATAATTTTTTGTTTGTTGAATTCTATATATTCTATTGCAAAAAATCATGTACATACTTCTCTAAATGCTTGCAAATTAAATATATTAATAAATTTATTTATAATTAAATTATTTAAATGAGTGTTTCAAGATAATGATGGGATTTTGTTATATTGACAAAATCACTTTCGTCTTGAACAATAGAGCATTTTAGTAATCCCCATCACTGTTTTAGATTGATTAGCACCCCATCACACATTTAGATTGAGGTTCTTTTTTTTACTTTGATATTCTCCATTTTCCAAATCAAGGGAAAAAAGTCCCAGAAATTTGCTATTTTATGCTTCATTAAAAAATTGATAAAATACAACGCAAGTTTATCTATAGTTTTTTAAACAAATTTCAGTTGAGTGTCTAGTTGGACAATTCCGTTGCAAAAATGGACAGTGCATCAATGAACGACGCAAATGTGATGGACGACCAGATTGTGCTGATAGCTCTGATGAATTAGATTGTGGTAAGCTATACACCTTGCTTTAAGATACGTTATGCAATGGGCTTTATAATAGTTTTTATTTATGAGATTAAAGACTCAGTGCTAAAATTTCTTTGCTGCTAGTTAAAAGGTGCGTTAAATATTACATATTGAGTATGTATGAAATATTGATGTCTTATTTGGAATATTTGCTGAAGCTTCTGAGACCAGTGGTTAGTGTTTGGTGAGATTTAAATTTTTCCAGTTATATCCAAATTATTTTTGATTTTGCTTTGAATTTGTAAACATTGAGTGACCGTTTGTAAGGATGTCAAAGTAGAATCTTAGTAATTTTTCAAACCCTTACGACTGTATTAAATCACCGTGCACCATTTATATGTTCTATTCTGTAATCATTTGAGTTTGAATTCAAAGGATATATACAACTCAATCATGAGCAAGCACTTAACCCTGTTTTCCAAGCTAGTGCATGGTCAAGGCGCTAAGTGCATTTTTTATTGGCCATAATAGAAAGGACACATAGTTTTGACCAGTTGTTTGGTCTTCGGACCAGTGTATTGAAATATATTTAATGTAATAGTAATTTTTTTTTTGGAATTCTACACACACAGTTACCCTTCCTTAATAATACTAGACTTTCTCTAATTAGGTGATAAAAAATTTGAACTATAAATTGTACCTGAAGTAAGTAAGTCATAATTGAAAATATAATCTTTTTTTGTCTAATTTGGACTTATTGCTTTTAATTTGGCATGTTAAATTGAAAGAATCAAGTCTGTTACCAACTACAGTTTACACCATCAACACATGGAAAATCATCCATAAAGAAGTTGAAAAAACATGCAAAGTATTAAAATATTACTTAGAGAAAACAATTTTTTTAAAAATATGCTTAAGTAGAGAATAGAATTGCTCAACTTACAGTCAATTAAAAAGTAGCTGTTTTTTTAAAAATTTTTTTTTACAAAGAAATCAAACTTTTATTATTTCTTTAATAAAATTTGAAGAATCAGCGACTCTTAAAAACATTTCAGCACACTCAATTATTTCTTTAACATATATTAAGTTTGCCAACTTAATTATTTGTTTATTTGCGAGCTCATAAGTGTCATCAGTCTCAGAGTAATATAGTTTGGTCCAAAATTGCCAACCATCCAAAGTTCGCTCTGAATATGGATACATGTACTCTACTTGTTAACTCTATGACATTTGGCCTGTATATTTTGATATTGACTCTTGCACAGATCTGCAAAAATTAATTTGATAAAGGTTTGTTTTTATTTTCCGATTTTAGAATTGTGAGGAACTTAAAACATTTTTATAAAATTCCTTTTAGGAGTTTGCAAACCAGGTGATGTTATTTGCCGAGATGGAAGTTGTGTTGATGTAAGCAAACGATGTGATGGTAGGAATGACTGCCCAGAAGGAATAGATGAAGCTAACTGTGGTATATATTTGTTATAATCTTACTTTACTTTTAATGTCTAAATGAATAATCTATTTAGAAGTTTATATAGATTATAGCTACTTGTTTTTATACATATAATTTAAATGTTTCAAATGTGTGTCTGTATTGGTAAAATATATTATGGTTAAATAAATAAAAAAATAGTTCATAATATGATCTATAAACATATGAAAAAATTAGTTCTGATTTTATATATATTTTTGTTGATTAGAAATTTATTTCAGTTCCTTTTGTATCTTAAATTTGTCTTTTCATTTAACGTGTTTTTATTAATAAAATTCGAAAATACTTTAAAACACTATTTGTTTTGGAACTTAGTTCTTAGTTTTTTTTATGTTAAGTTAATATTTGATTAATAGTTAAATCAAGTATGGTAAGTATAAAGAAATTACTTTCTGTTCAAAATATAACTTCATTTTATTTATTTCTGAGCATTTATACTAGAGAGCCACAAATAAATGCTGGTTAAATACCTGTTTGCATTGCAAAATCCTGCATAGTGAAAAAAAAGTACATAAACTTTGTTCATCTCATAGGCGATTAAAAAATTGACTTTAATGCCAATCATGTTTCTTCTGCTTGAAGGGCTATAATGTCATTTTTTTTAGGTTATTAAGTTAGGTTTGAAAAAGTAATGCAGAACATGATTTAAAAGGAATATTATAAAAAAATTAATTTTATATACTAACATTCTTAAGCTTTTAAATTATAATCAAAAATTTTATATCATGATAATGTTTTCCTGTCTATAGATAATTTTTTTTTCAGGCTGTCAGTATTATACTCTTTTTATAATTTCTCTTTTGCCTTGTATTTAAAGTTTTCATTTGTAGCAATTGATCATTACTTTGAAATTTAAAATTATGTGAAGTTAGTAAGTATTACAACAAAATTGTGCATTTTTAAATTCCTTGTTTTGTAGAATGTCAGTCAAATGAATTCCGCTGTGGTGATGGTGCCTGCATAAATGAAAGAAGGCGGTGTGATGGATATCCTGACTGCAGAGATAGGTCAGATGAATCTAACTGTGGTAAGTATTTGTTTCAGAAATATTTTTAAAATAATGATCTGATGTATCAGTAAATTGAAGTTCCTATGTTTATTATTTTGCAATGTACAGTGCACAAAAAAAGAACCACCCTGAATAATTTTTGATCTGCTGATCAAATCTTCACACGCTAGGAGTTTTAGCAGTTTGAGAGGATGACCTCAAATATGCTTACTAGTTAGTGCAGCCAATATTTTAAGTTACAAAATCAGAAACAAATACACATTCTGAATAAACATTTTGTTTTTTGATGAATTAAGATTTCTGACCCCCAAAATATGATGGTGGCCACAATCTCGAAAAATATGGTTGCGATATTTAAGACAAAGAAGCAGTTCAAAGTTAGGTCCTCTTAATGTTATTTTAATTTTTGCACAGTTTTTTAATATCTCAAAACCTTTATAAATGGATTGAAAAAATTTTGCACACAATTAAAAAATCTGTTTATCTAAAATAATTCCCTGCAGAAAATAATTTTTAGTAAAGATTTATTATTTTATTTAATAATAGGCAAAAACAATTTGAATTGTAAGGTATATAATTTTTTGCACCATTTTGAAGAATATAATTTTACATGGACTGACTGTGGAATTGGCTAGTAACCAGCAGTAGTAGAAGAAGTAATTTTGCATGGCAAATCAGAAAATTTGAGCAAAATGGATCAAATAGTTCAAAGATCAAATTTTTAATACCCGATTGTTTTTTAATATGATGCCCAATAAAATTTAATTTGCGATAAAAGGTTTTAAAAAATTGAGTAAACCACATAAAAGATGTGTATTTAATGACATAGAATGCTCGCAATTAATACTGGAATATGGGACTTAAATGTTTTGATTTCTTATCAGTACTGTACTGTGATGGCTGAGTTTAGTAGCAAGCATGTTAAACATGAGTTTTAACTCATTTCTCCGTATTTTTATTATTACTGTTTAGTGTAATAAAAATTTTTCTTTGGCACTATATATTTTGTAAAAGTATTGCACTGCATAAATGGTATTCATTCAGATTTTAAGTTTAATCTGCAAGTCATCACTATAGTATTAGGACAAAGTTGCTTATTTTTCTATTCATTCAAAAATAAATAACATTTTCTTTTAAATTTGTAGATTATTTTTCTACAATGGGCTTTGATTACCTAACGTAAAAATTTTAAACACTCATTTTAGATGAATGTGCTGAAAACATGTTTAGATGCGGAGATGGTACGTGCATTGAAATTAAAAAACGTTGTGACGGACGTAGAGATTGTTTTGACCATTCTGATGAGGAAAATTGTGGTATGTTAATAAACACGCTAACATTAACTTCTTTATTTAAATTTTGTGAAAGTGATGATGCTTTGTGATACTTCTGCAAGAACTTCAGCAGTAGTATTCTTCTCAACCAACCTCTCTTGGACCAATTTTAAAAATAAGACTTGACATGTTTTTTTTAATTCTTCCTTTTTTTTAATTATTTCATTTTTTAAGTCTTTCTTTTAATTCTTTCTTTCTTTATATTTGTTGTTGTTGTTGCTTATGCCCACTTGACCAACAGAAGCATGAAATCAAGTCCATGCACTCATCCAAAGAGTTTCCAAAGCCATGTACTATTGCAGCAGTGTAGGAGACCAGGTGGCTCTTAAATGTGGTGTGGTGGCTCTTCATGAAAATTATTTGTAATCTCAATATGGACGATAATTATATTAAATTAAGAATAAAAACACTAAGATGCACTGCTTCAAAAGTTGAATAAAGAAAAATCACTGTTCCATACATATCAAACAATATACCTTTCAAAACAAGTATCTTAATTACACATGATTCTTTTTGCATTCGAATGCTACATTTTTTTAAATTGCCAAATATTTGCTTTGCATTTACAAAACAGATTGTGCTTTTCAAAATATGCTAGCTTTTTTACAATTTTTATTTACTTCTTTAATTTTATGAATTAAAAACGCTAATTTATTTTTTATTATTTTTAAACTTTAAGAGTTTCATTTTGTAAAAGTTTTATAGAAATATCTGTGTCCCATATTTCTTTTTTTCTGTGGAGTTATTGCTTTTTATATATTTATCTTTAGAAATATTCTTATTATTTCAATTCAGATCCCAAAACATGCAATGCAGGAGAGTTTAGGTGTAACAATGGAGAATGTATTGATGATTCACTTAAATGCAATCGTAATTATGATTGTAGAGATGGATCTGATGAATTTAATTGTGGTATGACCTCATTATGCTTTTTTTATTTTTTTTTATTTTTTCATTTTGTTTATTAATATTTTGTTTCTCGCATCAAATATATTTTTTGTTTAAAGTGGGAATAACTGTTTGAGTAAAGATCTCTTTTAAACTTATAATTTTTGTGACTTTAAGACAAATCTGTATAAGTTTTTGGCGTACTTTATGTTTATAAATTTTTAACTCAATCACACCTCTTTTTAAATAGTTTATTTCAAATTATTAACAGTCTTTATTTGTAATATCAATTATCAACTAAATAAATTGTTGATTTATCAATTTAAAAATTTTTTTTCGTGGGAATGTGTAGAACTGTTTTAAAATTTTTATTCAAGCTTTTATTAAATGACTACAAACAACATTAAACTTATGTAGCTAGTATACAAACATTAAACTTATGTAGGAAAACTCTTAAAAAATAATCTTCTTAAAAATGTTAACATGGTTGCTGCTTTAAATTTGTAATGAGATATAAATTTGGTTTTACATAATCAAGTAAATTATGATCCAAATAAGATCCTTGTATTGAAATTAAATTCTACTCCAGAACCTGTATTTTAGGCTTCATTTGTTTTAAGAATTAGATTTTCTTTTTAGTTACTAATGCTTGTAATTATTTTGGTTAAATTATTTTTTTTAGATAATTTAAATTTGTTAATTTTTTTTTCTTTATTAGAATTTATTTTTTATTATTTCTGCTTACCATTTAGTTGCTAACATTTGCATGAACTTTCATTAATACATGTAGAACCAAAATCTTGCCAACTTGATGAATTTAAGTGTAAAGATGGGGAATGCATCAAGAGTGAGTTAAGATGCAATCGCCGTTACGATTGCAGAGATGGAACGGACGAGTTTGACTGTGGTATGTCATCATTTCAAATTTAAAAAAAAATTTTTCCTTAAAAATCATTCAATGGTGTTACTAAAATTGAAACAATTGTCTTCTAATAGGACTTAGTTGTAGACTAGCTTATTGCAAATTAGTCTAAATCAAGAAAACTCTTTTGATTTCTGATAATACAAGATTGGGCCTCTTCATTGCTCGTGGGACCTATATTCTTCTTGCAGCAATTAATGTTTTTAGACTATGTCTGCCGGTTGTGTAAATTGTGTAAACCCTCAATATTCATATTTTCTTTAAGAAATGTGGCTTATTTTACATTATTAACCTGAATTTTAGGCTTCCTTTGCTTTTATTTAGATTTTCTTTTTCTGATGCTTTTAAATACTTTAGTTCAAATTTATTTTTTGTTTGATAATTTAAATTTGTTGATTTTTTTTCTTTACTAGAATTTATTTCTGCTTACCATTTAGTTGCTAACTTTTGCATCAACTTTCATTAATATGTGTAGAACCAAAAGTTTGCCACCTCAATTAATTTAAGTGTAAAAAGGGGGGAATGTATCAGGAGTGAGTGATTCTGATTTCTGATATTTTATGGGTAGAAAATAGTATAATTTAAGTCATAAATTGAGCCTCTTCTTCGCTTATGGGCCTTATCTTCTTCCTGTAGCAATTAATGTTTTTAGACTACGCCTGTCACTAGTGTAAAATGTATGAATTCCCGATATTAATTTTTTCTTTTGAAAAATATGGCTTATTTTACGACATTATTAGCCTGAATTTTAGGCATCCTTTGCTTTTATTTAGATTTTCTTTTTAGTTACTAATGCTTGTAGGTATTTTTATTAAAATTTATTTTTTGTTAAATAATTTAAATTTTTAAATTTTTTTCCTTATTGGAATTTATCTTTTTATTATTTCTGCTTACCATTTAGTTGCTAACATATGCATGAACTTTCATTAATACATGTAGAATCAAAGGCTTGTCAACCAGATGAATTTAAGTGTAAAGATGGGGAATGCATCAAAAGTGATTTAAGATGCAATCGCCGTTACGATTGCAGAGATGGAACGGATGAGTTCGATTGTGGTATGTCATCATTTTCAATAAAGATTTTTTTTTTACTTAAAAGCATAAATTCTTAGGTGTTAATAAATTTAAAACAGTTGTCATATATTATGACTCAATTGTTGATTAGCCCATTACAAATTTGTCTAAATCAAGAAAACACTCTTAAATTCTGATATTTTATTGGAAGAAAATAATACAAAATAAGTCATAAACCAGGCCTCTTCATTGCTTGTGGGACCTGTATTCTGCCTGCATCAATTAATGGTTTTAGATTAGGTCTGTCACTAGTGTAAATTGTTTAAGCCATCTATATTCATATTTTCTTTAAGAGATGTGGGATATTTTATATAACATTTTTTTAAGTCTTCCAGAGCATATTGTATATCCTTGTACTGCAGTTTTCTTCAGAATCCAAAAAAATACCTTTTTATTCTGTATAATTCTTTAAAATAAGAAAAGAAACACACCATTTTAGTAAATTACTAACAGCTAAATTTTAATGCAAAATTTTTTTTTTTAAAATTTTAAATTTACTTTTTGGAATAAAGTAAGTTCAACAGATTTGTGAGTTTACAAATCCTTGTTCTCTAATAGTTTGTAAATTGCGTGAATTTTAAAATAAAACTTTATAATTTTTAGAAAGTATAAACTAAAGTCAATTATTTTCAGAAGAAAACTTAAAAACTTTCATTCCATGGAGTCAAATGTGCTTTTTCTGCTGTAATTACAGAAGTTTTTTTTTATTTTTATTAAATTGCATTATCAAGTTGAGTGATCTATGTGTTCAGAAAGTGTGCAATTTGATATCACAGAAAATTTGTGTAAGCCTGTAGTTACAAATATTGTAAAATTATGATGCTATTTAGGAAACTAATAGGACTTAATAGCTATAAACTGAAAATTTTTTTTTAGATAGACTGAAAAACGTTTTGGGATGTTACATAACTACAGTGCTTTTTAAATTGACAAGAGTTAGTTATGACTAAGCTTTTCTGCTAAGCTTTAAATGGGATTTTATTTATTACCATATTTTTATTATGGGGTTAGTTAAAGTTTCTCATATTTTCCCGATTTGATTTAATATTTAAGAACCTGCTTATTACTTTTGCTTTCCTTTACAGGCAAGGTTTTTTTATTACATTTTAAATAACTAAATGATAAATCCAGAGAAAATACCCTCACTGTCTGAATTTATCTTTTAATTAATAAAATAGATTTATATGATTGATTGAAAGCATTGTACTATAATTTTTTATGTGCTATGAAAACTGCATTGATAGTGACATGCATACTGTCAAATGTTTAATTTGTTGAAAAGAAAAAATACTGTTTAGAAGTTGGAGAAATTTTCTAACTCATAATTATATAAATGTTACATATCTCTCTCATTTATATGGGTTAGTATTGACTTCTCATTTACATGAGTTTTGTATCTAACTTTTGCAACACTCAATATAATTTTATTTTGTTTAATGTTAATTCAAATTTCACAGTTTTACTCAGCAAGAAACAAAAAGCGATGTGTCAACTAAACATTATTTTAAATTCATTTTGAATAATTTAATTTCTGCATTTTAAACAATTACTTAAACAGGTATTTTAATGATTTTTTTTCCTTTTTTTAAAGCAATCTATGATTTAAATTTTTTTTTATTTATTGTTGCTTGAAGTTAGATGATTTGGTGTTTTGCAAACTTCTTATTTTACAGTAGCTTAGTGCATGTTGTTTTTATTGTCTTTTATTTCATTTGTAAGTCGACATTATTTGCCTGATAATTTTATTATTTGCTTCATAAATTTAATAACTATTAGGACCTGAACCACAGCAACAATGTTCGGCTTCTCAGTTCCGTTGTAACGATGGCCAGTGCATAGATAGTGTATTGAAATGTAATAGAAAATATGACTGCAGAGATGGTTCAGATGAATCTAATTGTGGTACGCTCTCCTTTTAATTTATGTTGCCTTAAACACCCATTATTTTTTATTGTTTGATTTTTATTTTGTTTTGTTCTATCTGTAAAACAGTTATTGAAGCTTGCCAACCTACAGAATTCCGTTGCACAAATGGGCAGTGCATAGATTTAAGTTTAAAGTGCAACAGAGTCTATGATTGTCAAGATGGTTCAGATGAAACTACTTGTGGTGTGTGGTTTGATAATTTTATTATTTTATCATTTACATTTTGTTGTTCTATCGTTTGCATTATTTTCCACTCAGATGCAACTCACCCAACTCGTAAGATATTCAAATACAAACCATTTATTTAAAGAGCTGGGAGCTCAAAACTTTAATGTCTGTACTTTAACTCCATTAATGTATATTTTAAAACAATCAGGTCACTAAACTGGCAAACAGGTCAACAAGGAGAACAACATGGAGAAATGTTCTAGAGGAGACCAAGGCCCACCATGGTCTGTTGTGTCTTATGATGATGATCATTTGCATGACATATAAAAGGGAATCGAATAAAATCCATTCTATTGTAACATGTGATGAAAAACTACATTGATGTCTATTAAATTTAGTTATAAAATCAGTAAGAAGTATACTTCCATTTAGAAAGTATACAGCTGCTTACTACAGCTTATTCTAGGAAGCGATATTTCAGGAACAGTTGTATATTTCAGTGTTGTTGTGAGATTAAGTTCATTTTGCTAATTATCATTTAGGTTTTAATTTCAAAGTTGGTATATCGTTGACAAAGTAAGAAGGGTTTTATAAAGATTCTTTTTTTTTTCATTCTTCGATTCTTACATATTGAAATAACAAGTCTTCAACTGCTGATTCCTAACGCAATTCTTTTTTTAAATATAATTAATAAATCAGGTAGTAAATACACGTATACATGAAATACTACTCATGATAGTCTCAAAGCGCAATAATCACGTTGTGAGCCAAATGGCTTTAAATAATGCTAGAATCAGTAACTCGGAAGTATAGGCACTAATGAGTTGCAGTATGAGTGCAACTCATTAGTGACTATACTTCCGACTGCACTATAGAGTGCACTATAGATCTATTGGCACCATAGATTAGCGCCAATGAGTATGAGTTAAAAACACCATCCATGTGTCGATTAATATGTTTAGTTTGATGCTTTCCCCCTCATCGAATAGTGTTTCAAGAAGCTATTACTAAAATAACAAAATGAGTGTTGACCAAATATGTAATAACAGTTGCCTTGTTTCAAGTACTTCAAACCTCATCACCATATTGCATGTAGTTGCATTTTACCCTGATTTGTCTCTCTGCTACTGCAATTTTTCTTTTTCTGTTTTTCTTTTTTTCTCTCTCGGCTTCTGTGGTTTTTCTAATTTTGTTCCTCACCTTCATTTTTCATTGACAACTTTAAGTTTTTGTGTTTCTTTACATTCACGTTTGGCAAGTCTTTAAAATGGGCGGCTATTTTTGAAGCGCTTGAAACATGTTGACTGTTATTTCATATTTGTTAATTTCTGAAGCAAATAGAGTTTTCGATCAGGTAAAATGCTTATTTATTTCTCACGTATAATGAATAATTCTGTATAGTCATAAAGAGTGTTTTTTTTTATTTTGGAAGTATCATTTATAGTTAAATAATTATGACATCATATTGAATTAAGGAAAACAAGAAAAAAACTAAAAGTGTTTGAATATGAAAAAAACACTTTAGAATTGCCTTGATTTATTAGAAGTGTTTGAATAATCTAGGTGCTTCTTATAATTATTCATTTTATTATCATTATCCTTTTGTAAATACAATTAATTTAGCCACTGTGCTCGTTATATTCTTGTATTACAACAAAGTATTTTACTTTGTTTAATTAAGCATTGTTTGTCTTTATTAAGCATTTTGCTTTACACCATTACCTTATGAAATTTGAAAAAAGTAATAATTTTTATTTTAATTGTAATTGTATTTTTACCAGCCTGACCTGGTAACATTGAGAAAGGAATTAAATTTATAATAAACTAAATTGTATTCAACTAAAGCTGGATGAGAAATATGTGTAATATACCCTGATAAAAGACATTTCTTTAACTTTTCTTATTTTTTCTCTAGCTCGCTGTCAACCCTCAGACTTCCAGTGTGGTGATGGCTCTTGTGTAGACTCCCAAGTTCGTTGTGATGGTCGAAATGACTGTCCGGACCGTTCAGATGAAAAAGATTGTGGTATACGTTTATTTTTAATATTTTTATGAAGTCTTTTTTTTTATATTATTTTTTTATGGAGCTCTATATGCATAGTCTGATTACGAACATTTTTTACTCTACAATAGTGAAATGGACTCTGCAAAAAGTGTTGCTACTGTTTTCGTATTTAGAAGATATTTTAATTAAAATAGTTATAATTTAAATACTTTTCATTTAAACTTTATTTAATTTTAGATTTTGTTAAAATTTTTTTATTTTTCAAATGGAAGATTTAAAAAAAAAAGTTTTTAGGCAGGAATTTTTATAACTTAATTTTTGAGTTTATATCATATAATTTAATTATATTATATAAAGTATTACTATGAAAATTGACTATATTACGTTATGTATCTTTAAAACTCCTGATGTCTTTTTAAGAACATGCTTAAAGAGTTGAGTAAGTTTCTTAGATAATAGATATTTCAAAATCGCATTTTCATTTCATCAATTATTTTCAATAGGATGCACACCTACTCAGTTTCAATGTAATAATGGCGAATGTCTGGATAGCAGATCTCGTTGTGATGGTATACCAGATTGTGATGATGGTTCAGATGAAAGAGACTGTCGTAAGCAATAAATATTTATCGTTGGTGTTATTGTATTCAGAAAACTTTGTACTTCTTACAGATTTACTGGAAATGCAATATTGTTTAAAAAGCCTGAAGTCAAATCAGGACTAATAATTGCAAAGATAATGAGTTTCCTTTAAAACCTATATAAATTTTACGTATGGGGGAAAATATGAGATAACCTGAAAACAAATCTTCTTTTTTCAAAATCTTTTTAGTTCTGAAAGTATCAATTTTAAAGAACTACAAAGTTGGAGAAAAAAATATTTTAAAGCTTTAATTGATGTTCTTTCAATATGCATAAAATAATGAAACCACGTTTCGATAATTTAAAGTAAATTACACATTTTAATTTTCTATATTTTTAATTTGCAAGTGTTTTAAAAAAAGAGTTTACCATTTTTCTTTTGACTATTTAATAATGGACTATTACAGTTTTTTAAACAATGATATTAGGGTTTAGTTGAATGATATTACTTCAAGCTTTTATGAACACAAATAATAGAAAGTAAAGTAGCCTAAATCGGAATTTTTTTTCTTCTGAAGCTTAGTATCTTATTTAAAGTCATCTAAAAAAGCATTCTGCAACTAGATATTTTTTCTTTTTTTTTTTACTAAAAATGTTTTTAATCTATATAATTTAAAATTATGATCAACTTTGATGACTCTTTATTTAAAAAGTGATTTATTTAAATTTTATTGGTTTGTTTAAAATAAGTAACGATGAGGTGGGATTTAAAGATATTTTTCATTGCTTAAAGAAGCTGTGCATTGCATGACTTACATACTTTAATATTGCATGGCTTATTACTAAAAATTTAACATTTCTTATCCTATCTACTAACTTGATTTATATGCATTCTTATTTTCCTCTCTAACTTTTTCTACACTTGCTAACATTTGAGCAGAAGATTGTGATGCAGATGAGTTCAGGTGTGGGGATGGAAAGTGCATTGATGATACTTTCCGTTGTGATGGTTTATATGATTGTGCCGATTACTCAGATGAGCAAGATTGTGGTAAATTTTATTTAACTTCTATATATAAAATTTTAGATTTGTGATATGTCTTAATTTGAAATAAGTTAAAAAGCTTCAAGGTCATATCAAATTTATATATTGGTATTGATTTTCATTGAATTGGTTGTTGTAATATATACAACATAATATGAGAGTTTCTGTAAGAGGAATAATTTTTATCCATTCTTAATGTCAAATTGTGTTTAAACACAATTTATAAAATATTATTTCCAATTTAATGCATCGCCATAGCTTGTTGATTTAGCATAATATAGTTTTAGTGGGGTTCTTAGGTATGATATGATGGATGGCAAACAAACAACTTTAAAAACTAAATTATGTTATGTTAATTAAAAGTAAATGATATTATGTTATGCAAATGCATTTCATAAAATTTTTTACTGGTGCTGAACACAAATTTTCAATTAAATTTCACTCATAGAACACCTTTTAAGTGATGTAAATAAAACTTAAAATATTTCTTTATTTAGCGCAATGCTTGTTTTTGCTGTATCAACCTTAGTTTTTCTATAACATTCTTAAGCCCAGAAGAGAATTATGAATAACCTTGTATTTAGCCTTTAAATTATATATGGAAAATATTTTGAAAAATCGAGCTTTGTTTAAATGATTAGTAGAGATTGATTATTTTTTGTAAAATAAAACAAAAACTAACTTTTTTAAAATCATAAATATTTTTAAACTAATAATGAAATTTTACTTTTTAAACTTAAATTGGAATACTACCTAAATTCATGAGATCCTGTACCACATAGCAAATATTTTAATAGTGACTATTAAATAAGTATCTTGTGTTAAAATCATCAAACAAGCTAAATTTTAGCTAACAACATAATATAGTTCCTGCTTTACCTTACATTTATCTGTTACTTACTCTTAACTCACATATTGAAAAACTCTTGTAAAATGTATGCAAGTCTGATGAAGCATTTCTTTAAAACTGCTTAAATGTTGCTAATAATAAGAGCATGAATATTTCTATCTTTACTAACTAGTTTCTTAATTACTCTGCTGTACAATCTTTTCTTGTAACTAACCATTTTCCACAAACATCTCTTTTTCTTTCATAACCTTTAGAAACTCGGCTATGCCGTCCTTCTCAATTTCGTTGTGTTACTGGTTTATGCATTGACAGGGCTAAATATTGTGATGGTCTTCCTGACTGTCCTGACAGATCTGATGAATTGGACTGCTGTATGTAGTGGTTTTCATAAATCAAATCATATTTTTTCAAAGCTTAATCTTTGTTTGGTAATAATGTGTTATTAACATCCTTAATTCTTTAAACATTGATTCTTTTCTTCCTCATTGCAGGGGCCTGTCAGCCTGGCCAATATGTATGTGCGAATGGCCAATGTATTGAGCGAACACAAAGATGTGATGGAACATTCGATTGCAGTGATTATTCTGATGAATCTGATTGTGGTTGGTTTTTCATTTTCTGATTCTATGATTTTCCTTTTAAGTTCTGCTACTATCTTTTGAACTTAGTATGTTAGGATATGGTGAAAGTTTTTACTAATTTTAGCACTACTTATAAAAGTATCTTAGTTAAACAAGCAGTAGTGTTTTAATCTAAAACAACAATATCTTAATTAAACTTGCCTCGAAACATTTTATCAATGAGGTCAACTATTAAGTCAGTTTGATTTTTGCATTTATTGGAGTATGAGATCTCTCCTGAATTTAAATACTAGACTTTGGCAGCTTTTTCCATTTTCCTGATCCTGAAAAGAATTTTCTTAGTTTAATATATTAAAGAAAACTCCCTAAAATCTTTAAAAGTTCCTAAGTATATCACATTAATTTATGATTTTTTTACTTTGCTTATTGTTTAGTTGAGAAGTAAATAAGCAGTTATTATAAAATTATAAAGTAAAATTCTAATATAAATTTTTTATACATGATATACATTCTAATATATATATATATATATATATATATGCATGCANGACTGTTAAGTTAGAAATATTTGAACCATTTCAGTATAATTATATATATATATATGAAAAAAAGGTGATTATAATTTTAACACTGTAATTCTGCTTATATGGTAATCAAAAAGAAGAATGATGATTTATTAATTTAAATTAAACAAATCATATTTTTTGTTCAAAAAATAAACATTAATTTTTATCTAGCTTTAAATTCATTAAATTTTTGTTTCTTATTTCAGCCCCAGAAGGTGGTGTCAATATTAAAGTTTACCCAGAAAGGCAAAGTATTAGACAAGGTAAATCTTTTTGTGACTTTTCAGATTTATTAATATGAACAAAGGCATATCATTGGTATTGTGCCAAAACTACTGATATGTCTTTGGCCACTTTGTCTTTTGGCAGAGTTGTGGTTTGGGCAAGATGCCAAGATTATATAAGTTCATGTTGAAACTTGATATTTATTAATTTCTGAATTTTCTAGGGAGAGAGGTAGTATTCCGTTGTCGTGATGAAGGAACTCGCAGGTCCCCTGTCAAATGGATACGTGCTGATAACCGAGCGATGCCAGAAGGCAGTTCTGATAGAGGAGGTCGACTTACAATGCCAAACATTCAGCCTGAACATAGTGGTGTTTATATTTGTACTTCTGCTAGTACCACTGGAAGCTCATCTAGTTCACAGAAAGCAGCCTTCCTTACAGTACAACCATGTAAATATGCTGATTATTGTGACCTTGCCAGAATTTGGGGTATTCGTCGCAGAATTAGATAAGGCTCTGGGGATTATTTTTTCTAATCGGAAGAATTTGTTTTATTTCATCATATACGTTTCACATAAATTGCAATTGCTTATATATAACTGCGTAGACTTGATTTATGCTAACTTATTATCATTTATGAAAGCTGCATATTTTATTTTATAATTTAAATATTTCCTAATATATTTTGAATTTTTGAGCTTTTTACTAAGTCCAATTATTATTTTTTTTTGTCTCAATGCGATGACGAGTATGCTTTATATTTACAGTATTATCTGTAATTGAGCTTATATTTTTAACTGCTTTTGTGTTCCTAATTGAGGTTACTTTAATAATTCCTGAGGATTTATTTGCTTTGAATTTAGGCTTACAGTATTTTCTCCTGGTTGTGAGATAAATATTTATTGAATTAATATGCCATTTACTTTGCACTGGATATTTTTTTCCCAGTTTATGTCCAATTCTCTCTGATTTACTGCACATATTAATGCTGCAATTTTATTACCATCATGTATTCTGTTTGTTTGGTTAGTTATTAACTATATTTCTTCATCTAAAAATGCCTTTATAACTAAACTATCTGTGATATTTTGTCATTTAAAAAATATTTTTATAAGAGTATGTTTTTAATGACTTAGTGCTTCTATAAGCCCATATTTGCTTCCTTAAGCTCAAATTTTTAGAAAAAATATTAGAAATTTGTTAATTTACATATTAAATATGAATGTTTTTTTATTTACTTAAAAATTAACTTAGATTATATTTGTAAAGTTGTATGTCAGGAATGTAGATTGCATTTAATACTTTTTACTGGTTAACAATCCTTTGAGCATTTAAAAAATTTTAAATTTTATTCCACCCAATTTCCTTGTAAAAATTGCAATACTTGAATGTAGCCAAAAACTCTAATTTTAAAAAACTTAGTGACATTTTTTTTTATCGTGACCGTTAATTTACATGAAATATTTCTTGCTCTTTGAGAATGTAATAGTATTTTAATGACTTATTGACGCAATAAATGCACTGGTCAATAATATTGACTGTTTTATTATAATGAATGTTTCCTGGTATGTGCTACTAAAAGTATCTAACTAACTTCTATATGAAAAAGTAGAAAAGCAGGAATTAACAGATTTTAATACTAATATACATATTTTTCTATTACTTTACTAATATCGTGGTGGTGTGTTTATAATCAATTAGTTAAAGTTGCTACCAAATTGATAGCTTGACAAATGTTTTTTTACTGAATGATTATTCAGCTTTGCTGGTGTCCATGTATTAACAACTGAAACTTGCTCTGTAGCTGTTCCTTTCTATGGAACGTCTTTTCCACATGTAGAATCCAGCAATGTCGGAGGTAAAACCTTACTTTTAAAAGTAAGCTTGTTTGTAAGCATGCTTTATAAAGCATTTTGTATTTTTGCATGACATCGATGTCCTCAGTTGTAATAATTGCTTTACATTAGTGCCAAATAAAGTATTTTTTTATACTTTAGTTTCTTTGTCATTGATTTGACTTCTGTACATAAAACTGACTATCTATTTTTTCTCTGCATGTCGGGTCTTGGACTAATTGGATATGGTTGCATTTTTGAGTCTTTGTAATTAGACCAATTAAATGTAGATAAAAAGCATGACATCCTGTAGTTAATAGTTCTTGTAATGTTTGCATGTTGCTGAAATACCAGTAAACTCAATCTGTGAAATATCTGGCATGTCATTCTATAGTGATATGAATTAATTTCCAGATGACATTTCCAAAATTTTTAATGAAATTTTTTTATTATTCTTTTAATTTTTTTTATAAATTTTAATCAAAATTGTCTAAAACATTTCTACTAATATATATATATATATATATATAAAATATATATAACCTTTTTGAAGAAATATGCTCCACAATATTTAAGAGTGTCTTGAGAAGTAATACCTTAGGTCGTACATGTTATCCATATTAGCTTTGTGAATGAATACATACAATTTATAAGGGTTTAATTGTTAAAATAAAACTTTAAGTGAATAGGTTCAAAGCCATATTTTAACCAGTAACATAAAAGTACCAATTTATGAAGTAGATTATGTTAAATAGTTGTTTTAAGCTTAAAAAAAACAGTTAAACAAAGTGCACATATTACTTCATAATTTTTGTATATCAGTTTTATGGATATATAAGAATAAACATTTAAGATTTCGACTATTCATGAATTACAAATTTTGAAATATGCATTCGCTTTACAGTTCTCGACTAAGTATAATTTTCACCTTCCGTCCAAGCAGCATCTTAAAAGTATCATGAATTATTCAATAAAATCCTTAGTTTGTTTTGCATATTGAATCAAGTTGTAAATGTCAATTAAAGACTATCCCTTGTTATATTTTTTATTGAACTTCAGAATTTTTTGTGAGAGTTATAAATTAATCTAAAAATTTCCGTTCTATGCACATTGAATAATATGTAGCAGTTTATAGTCAATAGCCAGGATTAATTTAAAAAGCTCAGAGTTTAATAAAAAGAGTTTATGTAAGAATACTCGTTGTCAGTTTTTATTTATTTAACCTTATTTAGCAGTCTTGTTCTTATTGTCAGTGTTTTCTTTTAATTCAAATAGGAGAAGATAAAATAGCTTTATTATTCTTTTGTTTAGCATAATATAAAAAAATTACTTATTAGCTTTTTTTAGCGAAATATCAAAAAAATTCAAAAGAAATTGTTTACTTATTAAAATAAAAATGCAAGATGTGTAACTATCTAAGCATCATGCAACTAACCAAGTTATTAAAGAATTTCTGGCATTATTGCCTCATAGAATAATATGAAGAGATTGGTTTGTTATGATTCAATTATGAAATAATAAAATTCAGGTATCTGAAGGCTTAAATAATTTACTTAAATTTCTGTGTATTTAATAAGGATATAAATAACTACACTTTCTTCGCTTTCCATAGATAAATAATTCTTTTTCTTTTATTCAATACAAAATTAGTTATTTTCAAGAATTTTTTTTAAAATTTTTCATCCTTACTTATCTTTATTATATCCTATCTATTACATTTTATTAAATCTGGAATGAAAGAATGACTTTCTAAATTTACTTTTCTCTTCTTACTGCTATCCTCCTGTCTGGATAATTGGTAAGCTCTGATTCCTTCAAAATTTATGAGAAATTTGTAATAGAAAACCTATAATTCGATGTTGCAATAGATAACCTATGTGATTTAAAATGCATGCTATCGAATGAAAATTATAATCCCCTCCCATTTAAAGCAACATTTTAAAGGTTGTTATGTAGGTATTTATTATCCCCCCACTAATATTCCAAGTGACCTAATACATTAAAACATGATAGTTTATTTTCTAAGTTATACCAATGAGTTATATAAAAATCTTTCATTTATAATCTTCATAGAATTAAACTCAATTGTTCTTTGGTATAATATATTTACATTTAATGTACTCTTCATTAAAATCATTATGAAATAATCTATTCAAAATGATGGTGCAGGATTATTTTTATTCATTTGATATGACAAATATATCTAACCAGATTTTCATTAGGTTCCCCCTTTTTATTTGAAAGAATAAAATTGTAAACCAATATATGTTCAGAGATGTCAACTTGCTCCGGACAGTAAATAAAATTTTTTGAATGGTAGTTTATTAATGTGTGATTCTTGGTTAAAAAAATTTAATTTATCAGGTTTTTATCTACCACTATTTAATTCTAAATAATTCGAAGGGTTATATGATTCGCCACTTTTTTTCTGTTAAGTCATGCTACACTGTTTAAGAATTATGCAAAATTAGTCAAATATTTACAAATTTTAGCTTGTAGTTGTTTACCATTTTTAAAATTTATATGGCGCATCCGGAGCGTTTGGTATCTCTGTATGTTTAGTATGTGTATAAAAATCATAGCAAATGCTCATAATTAAAATTTCTTGTGTGCTACTGTTAGGTTAAAGTATTGCAAATTACTTTCATATATATGAATTTATCAAGCAAGCAGTTTAATTTAAATCTGTTTAGGCAAGCACTTGTTATATGATCTTCATAACTTTTAAAATTTAAATAGCAAGAATTGGATTTTATATTAATAAATAAAATTTTATTGATGTTAATAATGTTGTACAGTAACTGACAGAAATAGAGTAGTCATTCTAAATCATGCTTCATTAAAATTTTTGTAGCCCATATTGTTTTAAAAATAAGCACCGTTTATAAATTTAGTTTTTAGGCTTTGTATATTTTATAGAGTGTTACTAGAGCAGATTTTATTGAGCGGACGAACTATATATATATTTAAACAAAACTGCTCTGCATTTTTTCCAATTCTTTTTAAAATTTAACTATAGTTTAATTTTAAATAATGTACAAATAGTTATGTATTCAATGAATACTTTCTTTTAAAATTATAGAAATTATACAAACACTTTATAAAAGGATTTTAAGTATATTCTTTTCCCTCTCAGATATTTTTCATCTGTTATATTGTTAATTGTTTAAAAAATTTTAATAAACAAACCTTTCTTAGCCTCTAGTGATTTTTAAATTTTAACATTAAGCAAAAAAAATTAACTATGACTTTTACTGAACGTGAAAACAATGCATTGAATCAGACAAGTGTAGTGTGCAACTTAAAATAGTTGAATGTATTATTTTTTGCCCACAGTGAAATGTTTTTTGCCTTTTTGTTACATTTTCAAAAAACACATTTTTTGTGTAACAAATTAAATTAATGCAAACTTTTCCACTTTTTTTCGAGTCTAACATTTTAAGAATTTTGGGGGGAAATTTTAAAGTCAACTATACTAGGTAAATAAAAGGAAATTTTCAGGTAAGCCCCACCTGAAGCCTTGTTTTCAGAATTTAGCTTGCTTTTTCTTTGTATTTCATTTCATCGTAGTTACTTGCATTATCCAACAAAAACTTAAAATACGTTAGGAGAATATTTGACTGAAGGAGATCAAGCGAGCATGAGACTAAATTAAGAGACTAAGTCCGTAAAATTTTTGTTGTACAAATTAAGTTTAAACTGTTACGTACAATAATATCAAATTTCAATGGATGTATGGTTGAATACGAACTACTTTAAGGAAATAAACACATTTAAAATAAAACATTTAAGTTGCACAGTTAATAACGAAAGTTAAATATTATAAAAAATTATAATTTGTTAGTTAAATTTCAATTTCCCAGATTGAACAAATATTTGTAAAACTCTATTTTAATCTGCATTTGGTTTTTGTCTAAGTTATAAAAATTAAAATCTAAGTCTTAAGTTATAAAAATTAAAATCTAAGTCTTAAGTTATAAAAATTAAAAATTGTCATAATTTGGTGAGTGATTCATTTTTTTTAAAAATTATTTTATTGAGCTGAACTCTAAAAGCCTTTTTTCAAATAAAATGGGCTATAACGGAATAGTCAGATAGTTAGGATGTTTGTCATTGTTAGTGTTAAATTTTTACCACCTTTAGGTTAACCAGATCTCCTTAATAGTAAAAAGTCACCACACTTATCTACGGCTAGATTATAAGTGTATACTTGCATAGTTGGTAAGGAAATGTGAGCTAACTTTACTGAAAAGTTATATAGTTTTTATTTTATTTTTGGACTGTTAAGTTAGAAATATTTGAACCATTTCAGTATAATTTATAATGTTTCATAAAAAAATTATACTAAGAATATAATGAGTAACGTTATTATATATAATTATATAGAAACACCTTAAATGAGATCCTGGGACTGAAACTTAGGCATGACTTGATACAAAGAAACAAGTTGACTTTTTTTTTATTGTTTTGGTGTAGCTTTTGTTTTTGACCATCTAAAATGTGTTTTTGTAAAGGACGGCAGAATATTCTGTAACGATTGTGACTGAAAAAAAGTTTTAAATCAGCAACAAGAAGAAAATATTAATGATTTACAGCTGAAAATTCATTTGAGACTTGATAGAAGATGTAGTCCACCTAATATAACAAAACTGTATTTAGGAAATGTTAGGAGTTGACTCTGCCCAGTATTAACTTATCCTATGGAACTATTTTCTTTTAAAGATAGCTTAGTAAAGAAGTATATATTTTTGGAATGAATGGATTTTTAAATTTTTATTGCGTTACATTTTTGCCCTTTGAATTGGAATAACGTACTCTTACTATAAAAAAGAAAATCATCTATTGTAAATTTTTTTATTTCATTTTGTATATAACTTAGTTAAGTATTTTATTTAATTTTTAGTAATTAAAATTGTTCTATATGATATCTTAGCTATTGTTATTTTTATCATTTTGCCTTAATATTCATTGATTTGGTAGATTCAATTGTTTCTGATGGTGGAAAAGTATTGTTTCTGATAACAACAAATGAATTAGTTTTTCGTATGGATATTGTATAATATTATAAAATAATTTTGCTTTATTTTTTACTAAACTCTTACTATTACTGTTGCAGATGTTCCTCCAACATCTCGTCCAACTCGACCACCAGGAGCATGTGCCCGGTCTGAAGCTACATGCCAAAATGGTGACTGCATTCCTTGGACTTATGCATGTGATGGAGATTTCGATTGCACCGATCGATCTGATGAACTTAATTGTGGTAAGTTTTAAGACAAAGAGGGAGAAATAACAGATAGAGAAATTATTGAATCTAAATAATATATAATGATAAAGTTTATTTCATTATTAAATCTGTATTATAGAGTGCTTTGCAGATTATTTCCTCTCAATTTGTTTCACCAATTATAACCAATTTATTTCTTCAGCAAATATAATTAATGTTTTTTGGGTTATCTAGTCTCCAGTATTAATTGAAAATCTTTGGTAAATAATAGAAATTCCTAAAGCTAGAAATATGTTTATAAAATATTATTTAATTTTTAAACAAATGTTACAAATCTGTTAGTCAATTTTAGGTTTTCTCTATAATTTCCAGATTTAATTTTAAACCTTTTAGTATGTCATAGGTATTCTTAAATATAGGATAAATATTTTAAAAAATTTTATTCTTTTGGAAATATTTTTTATATTGAAATAAACTTATAAAATATTTTATTTCTTTAAAATATTTTAGATTTTAAACTTTTTTATCACAAGATTTAACATAATTTTAACATTGGTAACATAATTTTAAATTTTTCACCAAGCTCTTAATTTTTTTTTGGAGCTTTATGTTATGCTTTTATCAAATATATTTGAATTCTGGTTGACAAATTTATCAATCTAGTCAAATTATTCTAAATAATTATAAAAAAATATGGATTTTTGATAAAATGCTATTTTTCAGTAAAATCGTAAATGAAATTTTCCAAAAATGTGTTAAATGTTTAATAACTATAAAAATAGCTTTCCATTTTATTCTATGGGTTTTGTGTTCCTTTAGAGTTTCTATTAACTTCTCTCTACATGTGCAATTCATAGAACTCTTTACTTTCAGTTATATTTTTGTGAAAATTTTTTTGAATGTGATACAGATAATTGTCTTCCCATATGGTTGTAATTCTAATGCATACTAGTACTGTAGCTGTATTTATAATATGAATTGGTTGTTTTTTTTAGATTATCAATATCAGTGTCAGCCTAATGAATTTCAATGTGACAATAAGAAATGTGTATTGAAAGTTTGGAGATGTGATGGTGATAATGACTGTGGAGATAATAGCGATGAAAAATCATGCAGTGAGTATCAATAGTCTCATTCAACGCATGCATTTAACATATTTCATTACTTCTCTAAATTTTTACTTCATTATGTCTTATTTCTTTCATTTCACTTTTTGTTTGCAGTGATCACTGCAAGTTTAGTATTTGAGAATTTCAGATAAATGCAAATTTTGTAGCTGCAGTATTAATATTTTTAATAAGATTATATTTTTTGATTTAAGTACATTAAAAGAAAATAAATTTTTGTAAAACTATATTTATGGTTTAACGTTTTTTCTTATTTTATTTGTAATGCTAACTGGAAAATGTTTGCCATTATGATTTGCTAAGATTGTAACACAAAAGATTTAAACCCAATTATATAAGCTGCTATTCTCCATAAACCATACTAGCTTTTTAGGTGTAAACAATGAAATTTGCATTTAACAAATTTCTATAACCAAGCAATAACTATTGATTTTTTTCATTATTTTCTAAAAGGTTTAAATTTTCAAAAGCTTAACAAACCCAAATTGATTAAATTGACTAGTAAGTAATAAATACTTAAATTCATATTTTGTATTCTTAAGTATATGTAACGAAAAATTTAAGTATTTTGATCCTTTCCTGACTAATATTGCCATATTCCGTAGGTAAGTTTAAAGATAAGTGAAATTATCAATGCATAAAACACATATTTCCATAAAACACAAAGCCTCAGGTTTAAAGGTTTGTGTTGAAAATATTTTTCTGTATTTTGAATTCAGTTTCTAATACTACAGGATATTTCATACACAATATTGTAAAATTTTTAAGTGAAATCTTTACCTTTCTTTGTAATTCATTCAATTTGTCCTATAATTTATTGCTTTTACTTAACTAACTTATATGGGTCATTTCTAGCGTTTCATTAAATCAAATTTCAATATTCTTAATTGTTATGAAATTTTTAAAATCTTAATAATATCACCTAATTCAAAACCAGGATTGGCATTTTGTTCCTAAGAAACCTATTTCTTCCAGGATACTGGAAGAAATAGCCTACTAGATTTTACTAGATTTGCCTACATAATTATCTGATTTACCTAATATTGTTCAGCCATTACTCTGAATACATTGAGCCTATTTAGATTTGACCAACTCATCACAGATAGGACTCATATTTAGCTATCCGATCATATCTAGATACGTGAGGCAAATCTAGATGTCCTAATCTTTGCTGAGTGCATGTTTTTGTAGGAGCATTGTTGATCTTCTTTTAAGCTGTACAGAAGAAACCAAGAAAAAACTTTTGTTATTAAAGATTCTTTTTTAGTAGCAATTTTTTGTATGAGAATGAACTCTTAAGTATTTTGAAATGTTTAATTTATTTTACCATTTGTTGCGGAATTTTTTTTTCTTTTCTAGAGAACAAAACAGAATTATTTAAGGTTTAAATGATGCAGATATGTTAATATCTTTCAATTTCATTCGTTTTAGGTCCTAATCCTGCTGGCTCCCCTTGTAGGTATGATGAATATAGGTGTCTATCTGGAGACCAGTGTATTCCTAAAAGCTTCCAATGTGATGGAGAATTTGACTGTCAAGACAAATCTGACGAAATTGGCTGTGGTAAATAACAGAATAATTTTACTCGTTATTATTCTATTATTTATCCAGTTTTCATGTGATGATGAAATTCCTTTCTTGTAGCTTCCCCAACCATAACTCAACCTCCACCTGAAACTTTAACAGTTGAAGAAGGTGAAACAGTGACCATTGTTTGTACAGCAGTTGGCAACCCAACACCTATCATTAGCTGGCGTTTGAACTGGGGAAATATCCCACCTGGACCCCGTGTATCTGTTACTAGTGAAAATGGTCGAGGAACTGTTACCATTAGAGATTCCAGACAAAGTGATCAAGGAGCATGGAGTTGTGAAGCTATTAACAGCAAAGATAGCGTTCTGGCCATTCCTGATACTGTTTTGGTTGTGAAACGTAAGTCATTGACTTCAGTTTGTCGTGGTCCATAGTTTGTGCAGTTGAAATTTTAAATTCAAAATTTGTAAAATATTTCCTTTTAAATCAAAGAGAAATCTAGGGGAGGAATCTAAAGTTAAAATAAAAAGACTTGAGAAACCATTATAAAGTTCTGATATATCTGAACAAAGATGTGTCATTCCTGATGGTCATCATCCCATGGTAATCTTAGATTTATACCCTATAAGTATTGAATATTGGATTCTACCCAAATTATCTCATGAATGTTAGGATTTTAGTTATAGCTTTCTTTCTATAAATGAGTTGTCATGATCTTGCCAATTTTAATTTTTTATGTTAATTTTTAAATATGTTTTTATTTTCATCAGAGTACAGTTAATTATAATTTTTATATTTTTATCAGATAATGATGCAATTTGAAATATTGGATTACAGTTTACAAATTTTTTTTAATGTTATGGCATTATCACTGAAGGCATGTCTCGAAGTTTGTACTGCCTATCTAAAATTGTGAAGTGTAACATAAAAGAGAAACTCCCCCCCTTATTTATTACATAACTGGTAAAAAGATTTGATTAATTTTTAAATTACCCCAACACCTATTTGGAACAATGAAAAGTGACCATGTATCTCATCTCATCTCATCTTCTTAACTAAAAATTGGAGATTCCATTCTGGCTGGTAAAAACAATTTTTTTAGTATATTATTTGACTATCCAATATACAATTAAGTGAGGACGACTGAATCATGTAAATATTTCTGTTCTATTCTTTTTGTTGAAACTTCATTTATCATTTCCTCCAATGTAATGTATTGTATCCAAATTGAACTAAATATCTTATTCTTTTTCTATTTTAGCTAAAGCTGGAATTTGCAGACCCCCACTTTTCAATGAAAAAGCTGCTGTATCTTCTGACTGCTTAAGATGTTATTGTTTTGGTGTAACAGAAACTTGTTATAGTAGCAGTCTTCATGTTACTTCTGTTAGTATATACATTAAAAATCTTCAATTAGATATTCATTTACGTTTTTCATTTATTTTATATGAAGCTCACGTAAGCTTTGAACTTAATAATGACATAATAATTATTGTTTCATATTTAATTTATCAATTTGTATGCATAGTATTAGGACATAAATCCACTTGCTAATAAAATTCTATTAGAAGTCGATTTAAAAAATCTACAGTTTTTTAAATTTTGTAAAATTTGAAGAAATTAAGAATGTTTTGCAATTTTAGAGATGAAATAATTAATATTCATACCATTTCTCAGAAAATTTGAATAATAAAAGAACTGATAATACCTTAGAAATAACTTTATTTTACTAAACGTAATAATACAAAGACTTTTTTCTCTATTTTATAGACTTTCAAAAATAAATTTAGTCATTTTTTATGAGCTAATCTTTATAATCATGAGCACCATTGTGATGATTCTTTGCTTCAAACTCTATTCTAAATTTTGTTCTCTTTTAATAACAATTTCACTTATATTCTAGGAAAAAAGAACCTTGTTTATCAAAGTGCTTTGTTTATCTGATGAAATTTTCATAAAATATAAAAATTCATACAAAGTTAACCCTTAGGTCTGAGTTTACCAAGGTCAAGTTAACAAGGTCTGAGCCCCTGGATAAAATGCTTAAATTTCCTTGTTGTTTCTTTGAATAACTCGAAGAAATTATTTTCCCATTAAATAACATTAAAAAAAAGTTTTTGTTTTTATAAAGAGAGCTTGCATCTGATGTAGTGAAAGCCAGGACTAACGCTTAGTTAGTTAGGATTCGGTTAGATACTTTTACTGAAATGATATTTATATGAAATAAAGTGTTTGATATTTAATATTATTTAATTCAGAATGTGTTTTTATGTTTTATTGTAGATACCTCTTCAAACTGAGATTGCAGTTGTTGCACTTCAAAAGGATGGACGTGGTAATTATGAAGATGTTGGTCAAAGATATCCACCAAATCAAAATGCCATTCAGTATAATTCAGCAAACAGGGAGTATAAAGTTGAAGGGCATGTCAAAGGTGATGCCCCCACTGACGTCTACCATTACTGGAGTTTGCCACCTGAGTTCCTTGGAAATCAAGTTAGTGGAGTAAACTTCTTTTTTTTAAAAAAAAAAATTTAATTTTCAAATTAAGAATTAAATTAGTTTTTTTTATAAATATGAGCAGTTAGAACATAGTTGAACTGATTTTTTCTATAGTATTTTAAATTAACAATGGAAATTAAGTGTTTTAAAGAAAATTTTTGGATCATTAACTATATTTTTTTGTTTCATTATTATATAATTAAAAACAACTATTTTGAAAAAAAAACTATTTGCCGATTAACAGGAAACTGGTAAGTAAATAAATGTTTATGAAAGTAAACATTATTGCCAAATGCAATCCTTCTTGAAAATTATGCACCGAAAATTGTTTTCAGTTCTTCAGTTTTGTCCTTTAAGGATCCTAGGCTTGTATTTAAATTGGCACTATTTGAAAAATTATAATTTGTAAGTGGGGCACATTATGTCATAAAATTATTCATTCTAACCTAAAGTTTAAACTGTTAATGCCACATTTTAAACATTATTCTACTCTACTTTTAAGTGATTTGTAACTTAGTTTTGAAATAATGTGTAAGTTAATCTCAAATGTTATTTGCAAGTTAATTTTTCATGGATTAATTTTTTATATTTTCAGAACTTGAAATTTTACTGGAGGGTCTTCTTTGAATTTCTTTGTAGAAATTTTTTTTAAATTTTTTATTTCATTAGCATTTACTAAAAATATTAGGTTGGATTGTTTTAATAATTTTAGAGATTTGCATCTAATTTATAAAACCTAAACATTAAATTATATAAAAAGTAATTTAAATACAATGGACCAATTAATGCAGTATAAAGGTATATTAATTATTAATCAATTTTTAAATTCAATAATTTTTTCAATGTTTTAAAATAATGTTTTGTACCTGCAATTAACCATTACACCATATTCAACTGCAACTGGAAAATTAACAATGAAAAATGGTGCTTAACTTGTTCTTCTAGTTAACTTTTTAAATTATAATTTTTCATATATGGCTCATAATAACTTTTATATTTGTAATATTTTCCCTTGTATGATAAAAAATTACTATTATTTTGAAATGTGATTGACATACCTTATATATAGATTTTTTTAAAACCATTTTTAGCTGAATAGTTATGGTGGTTACATTCGTTACATCTTCAGATACAGTGCTCCTTTTGTACCTAATCCACCAAAAATTGCTGATTTCATTTTGAAAGGAAATGGTCTTACCCTTTATCATGTTGTAAAGCAACCATATGGACCTCAACGAGACAACAATGTTGAAGTTAGATTTTGGGAGGTTTGTTTATTTAAATTCCTTCGTATCACTGTATTCTTTTAAATACTACAGAAATTGTTTGTTAAATTAGCTTATTAGTTATTAACCATAACTTTTGTGTGTGTTTGATTTTCCATAATCTAAAACAGGGGTTTCCAACTTACATGAGGCCGGGGGTCACAATTAAAAACAGAAATCAAATGGCGGGCTGCAACTTTATCAAAATTTTATGTGGGACTCTTATGTTTGAAGGAACATTAAATATTACTGTCAGATTATTACCAAGTTGTACAAATGTATTGAATTACAAATTAAAATAAGAAGTAGATTTTCAAAAATATTTAATTGTTATTAATATTATTTTTAGAAATATTAAATAAATACTAAAAATTCGGGCTACAATAACTTTAATGTGCATGTATTAAATCATTAATGTGCAAAAGATGTCTAATTGTTAAGATATAAAACTTTAAAAAAGGTTGGTATTAAAAATTACATAGTAGCACACAAAATGTTTAATTAGAAAATAGAGGTTTGTCTGCTGCAACCACCAGAGAATAGATATTTACATTTAAAATTTACAAATGTGTGTGTAAATATTTTCGTCCAAAATGAGTGGTTTCAAAAAATTAAATCGAAGAATTTCTTCGAGAATATTTCTGATACACACATGCTAAATTATGTTCACAAAATACAAAATAAATAAAATAAAAAAGAGACACGATCATTTTTGTATTTGAATAAATATGTTCTTGGATAAAAAACCTGAGAAATAAATTTTTTTCTCCGTTGGTATGTTAAATTTCACAAAAACGAAGAAATTAAGTTTTTTCTAACGAAGGAAAAGTATTTCACACTCATAAATATTTTTTACGAAAATTGTCGGTAAAAAAATGGCAACTAATGTATTTTAGTTCACGGGCCACAAAAAATGGCTTTGCGGGCCGCAAGTTGAAAACCCCTGATCTAAAACATATGAAAAAGTTTATTATTTTTTTTAAAAAGTGAAGTTTTTCAAAATAAGCATGAATTAACACCCTTAAAAAAAGCACATGGAAAATGAGGAAAGTTTTTATATCTATTATAGTTTAACTTAGAATGAAAATTTAAATANTAGATTTTTTTAAAACCATTTTTAGCTGAATAGTTATGGTGGTTACATTCGTTACATCTTCAGATACAGTGCTCCTTTTGTACCTAATCCACCAAAAATTGCTGATTTCATTTTGAAAGGAAATGGTCTTACCCTTTATCATGTTGTAAAGCAACCATATGGACCTCAACGAGACAACAATGTTGAAGTTAGATTTTGGGAGGTTCGTTTATTTAAATTCCTTCGTATCACTGTATTCTTTTAAATACTACAGAAATTGTTTGTTAAATTAGCTTATTAGTTATTAACCATAACTTTTGTGTGTGTTTGATTTTCCATATTCTAAAACAGGGGTTTCCAACTTACATGAGGCCGGGGGCCACAATTAAAAACACAAATCAAATGGCGGGCCGCAACTTTATCAAAATTTTATGTAGGACTCTTATGTTTGTAGGAACATTAAATATTACTGTCAGATTATTACCAAGTTGTACAAAAGTATTGAATTACAAATAAAAATAAGAAGTAGATTTTCAAAAATATTTAATTGTTATTAATATTATTTTTAAAAATATTAAATAAATAATGAAAATTCGGGCTACAATAACTTTAATGTGCATGTATTAAATCATTAATGTGCAACAGATGTCTAATTGTTGAGATATAAAACTTTAAAAAAGGTTGGTATTAAAAATTACATAGTAGCACCCAAAATGTTTAATGAGAAAATTGATGTTTGTGTGCTGCAACCACCAGAGAATAGATATTTAAATTTAAAATTTACAAATGTGTGTGTAAATATTTTCGTCCAAAATTAAATCGAAGAATTTCTTCGAGAATATTTCTGATACACACATGCTAAATTATGTTCACAAAATACAAAATAAATAAAATAAAAAAGAGACACGATCATTTTTGTATTTGAATAAATATGTTCTTGGATACAAAACCTGAGAAATAAATTTTTTTGCGCCATTGGTATGTTAAGTTTCACAGAAACAAAGAAATTAAATTGTTTCTAACGAAAGAAAAGTATTTCAAACCCATAAAGATTTTTTACGAAAATTGTCCGTAAAAAAATGGCAACTAATATATTTTAGTTCACGGGCCACAAAAAATGGCTTCACGGGCCGCCAGTTTGAAACCCCTGATCTAAAACATACGAAAAAGTTGATTATTTTTTTTAAAAAGTGAAGTTTTTCAAAATAAACATGAATTAACGCCTTAAAAAAAGCACATGGAAAATGAGGAAAGTTTTTATATCTATTATAGTTTAACTTAGAATGAAAATTTAAATAGCATTTAAAAAATCTGCATTTAAACTACCTATCAAAGTAGATGAACGATGGATTTTAATGAAAAATAGTTAACTATAATTAGATTATTAAAATTAACAAATAATTTAAATCGAAACTCATTTAAATGTATCGAAAAATTGATATTTTGTACTTTAAAAGAAGGATGTATTTTAAAGCAATGTACCATATTTTACTTTCTCCTATTTTTATAAAACATGATTCGAACAACTAATTTTAAACTTAAATGAGATATATAATGTAAGGTTTTATCACATAAATGTTGCATTTCAAACTTTCTACTCTCTATTAAACTTAAGTATTCTTTTTAGTTTTACCATAAGGCCTTATTTAAGCAAAGATGCTACTTTGCTTAGTAAGGATATAATACTTAATTTTAAAATTATATTAATTTGTTGTTGTAATTAATATTGTTGAACAGCCATCCCAATTTTCGGGTTTACGACTACTAATGTTCAACTCCGTAGCCTTGTAATTTGGAACCCAATCCAGAAGACAAGGGAACCCCTGGATCAAGTATTAGGAGAAATTTGCCTTTGTGGAGGACTTTGTTTTATGGAACTAATCCACATTTGCATTTCACAGAGTGGAAGACCATAAGAACCTCCCACGGTTAGCCTGATGGCAAAGAGACTCTATCCCATGATCTGCCTCTCACTGAGAATATTTTTGTCAGCACTGTGGTCGGTGCAAGCAAAATGCAGATTTGTATTGACCAGCCATCACTGGAATTCGAACCCATCTCACTTCATTGAAAAGCAAGCATTATATCCCCCGAGAAAAAAGTTTATCTACATTCATTTTTCATATTGAATTTTGAGGGCTGCAAGGAAACTGTAATATGTTATATTTTAGGGTGAATGGCATAAAAATGAAGAGGGAGGTCGTGGAGATGTTCCCTCCGTTGATGTTACTACAAGGGAAGATATTATGATGGTTCTGCAAAATATTGAAACCTTCTATGTTCGTGCTAGTTATGATGAAGAAATGATTCATTCCAGGTAATAAAAATTCCAAGTTCTTTTCATTTTCTTTCACTCTGAACACAGACATATATATTTAAGAATCTTAGTGTGGGTTAGACCTAGTTTAGGTTGTACCTCCAATTTTTTTCTCCTAAAGTTATATGTTTGTTATTTTATAATTATGATCTCATAACTATGATTTTATAATTATGATTTACAAACATGAAATAATTTTTTTCTTACAATAAAACAGTTTATTCTCTCCTAATTTACAATCATGTTATTTATATTTTTCTTTAATATTAGCAGTAAAAATAGTCATCATATGACTTTTAAACATTTTTACATGCAGTTTAGTTTTATCATGATATAAAAGTTTTTATTCTTCAAACTGTAGAGTTAATTATTTTATAGATTCTTCTTTCTTTTTTTTTTACTTGTCACGGAAAGTAGAGTAATTAGATATATAGAAATATATAACATTTATTTATTTATTGAATGTAATATCAAATATATGGAATAAAAAAGAAGTATTTCATATCTGAGCAAATAAATAACAAGTAGCAGAGATTATGTTAAAAAGATAGCAACTTCTTCATTATAATTGTTGATTGAATATTTTTTTAGTTCAAATCATTCTACACTTGAATTCAAAGGATTTTACCAGTTCTAAGAATCCCATTATTGTTTATGTTGAGTTAATCATTCATAATGTCACTGTAGTTTAGATTATTAAATATTCCAGTATTGCTTTTACATTATTTTATATAAATATAATTTAAAATATACTTTAAAATAATATTGGTTAAGATCATTTTTCTATGCTACCCAATAAATTATTAATACACATAATGACTCTTTTTAATAATTTATTAAGTTTGCATCTTTGCAACTATAAGTCACAAGGAAATTAATTTTATTTTGTTTAATTTAATAAAGCAAAAGAATTAGATTTTTATAAAAAAAGTCCATATTTCCTCGAATATTTAAGCCAGTCTATGAAATTTTGTGCAACTATTTCATATAATAACCAAAGTAATTGATACAAGTTACAAGCTTATTGCTATATTTTTTGCCATTAGTTATTCAAAAACACCATTTTTCTTCCGTAATTTATTGCCAGTTCTTAAAACTCCGAACTTCAATTATCTATATGTGAAATCTCATGATTTGAACACTTCTAAAGATATAAAATGATTTTCAAAGTATTTCTTGAGAAATATGAAAAAATGAGTTAGTATAGAAGTGTTTCCATAATTTTGTCCAACCCACGTATATATAAACACACACTAACTGGTCACTGCATTAAACACAAATAATTAACTTGTGTTCTAATATTACATCAAATTGTTTGTTTTTAAAAATTAATATTTTTACGTTTAGTATTCTAAACTTCCGAATTGACTCTGCTTCACTTGCTGATCCCTCAGCTCCTCAAGCTGTTTATGTTGAAAAATGTTCATGTCCTCAAGGCTATACAGGAAATTCTTGTGAGGTAAAAATATTTGGCATATTATTAAACTGATTAACTCCTATGTTTATTATGTCTAGCAAATACTAAAACTCTACTTGAAATCTGTTTACAATGAAAATTGAATTTTAAATTATGAAAATTGTTTATTTCAAAATTGGTATGGTTTTTCTTGTAAAATACTCATGGTTATTTTAGTATTGCCATTTTTTAAGGGAATAAGACAATGAATTGAAAATCTATTTTGCTTGCTAAAATATTTCTTCATTACTTGAAATATTTATAAATCAGAAAATGTTTGTTATACTCTTTTATTTTTAAAGCATTGACTAAGCCAGTATCTGTCATTTAATACTTTATTGAAAATCTCTTGTAGAATTGCTTTGCATAAAATTTATAGAATATATTACTGTTTTTTTTGTATGTACTGTTATTTGTTTTGTCATTTAAAAGATTTTAAACATGTATATTTTCGTTTTCTGAAGGTGTAAAGCATGAAAAGCATTTCTAGACATTAATCGAGAGCGTCTAATTTGAAATTCGCATGTTGTAATAAAATAATATTAAAAATATTGGAATTTGAAAATCGCCTAAGAAAATACAAATGTATATATATATATATATGCAACTTTAAATTTTTTAAAAATAGTTTCAGACTTTCTAAGCTCTAAAATTAACTTTTGATGCTAAGTCTAGACCAATGTTACTTTGTAACGAATCATTCATCTGAAAGACGATAAATTTAAAATCTCCTTTCTTCTAAGGAGACTAAAATACTTTAAGTCTCCTTTTTTATATCAATCAAACTAGCATAACTTAAAACAATGCTCTTTAATTAATTTTTGTAGAGGATGAAATTTGCCATTTTCTATCTTTGAAAATGTTAAAGTTTTAAGGTAACGCCTAGACTGTTAGGACAGTGGTAGTGTATCAAACAGTTATGTAGACAAATGTTTTACGATTCAGTTTTGTTTACATATTGAAATGTTTAGTTATCTTATTGAACTCTTTTTCTTCCAGGAATGCTCAGAAGGTTATACCAGAAGAGATACCGGCTCTGGTCTTGGAGACTGTGTACCATCCAGAGTGCCTTGTAATTGCCACGGACACTCTAGCCTTTGTGATCCAGTATCTGGAGAATGCTTGGTGTGTGCCATATTATTTATCTTACCATTTTAATGATACTTAAAATATTTGTTGGAATTAGCATTAAGTTAAATTCTTAATCATTTTTCTGTATGACATTCCTTAACTTGATATGAATGTGTCGTGTTCTTCTAGAATTGCCGCCACAACTCGGAAGGACGCCAGTGTGAAAGGTGTAAAAGAGGTTATTTTGGTGATGCCAGGCGGGGAACTCCTGAAGATTGTCAACCCTGTCCTTGCCCATTAATAACTACTCCAAACCAGTATGTATAGATATTTTCTTAACATGTAAAATATTTCTTTGTGATAAGCTTTTGTTTTTAGGTATGTTCTAATAAGCAGCTTTAATCTGACATTTGCCCAATGTTTCCAAAAATTGGTTAGGCATTGTATTTTGTAAAGCTGAGTGCAATTTTGGCAAGCTGCATATCCCCCTCGCTTTTTTTCATTTAGTTGCTTATTATAAACATAATAAATGATGCTATAAAATATGTTTTATGTATGTGAACTCAAAACTTTATATTTAATTTAAAGAATTTTCTACTTACTAAGTCTATATGTTTATTTAGTAATTTTTTTTTTTAAACTTGGGATAACTGAAGTATTCACAACTATGCATTTCAGATGGAAAAAAACTTACTTTCTTTCAATAGACAATAAAAGAACATTAGAAAATTTTTGTATAAAGTAATAAAAGCATAATGTGTTTTGAGTGCAGTGTATTTCTACTGGCTAATATGCCATGGCACTTTATCAATTACCAATTAATTGAACCTCGCAATTGGAATTAAGAAATAACTTCTTTTCCAAAGGAAATTTATTCTACTTTAATAGAGATGTAATTATTTACCTTTAAACCATTCTCTTCTTAACATGAGAAAGGCAAAGTTCAACCTACAAAATTAGTCACCACGGATTTATTGAGACTGTCTTTAAAAATGCACATTTTTGCAATGGAAATTAAATATAATTTCAAACATTGCAATAGGTTTACATCAATCGAGCATATTTTGATTTAATATATTTTGATGCATGTTTTAGNAAATAAAATAAAAAATAAATACAAATATGAAATTTCAAATTAATATGTTTTTAATTTTGATTCTATTATGACTCATTTTTGTTTTCTTGAATATGCAGTATATTTTAAATTTGGATTATAAATCCTTGGAAATAGTACTTACGCAAGTTATAAGTATTCTGTTACACTTCTCTAACTTAAAAATAAAATAACTATGAAATGTAAATTCTGTCAATTCTGTCATCATTCATTTGTGCATGTTTTGCTGTTAAGTAATAATTTCTACATGGACAAGAGTTGTTTCTTAATTTGTTACTAAGTAAAATAAGTCAGAAATTACTATAAAAAAGCTATTTTAGGTAATTGATTTGATTGCTTATTGAAATTAGGTACTGATTTGATTATAACAAGTACTGATCTGAATATTAAAATTACTGATTTGATTACTAAAATAGCTACACTAAGTGGCTATTGGCATTAATTTTGAGTTTATTCTTAGTAATTGATTTGGCACATTTGTTTAATTTTCAATATTTTTTAGACAATGTGCTTGATTGCAATTTTTTATATTTAATGATAGCCATTTTGAATTAATGCATTGCTTTTTTAAAATCATGTCCACAATTTCTTTGGTCAATACATGATCTCTATATAGATTCATCTATTTTTGCTGCATTCTGTTCTCTTAGGGACTGAGTTTCTAGAATTATGTTTAAATGAAAGGAAAAATTGTTTTTTTAATTCTAATGTGAAAGTTAAATTATTTATTTATATTGAATATATAGTAAAGAATATATTATTGCTTCCAATTTATCAAACCACAGTCATAAAATAAATTTTGTGTAATGATCAAGATTAGTGTAAAATATTCTAACTTTATAAAGTAAAAATACTTTCTTCCTTATATTATGTCAGTCTTTTGGATACCAGAAGTGATGGCTTGCTATCAGAATGGTAATAATGTAAAGAAGTTATTTTATCTGTGTCAAAAGCATGATAATTGTTTATTGTAAACAAGGCATGTTTTCTGTAACCGTCTATACATATGTGTACTTAAATTTCTGACAAGCTATAATCATAATATACCTAATAGGATTTAGAAAATATACCCGAGTTTCTTTCCATTTAGTAATATATGCTGAAATATTATGTAAGAGCTTATAAAAATTTTATTTCATAAACAAGGAAATATTGATGAATACCTATAAATTAAGCAGAAAATAAATATGCATTTATTGTACTTATACTTGTCTTGCAGCTGTATATATTGCATGATACAGACCAGATTTATTGAAAAAACTAGGATTGCATGATTATGTATGTTTGTATGAATATGACTTGCACTTAGATATAGATTAATTTTGTAAATTTGTTTTATGTTAGTTTAATTTTAATCTTAAACATTTTAATTTTTATTGCATTACTTCCCTTAGTAATAGAGAAGTTATCTGATTATTGTGTGCTGGATAATTACAAAGTATTTTCTAAATCCTGAACTCTGTACTTTTTTTAATTTCTTTTTTTATGAGTTTATACTCATCGAATTCATTAAAAATAACATAATATAAATAATAACTGCTGATCAGGGCGCGATTTCATCCACTAGCAGACTAATCATAATGAAATTAATTGAAAAAAAAAACATTTTTATCCTCATTCTTTTTCAAAAGTACATTTGCAATTGAACTTCTTTTTTGATTTATTCTATGCATCTGTGGTTTCGAATTCATTTCCAAACTGAAACTCTAAAACTATATAAAGGTTAAAAATGTACAGCTAGGATGTTTAGAAAAGACTCTGTATTCGAAGCAGTAATTATAGAATACCCTTTCACATTCTAGTTTATACGTAATTCCTATTTCATTTTCATGTGATTACTAATTTTATATAGTGTTCCCATTTTAATTTGCATGTCTGTAGAATAATGTGTGAAATTTAAAATTAATCTATGCACTTAAAGTTTTCTGGAGATTAAACATATTAGGATCCAATGTTCCCTCTTGACATTAAAATTTCTTTAGTGTTAATGAAGGAAAATCAAAATATCCATGATTTATTTTAAATCTTGAGTCTTCCCCAATTATTTTTTAATACAAGGTTTTCTTTACCAGTAAATTATCTGTGTGTCACCCTTCTAGGTTTTCACCTACTTGTGTTTTAGACACTGATGGGCAAGTTACTTGTGATGCTTGCCCTATAGGTTATGAAGGAAGACGCTGTGAGAGATGTGGACCTGGATATGATGGCAATCCAAACGTTCCTGGTGGAAGCTGTAGAGTTCATGGTATGTAAACTTCATGCTGGAGTCAAACCATTCCACAGTGGGCCAGAAGACCATGATCTTTGGCCAAAAGTCAAAACTTAAATTTCAACTAAAATATGTTTAGGCAGCTTTAATATTGCCCAAATTAAGTATTCATAATCATTCCAAATATTATAATTTACTTTTGGAACGACAAGAGTACAATGTAGTGAAAAATATGTTAAAAAAAATTTTTTTTAATTTATATTTCAGAAATATATGTAGGAATTTCACCTTTCTGTTACATTTTTATCAGAGTAATTAGTCTGAAATTATAGTAAAAATTTTCAATTTGTTGGATTAGTTAATACTCTTGACAAACTTATAGTTTATATCTTATCATTTGACATTTTACAATGTTTGAATCACTTTAGAAACTTATCTCCAAAAAGTTCCACGAGGTAATTAGCTAAACTTTTTTTGTTGTCTTCTTTGATGTTTCTTCTTTCGAAAAAACCTGTCCCATTTTGCCCATATTGCAAAGGTGGACTAAATATACCGAAAAACAAAAATTATGCTTTTTTTCATGTTTTCGCGTTATTGTGTAATTAATTTGCGTTATTTTGTAATATTACTTCGGAAATATAATTTGCTTTTCATTTTTAATATAAAATTACGAAAATTATATTTTCATTGCTATATTTAATTATTTAAACGTACTATATTAATTATTTTTATTTTTGCTCGCAATATTTCAGCCACCATCTTGTTTTTTTTGTTGGTATTTTTAGTGTATTTCAAAATTTCAACTATGAATTCAATTTACCAGCTCATGAAAACCCTAAATAAAACCCCCCAAATTTTGAAACAAATGTTATTGAATCACTAATTTGGCCCCAGAACCTTGGATGCTGGCCCACTGTGCATTCTAACAATTTCTTGCTACAATATTGCCCCTTCAACAAAGATTTAATCAGTGGTTAGAAAAATATTATTTTTGTAATTAACTACAAACTACAGGGTTCCTATGGGTCAGGCAGAACAGAGAAAACCTGCACTTGTCAGGGAATTTTATTTTAACTCCATAAATCAGGGAATAGTCAAAGAAAATTGCAATTTTTTTTACAAAATTCTGGAAAATAACCAGTCTTAAGATTGTCAGTAGTAATAATTAGTTATTGAGATTCGAGTTAAATAATTATAAAAATCTATTACAATTGTTTGTTGTAAAAATTTCATAATTTAGTCAAACTGAAATGTTTCCATCCTCATTTAATGATATCTAATACTATGCATTCCAAATAAAAGAATCAAAGTTTTCTGATGAAAAATTGTTTAGTATGGATAAAATATGGAATGGGTTTTCATTAAAATTTACCTGAAATACCTGGAAAAGGCAGAGATTTTTTTTTCTGAAATTGAGTGGGAACCCTGAAACTACTTTTTACACAAACTATTTAGTCGCCACTTCACTAATTTTAGAAGGCGAACTTTGTTGGAGAAATTAGCATATTTAAACATAAGGAAGTCTCATTTATATGAACCAGTTTGTTAAACTAATTTTTACGAAGTTGTTCATTTCATCTTGCTTTTTATGCCTTTCTTGACAGAGAATTATTTAAATATTAATAAATTATCAAATATTTTCAATTTTGTTAAGTGTTTAATGTTCTTTTATTTCTTCTAAGATATTAAATACATCAAAAATTACAAGGAATATATGTTCTCTTCCATTGAAATAACATCAATTAATGAGAAATTAGCATATTTAAACATGAGGAATTATTATTTGTATGAATCAGTTTGTTAAACCAATTCTTATAAATTTGTTCTTCTCACCTTTCTTTTTATGCCTTTCTTGACAGGGAATTTACGAAATGCTAAGAAATTATCAAATATTTTCAATTTTGTTAAGTATTTAATGCTCTTCTAAAAAATTAAGTACATTGAAAATTACAAAGAAAATATGTTCACTTCCATTAAAATCATAATACTTTTTCATGAGTGTACATTCACATTTGAAGGTAATAAATTAGCCATAATTCCCAATAACTAGTTTAAATATTAGTAATACATAATTTGCAATTCTCATTGTGTCGATTGATGGCCCCTTGAAGATTTGATTCAGATTTAAAAAATTTGTTGCATTTGAATACTACCTACTACACTACTTAGTACTAGTAAGTAGTTCACTACACTACTTACTACAAAAAAATAGCGACTACAGTTGTCTCGCTACTAATAGTGTACTACTTCCAACCAATGGATTTAATGTATATAAAAACTAGTAAGTAAACGAGTACATCTCTAACATTTGAATTTTTTACATTTAGAGTAGTACAACATGTTTATATTACAGTACGACATTACGGTTTGTACAACATTAGTTTACATTAGTTCAACACTAGGTCTAAAAGAGATTACAAATTCTTTACTTAGCTTTTCAGTCAAAATAAAACTAATGAAATTAAAAAATTTTAAACATGCTCCATTTATTAAATTAATTTTTTTCATGTACAGAAATTACATGAATCTTTTAATTTTTTTTGCTTTCAATTTTTGTGTTTATTGCACTTCTAATAAATTCTATATCAATTCTATATCAAAAGTATTGTTTTGAATTAGGTTTGATATTTTTTGTGTTTGATAATTCTTAGCTTTAAATCTATATGATTTTTCAAAATTATCATAAATAAATCAGATTTATTTTAACTGAATTAATTTTTGCAATTTTGTTTTTAAGAGTAAGAAATTGCCATGATTGCAATATACTTATACTTATTACTTAAAACTTTTTTTAAAAATTGTATTTATTTTTAAAGGAGGGTTGCAATGTGACCCTGTTGGAAGTTTAACTCCTGATCCAAGTAGAAATACTGGACTTTGCCAGTGCAAAGTAAGCATTTCAAGTATCTTAAATTATAATAATATATTGTTGTTTTTTTTTCAAACAATTTGCAATTTTAATTTTAAACCTTGTTTCAGCATCAAGTAACTGGTGCTCGATGTGATCAATGTAAGCCACACACATTCCATTTAAATTCAGATTCACCTCTTGGCTGCATTGATTGTTTCTGTATGGGAATCACTGAAACTTGCTCTTCCAGCAGTTGGTATCGTGATGAGGTGATTTATCATTATGATTATTGATTATTTTTATTGAATTATGATTACTGTTTATTGAATTATAATTATTGATTTATGATTATTGATTTATGAATATTGATTTATGATTATTGATTTATGATTATTGATTTATGATTATTGATTTATGATTATTGATTATTGAATTATGATTATTGATTTATGATTATTGAATTATGATTATTGATTTATGATTATTGATTATGATTATTTCTGATACTTTCTCTTCCAGCTGTTAATATCATGATGAGGTAATTTATCATTACCTAACTTTAACAGATATTCTTTTATTAGAAGTGCAATTCTATTTATGATTATTTTTTACTTTTGTAAATATCTTTTTTTCATGTGTATTAGAAAACATTAGTTAAAATATTATTTAGAAAAATCTTGTAAGAAACAGTCAAGTTTATTTTATTGCTAGACTATATAAATGGGAAACAAGAGTCTCTTATTTATGTAAGAGGTACCATAATTTTTAAAATGAACTGGCTTATGAAAATAACTCTTTCAACAGTTGGTGTCGTGATAAGATATTTTTAATGCTTCCTTGTTCAATCAAAGTGCATATTGTATTCCTAACTTATATTTTTCATATTTAGCTCTATGTAACTCTTAATTATGAAATAATTTATTTTTTAAATATGTTACGTTATCACACAGCTAGCATTTTAATTTCTGATAAAACTATAAAAAAATGCAGTTTGTCCAAAAAGAGGATAGGATATTACTACTTTGTGCTACTTATAATAAGCAAAAATGTGAATAAAGCACACTTGAAAATATAGAAAAGGACATATAGTTTTGATTCTGTAAATAAGAATCTTCCTCAGTGTCTACACCAAATACACTTCTTGTCTAAAAAAAAAATTTACTAACTTATTGCATATTTAATAAGTAAACAAATACTCCATATTTACTGAGTAAATAATATTTAGTGGTGTGTGCATGAAAAATTAAAATAATACCTGAAATGATTTATTCAATTAAAAGCTTTTTTTCACCGTCTCTTGTGATTGGCAAAAATTTATATTAGATTAAGTTATAACTCTTTTCAATCTTGCTAAAAAAACAATTGCATTGCTAACATCTGAATAATATTAATATTTTATGCTTAATGGTGATAAAAAATCTGCATTGTGCATATTCCTCATTTATCCCCGATATACATTTATATAAGATTCATACTTTCTTAAATCATAGTCATCAAATCATTGTACATTCTTTTCACATTTCAGCTCATGTTAAGTTTTACTGGTAGTAACGAAGGAGTCTCTTTGACCAATATTCTAAGGAGCTATAACATAAATCAAAACCTTCTAGTTGATTCTCGTAACAAGGAACTAGTTTTTAGAAATTTTGCAACTCAACCTACTCAAACATATTACTGGAAAATGCCTCAATCATTCCTTGGTGATAAGGTAAAAAGTAGTCTTCTTTTTTTATTTATTTTTTTACCCACTGGCTGTTCTTCATGTACGCGTAATCCAAATTTTTTATCCTCTCAAATGGTTCTACATGCAAAAAAAATGCACTTAATTTTCTATTAACAGATAGTCTAGCACATAGAGAAAACCTCTGATTTTATAGTACTGAAACACCTCTATTTCTCATAACAAATAAGAGAAAAATGGCCATTTACACCTCAATTTTCTGAATAGAGAGTAAAATTAGAATGAACCATTCAGGGTTGATTGTGCTCCGGAAAAAGTACGGATTTCCGGATCTTTCGTTGACTGTGATCCGCAAGTTTCCGGAGATCGAAGGTCCAGACGTTTCACAATATCATTGATCACAGAAGTTTCTGGAAATCAAATTTTCAAAGGTGGAACTTAAAAACGCAGTTTATTTTATTTGTTTGCAAGGAAGAGACAGAGAGATACTTTATAAGCTTATATTCATGATTAATATTCATTTTTTATCAGTTAATAGTTGTTATAATCATAAACTCAAGAAAGAAAGACATATTTGTAAATTTTAATTACTTCTCCAGGTTATCATAGGTATGTGTAATTGGTATAGGTATGTGTAAAATTTAAATATATTTGAAATAAACTAAGAAATATTGAGAAAAAGGAAAAAAACCTTATTTAAATGTTTTTTAATTTAAACTGTTTTTTTTTTTTTTTTTAAACTCAAGAAATTTTCTGGAATTTTGATTTGGACTCACAATCACCCCTGACCATTTGCATTGGATGTGTGGTATTGCTTTTATGATGTTTTGTCACTTTTATATATATGTGGTATTGCTTTTACGATGTTTTGTTACTTTTATCTTTGCTGCACTGCTATAAATACTTTAAAGTTTTAGTTTCTCTTTCATAAGTTTTCACCTGCCCTTTTCTGCCATACTTAATTGCTTANCTTATATTCATGATTAATATTCATTTTTTATCAGTAAATAGTTGTTATAATCATAAACACAAGAAAGAAAGACATATTTGTAAATTTTAATTACTTCTCCAGGTTATCATAGGTATGTGTAAATGGTACAGGTATGTGTAAAATTTTAAATATATTTTAAATAAGCTAAGAAATATTGAGAAAAAGGAAAAAAACCTTATTTAAATGTTTTTTAATTTAAACTGTTTATTTATTTTTATTTTTTTTAAACTCAAGAAATTTTCTGGAATTTTGACTTGGACTCACAATTACCCCTGACCATTTGCATTGGATGTTTGAAAATTATTTGTGGTCATTTCAGACACATCTGTATAAAATATTTACATCTGTAAAAACATCTGTATTAGACATTTGGAAGTAGTAAAAATGAAATTGTTAAAACTAGCAGTGGGTTAAAATTCTTTTAATATATTTTGCTATGTGTGAATATAAATGTAATTAGTTTATACTTTCTTTCGATGATGAACTCTGCATTCACTTAAACATGGTTTGATTAAAAAGCTTATGTTTTGCCTGTTTACTATTTTTCGTTATTTATCTTACCAATATTTTGTGCATATAGTTCAATTATCTTTCTAAGCATTTAAAGTACTAAAAAATATTTAATTAAAAATTCCTGAAAAGTGAATTCAGTTACATTTTTGCTTGGCTTTATAATTAGGAATATCTATAATTAGATATGCATTAAAATTGTGCTTCAAAAGTGATATTATAAACTAAATAGCTTCTTTAAATTTCATCAGTATTTGGTAATTAAGTTATGTAAAATTTTTTAGCTAGAAAGGAACTTCCACATCATATTTTTATTCAAAATATTAAATTTGTGTCATAAATAATTTGATACATATCTATTTTATTTTTCCTATGAGTTATTTTCAAAAAATATAATTAATTGTGATTATTATCTTGAAAGATTTTGATTCATTTGTTTTTCTAGTTTTTATAATTGAATGTTTATAATTCCAGGTCACTGCATATGGAGGGAGACTGAATTATACTGTTATGTATATTCCTGGAAGTCGAGCAGATCCTAACATTGATCCAGATGTTCAGATAATGGTTAACTCATGTTTTTTATACTTGTTTATTGAAAACTATCATAATTTAAATTATTTCATTTAGTTTAAAAGTCTGCTGAATCATTTTTAATATAAAATATTACGATCTAGCCTATTTAAGATCTTTATAGTTTAGTTTTTTATTATTTTTGCATTTAACTTTCAAAAAAAGTTGTTGTGCATTATTTAGTATTTACATTAAAAAAGACTCAGAAGTTTGATTCTAATATTTATATCATTGCTTACATCCCTCAGCTTAAACTTTGCTATGATGTAAATCTACTTGATTAATTATAATTGTTTTTATTTTAATTTGATATTTTGAGCCATTGCACCTTGTCTTTAATTTATAAATATTTTTATGTATCTTTATTTCGTCTATTAAGTAGGCCTGATTAAGACTATGAGTATTAAATTAGGAGTCAATTAAAAATCCTATTGGCTGATTCATTCATGGTATACTTTTCATTGTAAGAGAAATAAAATGAGTAGAATTTTAAACAAATAAGTTGATATTATCTGAAATAATGACACAAACTTTTCTTTGTCTTGTTTATTGTCTTATTAACAACCTTATTTTTTGATATTATATCTTCTCTTAATATTAACTATGAATTTTATGTTTAAAAATTTGTTCGAACAACTAGTCTAATAATTTAAAATATTAACTCAGTATACAAAAACGATGAAAAGGAAAAGAATGTTTGAAAGTTGTTTATTTCTAAATAATGATAAAAAAATTATGTGCCAACTATTTGGGTATTCTTGTATACAATACATGTAGAATTTAATTATATTTTTAAAAAAAAATTTTTTACATAAAAAGAATATGTGATATATCAATAAATCCATCTTAATCAATCAAAATCACATGCATTTCCTTGTACTTTGTATAAGTTGAGAAAAAGAGATTTTAATTTTTCTGACTTTTTGTGTAAAAATTGTCAAATATATTTGAACATGCATATACCTAGTCTGGTAGTCTAAGCCCTCTAGCATGGGAGTTGCAGATTATTTTTCATCTGAAATTTCGAAAAGAAACGAAAATTCTCGCAAGACGTGTGCAGTTTATACATAAAATGCTGAAAAAAAAGTATCAAAAAGGTTTTTTTTTCTATCATCATTGGGGGCCAATTATAAATTATCTCTTCATTTTTCAAAATCTGAATACTCATAACAATCAATTTTGTTAAGTTTTCAAAATGATTTCAGTTTTTTGCAAAGAAATTTTTGCCAAGATAATGCAACAGCTTGTCTGCAAAGGAAATCTTCAGTGATGATGCAGAAATTTGTCTGCGTTGGCTGGAATCCTTGTATAATCTTTGCAAAAAAAAATATAGGAATATGGTAGAATACTCTGCAATGTGCTTCTGACGCATAGATTTTTATAATGCTAATTGGCCCTGAAAGTAGACACAAAAATATTCACAAATTTTTAAAATCTGCCCTGATTGAATAATATGGTGTTTAATGTTGTCAACATTTTAAATGTGTTTTTGTAACTATAGCATTTTAATAAGATACCTAAAATTGTAAACAATGTTATTCTTTGTTTCAGATAAATACTTTGACTTAGATTTTATCCAACCTTTCTCATTAATTGTTATTTTATAAGTTTTAAACTAAATTTAAACAACATACACTTCTTGTGTATAATTTTTATTTGCTTTACTATTGTGAATGCAAATTTTGCTCTAAATGTTTTTGGTTGAGCCTAGTTGTCAAAATGGTCTGAAAATAATTTATCTGGAGTGGTGTTTTTATACTGGTATCCTTTATTGAATTAAGATTGAGCTTAACTTAGTCAGTATAATTTTTTCTACACTTTAAATATGAATGTTTTGAATTATATAAATTGAATTTCTTAGATTTTAGAATTAAAAATAAAAGTTATCTTTAAAGTATACAAAAATCTTTGTGAATACGGAAAAACACTATAACTTGTACTAAATAAATAATGATAATTTTACGAATAAGTTTTATGAGAAGAATACTGCTCTGATTTATAATGTATTTATTTCCTTTTAGGGCAATGGCATTGTATTAGTTTATAGGCATCCAGAACTGATTCGTCCTTCATCTTTACATTCCATTTCAATACGAATGTATGAGGTAATTGTTTATTTAGATATTCAAACAAACATTAAAGCAGAAAAAAGTAATAAAACATGTGTGTGTTTGTAAGACAGTTTTTTGTTTTTGTAAATTGGATTCATTTTCTGATTAAATTGTTTATTTGTATTTTTATTAAACATTTGTAAGTATATTGAAAAGTTGCAATAGTTTTATAATGCGATAAGTATTACTTTCTGTATGTGAAAATAGTGGGGGTTTTTTAACTTTCATTTTTGAACTGGAAAAAAACGAGCAACATATTTTCCTTGTCAATGTTTTTTATTAGTATAATAATTTAATTATACTAATAAAATATTTATACTAATAAATATTTTATTTAAAAGCACCTGTAACACCTTTAAAATTGCATCTTGGAGTGGATGATATGCATTTATTTTAATTTTTTTAATAATCCAAAATTTCTATCAAATAACTAACTAAAGCCATTTACTCAAAATCCAAATAAAAATATAAAAGTCTTTAGTTATAAATTCTGGAATTGCTACATCATCTATTTAGATAGTGCTTCTCTTTATAATGCCTTCTTGAAATTAACTTTTCAATTTCAACTTATTTCTGTGAAATAGTACACCATGTATGACTTTATTTTTTATTAGTTCTTATCTTTTTTGTCTTGAAATAATAGTTTTCTTCTGAAACTTTCAGACATCTTGGCTGAGATCTGATGGTCAACCTGCAACAAGGGAACATCTCTTAATGACTTTGGCTGATTTAGATGCTATCTTAATAAAAGCTACATATACTGGCGGAACAACATCAGCTAGGTAAAAAAAATACTAGATTCCATATATCATATGTAATATTGTTATTATCCAAACTAAGTAATAACTGCATTATGCCTATAATGAATATTGCAAGATCTTGTTACAAATTTAGACGCTTTAAATGTTTTAGATCTGTAATGCTAGATACCTTTATTATGTGGAAAATTATAATGTAACATTTGAATTATTAATTCAAGTGTAAGTAAAAAAGAATAGCTGGCTTACTTTCGAATGATTTATGACTATTTCCAGCTATATTATCTAGCAGCGCTTTTATTATTTTAAATTAATGATTTTGAGATTTTAATTGATAGAATACACTAACTGAATAATAAAAACTTAATTTTATTTTAAGTTTTTGAAAGTTTAATTTAAAAAGAAATTGAATTCTTATGAATGTCAAAAAATCAAACATTTTTAATCAGTAAATGTAAAACTATTTTATAATATATTATTGCAATTAAGTATGGCCCTTAAGTTTACTTTTATCTTTTGCATACGTTTTAATCAGTACACTATACTAAATATATATTATTTTTAGTTTAATTTTCTTTTTAGCAACCTCTTAGAATTTTTCTTTTTACTCTGTTAGATGTCGGAATTAATGTTTATTCATAGAGTTTTATATTAATTTAAAGTTTTATATTTATTTATGAATGAGCCTTCTACTTAAGATTGAATTATGTTGCAATGAGTTTTTAACTGAACAACTAAAAATGATATGATCACAATAATTGATTTAAAATAAGAAAAATAATTTTTTCAGTGTATTAGAACTTTTGTACAGAAAGTTTTACTCATTATGTAATTATTTTTTTCTCTATAGTTTAGCCGATGTGTCCTTCACCATTGCAGTTGATCGCCCAACAGAATTGGGTAGGGCATTAGCTGTTGAACAGTGCCGTTGTCCAATTGGTTACAGTGGATTGTCATGTGAAGATTGTGATGCTGGTTATACCAGGTCTGGAGCTGGTCTTTATCTTGGTTTATGTGAGCCATGCTTTTGTAACAGCCATTCCAGTGACTGTGATCCAGAAAGTGGAATCTGCAAAGTAGGCACTTAACAAAATTAGATTAATTGAGTAATTAATTTAATAGAGTTTAAATTTATTTAGATATTTTGGATGTCAATGTTTCTTATACAATATAATTTTTTTTCACTTGTCAAAGTTAATGCTAATGATTGTTTCAAAAATTTAAGAATATTTATTAATGATAAGTATTTTTTTCATAGAACTGCCAGCACAACACTGGCGGTGATTTCTGTGAAGAATGTTTATCAGGATATGTTGGTGATGCTAGCGGTGGCACTCCAAATGATTGTCAGCCTGCTATAGGTATGATGATCAATTTTATTCTGATATATTTTTATATTTGAGCTATTTTTTTAATTAATATTGAGGAAGTATTTTATTGAAATATTAAATATAATAAATAATAAAATTTTGGATACTTAAAAATAATTTGGTTTTGGTTACAGAGAGTTCGTGGTCTCATTGAGTATTTATTACGTATTTGAAATGAAGCGTTTGATAAAATACAATTTAATGTATGCTATTTTAGCCCATATCACTAATTTTATGTTTGATATTAAATCAAGCATAAATATTCTTCTGTTTACTAGGTTTTCGAATTTACAACTGAAAAAACATAAACAAAATTATAACGCATAATAAACTTATAAATGACATCTTTTTGCTTTCTTTTACTTTATTTTTCTTTATAATTTGAAATAAGATTTAAGTGAAAAGAAATTTACATTAAATTAATATTTTAATTAAGGGCTTACAATTTTCTTTTAGTTATGTAACATTAGTGTGGTGGAAATTTTTAGGACTAGTTTTTTTCCTTGTTTCATATTTTCCTTTTCCTGATATTTCTATTTTGTTTTTCGTTAATACTAATAATCACCAAAATTGTAAAATCTGCTCAAGATAGTAAATAGTAATATTTTTGTGGGATTTACTTTTATTTCTTTTGCTTTGATTTTATATATTCTGTTCCCACAGAAACTTCTTGCAAGTGTGATTCTCGGGGTAGTCTTGGCTTAGAGTGTGATTACCGTAACAACTGTCCTTGTAAGGTAAGTATTAGAAATATATTTACTGATGTGCTTAATATCTTAATATTCATTTTTTAAAAAGCAAGGTTGCTATTCTTCCTTCTACATGATTGTTTCCTGTTTTATTGAAAAAAATATTTTTTTCAGCTTTTTAAACTTCGCATAATTCTAAGTATCAAATTTCTGAAATTAATAAACAAGGACGTTATAGCACTTATTCACCATTCTTTTGCGCATTTGATACAAAAATGTGTGTTAATTTTTTATTCTAAAATTTTGAAATATAGATACATTGAACAAGGAAACTATCCAGAAAATGTACAATAGTGAGATATTTTATCAGAATTGATTTTTTGTTATAAAGTTTTAAGTTATTTATGATTATGAAGAAGAAAAGCTTAGTTAACTTTCAAAACCATTAATTTCTTTTAAAATTTAACTAAAGCAGTTATTCACTCATTTAAAATTTTTCGGTAAATAATAAATCAAGTCTTGTGGATAAAGATTTATTATTTTAAAAAGCTTTTCAACTAACTTTTGGGCAGTTTAATTATAATTATCTTTTTTTTTTCAATTGTAAGTTCAATAATCACCAAATTTACAAAATTGTGACTGATAGATTTTTCACTAACTAGTTGTTTTTCAAATAATATTTTGCAAAATGTAAATCTTTGAAACTATTTTCAATTGTTTTATGATTAAAAAATATCAAATCTAATTATGATTTTTAACAAAATATGAAGTATTTAGATTGACTTTTGATATCGAATTTTGATTTTTGAATCCAAATAATAGTAATAATAAAATTGTGAAACAGCTAACAGAGAAGTTATTCATAAATTTTTAATCCTAATATTGTTTTATTTCTGTATTCTTTGTTCCAATCACTACCATTTTTTCACATTGAACATAATTACGCAAAAAATTTTTTCACTCTTATGAATTTTGAAAAAAGAACTTCTGTTTAAAATCTTTCTCTTTTTTAGCCAAATGTTCAGGGAAGGAACTGTAATAGGTGTAAAGAAGGCTTTTTCAACCTTGAATCTCGAAATCCTGAAGGTTGTGCTCCCTGCTTCTGTTTTGGAGTTACACAGCAATGTAGCAGCAGTTCTTATTATAGAAGCCAAGTATGATAAACATTTGGAATAATTCTACAGTGAAATTAATTTTTCCTTTCTAGCATCTGAGCTTAATTTACTTTTTCAGATTGCAATGAGGTTGGAAGACCTTTCTGATCCGTACAATCACAACTTCCAGCTAACTTCTCGATTCAGAACACGAACAATCACCGAAGGAATAATAGTTAACCCTAGTCAAAATGAAGTCAGTTTCACTTCTTTCCCAAGAGAACCTGAGCAGACAGAAACTTTATTCTGGTCTTTACCCGCTCAGTTCCTCGGTAACAAAGTAAGTGTTCCAAATTATCTGAATTTAGTAAATATATATATTAATTCTGTTCAAATTTGCAATAAAGCAGAATTTTTTTTTTATTANAATAGTTAACCCTAGTCAAAATGAAGTCAGTTTCACTTCTTTCCCAAGAGAACCTGAGCAGACAGAAACTTTATTCTGGTCTTTACCCGCTCAGTTCCTCGGTAACAAAGTAAGTGTTCCAAATTATCTGAATTTAGTAAATATGTATATTAATTCTGTTCAAATTTGCAATAAACCAGAATTTTTTTTTATTAAGTTCCTTATAAATTTCATTATTATAGTTGGCATCATATGGTGGCAAGTTGCGATATACTCAACAGTATTTAGCTGGAGATGGAGGCGATCTGTATGCTGATGCTGATGTGGAAATGACAGTAATACTCTTGATTCAATTTTTAACAATATTTCTCCCAAGGTTAATGTTTAGCCCCCCCCCCCTAAATTATTATATGCTGATATGGTTTTTTTCAATGTGATTTTAGGGAAATGGTATTTCTGTGTTTTATGTAAACATCCCTACTCTTAATCCCCAAGAAGTACGAACATATGAGATTGAATTGAGAGAGGTGAGTTTAAAATTTTATTTTTGTTTATGTAATTGAATATGATGTAATTGACATTGTTATGAGCATTTTATGTGTTTTTTATCTTGTTATGTATTTTTTATATAGATTATCAAAGAATTTAACTTTTGTGTCCCCTTTGTTTTTACCTATTTGAAAGTGTAATTTTTTTTAAAAAACTCTCTAGACTAACTGGCAAAGAGTGGACTCTCGAGGACCTACATCTGCCACTAGAGAGGATTTCATGAAAGTCTTAGCCAATGTTGAAGCTCTTTTGATTCGAGCATCATTCCATAATAGGATGCACCAAACATTGTTGAGAGATGTACAGATGGATACTTCTGTACCACAGAGCACAGGTCAAGGACTTGCAACAGAAGTTGAACAATGTGTTTGCCCACCTGGATATATTGGCTTGTCCTGTGAGGTAAATTTTTCAGTTTGAATTCTCTCATTAAAAGTTTATTGCAATGCAAATTGAGATTGTATTTTTTGTTGTTTGTTATAATTTTGTTTTAAAATTTCATTTTGCATTTGTTTAAAATTATGGGATGATTTTTTTTAATTGCTTAATAAATATGAGCTAATTTTTGTACATTTCTTTTTTTTTGAATCTTGTTTAGATTTCCATTTTCATGTTTAAATGGATATTTTTATAGGAATGTGCCCCTGGATATATACGAGATGCTAGTGGTCCTGGGCTAGGACGATGCACAAGATGCAATTGTAATGGTCACTCAGAGTCGTGTGATGCAACATCAGGCAGCTGTGTGGTGAGTATTAGTGTCAATGTGTTTAGATTATCTTATACAGTGTTTGAGTGTTGCATAAGATTGTTTTTATAAAAATGTTAATCAAAAAAAATTTTTTTTTGTAAAGCTGGTTAATACATAAAACCTTAAGTAAACTTTTTTTTCTAGGCTAATTGGTGGTAGAAATATTTCTTAAAATATTTATTTTAGTATAAGTAAAATTTAAGTTGAAATATTTTTTAAAAAATTGAATCCTAAAACAACATGATAAAAATTTTAAAAATAGATTCCATGATTGTTTAAATTATAAGTGAAAGTCAACATTATAAGGCATAAATCAGCTAGATTGCTGTAAGGGAAATGAAGATTTAAGACCATATTTGGGTCTGTTACAGCCATACTCATCATTTTAAATACCACCTTTCACATTGATGTGCTTTTGTCTGAGTTTACAAATATTTTTCTACTGTACTTTTTTCAATTACTATCAAATTTAGCTCTTAAATCTCTAATCAAATCGAGAATCTCATTAAACAACACTTTTTTTTAAATTATAGGAAGTGTTTAAAAACCTTATACAAAGTTAGGCATTATTATAATATTTAAGTTTTAATTGTTAATTTTTTCTAACTGACAAATAGAGATGCAGACATAACACGATAGGTGAAAGCTGTGAGAGATGTGCTGATGGATTTTATGGAGATGCAACCAGAGGTACACCGGAAGACTGTAAACCATGTCCTTGCCCACTTACTACACCACCAAATCAGTAAGTAGTTACATTTATATGTATTTGTTCATATAATGGGAGTACTAATTAGTTCAGTCCGTTTTTTTGTGGTCAAAAATGAATTTATTTTAGAACAAAATTAATGAACCGATTAATGAAAGTATTGTCCATCGCTGGCTACTACTTTTACCCCCCTCTCAGATAATTTTCAAATTCCATCTTGAAAAAATGTCTCATCTTTTGAGGTGATCCAAGTTAGGACCCAATTTTCGATTTCTGCGAAAGAAGTGAATCAGTGATCTGCCAAATCGTGCTGTATCCGTCGGAATAACCAGTAATCAGAAGGAGCAATGTCCGGCGAATAAGTCGGGTGCGGTAAAATGTCCCACTTAAGCTTTTCCAAATAATTTTCTGCAGCATGAGACCAACCTTTATCATGTGGAGGAATAACTTTGTCATGTCTTTGCTCGTGTTCCGGCCATTTTTCCTGATTGCACGCCTCAAACAAATCAATTGTAGCGTATACTGATCACCCGTGATGGAATCCCCAGGTTGTAGCAGCTCATAGTATGCAACACCATTCACCATTCTTGAAACGTCGAAACCATTCCCTACATGATTTATCAGTAGGAGCATTGTCACCATAAACTTCTACAAGCATTCAATGCACTTCAGCTGCACTTTTCTTTCAATTAAAGCAGAATCATAAAACATCCCGCTAACACTGCTTAATTTCCACGAAATTTGACATATTCAACAAAGCAAAAAACAGAGTTTTTGTAGGAAACTCAAAGTGCTGTTAACTGAATATTATTGACAGACGTCTAACCTCTCTGAAACCACCGAAACCAGATGTCACTATGAAACATTCATAACAGCCAGAGCCATCTTTTGAAAACGGACCAAACTAATTTGTACTCCCAATAATTAAATTGTTTTATTTAATTTTAATTGACTTATGTTATCTACTTACCTTGACTTTTAAGCTTTTATTACTTTTTTTATAAATTTAATAGTTAATTTGTGAAGCATAATATATTGAGTAGTTTAAATTGCATTATGTACTCTTAAATATTTTCTTAAAGATTTTCTTTGACTTGTTTCCTGGATAATGATGGTCAACCAACTTGCAATGCTTGTCCTGCTGGCTATATTGGCCGACATTGTGAAAAGTAAGCCTTTTTATTCTGGTTGCCGTTTATTTTTTATAATTTCATTAACACATGAATACCAAAAGATTTTTGAAATTCCAGATGTGCTGCTGGATACAGAGGAACTCCAGTTCAACCAGGTGGAAGGTGTGAACCAACTGGAGGTAATGATACATATTTGTTCAATTCATGAAACACAGTAATTAATTTATTTAACGTAAACATTTTTATAAATATTTTCTGGTTTTATTTTTTAATTATTATAAAAACGAGACATTTGTTTTGTTGCTGGGTTCAATTTCTGTGGAAAAAATTTTTGGGCTTAATTTATGGGTAAGACAAGAAATTTTCTTTTTGATTTTATTATAAGAAATGTTTGAAATTCTTTTTAATTTTATTGTTGCAAGAAATTATCTTTCTGTGTGACATAAATTTAAATAAAATCTTCAGTGAAGTTACTAAGGAATAACTCTAAATAGTTTGACAGATAATGTGATTTCTTACATAAACTGTTGTCATACCAAATAATGCAGAATAATCATTTACACAAGAGTAAAAAAATAATATTAAATTACCAACTAAAGGAAAAATAAAATTTAAAAATATATTGATTTAGAGTGTATGGCAATCTTGATTTTAATCAATTAAATTTTAAAAGTTATTTTGCCCTCAGTAAATTATTTAAAAATTTGTATTGATATCTATATGTTATAGTTTTAGTGTTATGATTATCTTGATTTTAATTGATTGAACTTTAAAAGTTATCTTACTCTCATGAAATTATTTATAAATTTTATTTGATAGCTATTCTTTTAATAAAAATCCCAAAGTCTTTTTCTTCTTTTGAATGTTTCATATATTTGAGAAGTTTGTTATGATTTTTTATATTAATAGGTTCAAACACCCAGCATTGTCTTCAGGAGAATATAATTTAATATTGTGGAACTCAATGTAAACTTAAGCTAAGCATATTTTTAAAATAATTTGTCATGATATTAGGAATTATTTTAATTTGGTAAATGTCAGTTATGTTTTTTTTTGGTATATTTATAAGAAATATTGTATTGGGAAAATATTTTAATATGGCATTGAAGCATTTATTTTATTTATTTTCATTTCAAAATATATCAAATTACATTTAAACTATATTTTTGTAATAACCTGAGTAGCATTTCAGGACCAGTTGAAATCAACCTATTTGTTGAACCCACAAGTCTCGTAAAGAAAATTGAAGATGATGCGATAATCCATTGCAATGTGACCAGTAATAAACCATTTAGAGTTATTTGGCTACATAACAATGACACAATATTTTCATCCCGGTCAGGAAACGTTATTAAACATACCGCCGATGGAAGCACCTTGCGTATTCCTAAAATTGCTAAACATCACCAGGGATTGTACACTTGTCGAGCCATATCTAAAAACAGAAGTATCCAGAAAGTAGCAAAGCTTACAGTTTTGGGTAAACCCTATAAGGATATTTGAATCTTTGGCACTGTGTAGTGCTTCTGTAGGCAACAAAAATGTGTTGCTTCTAACAAAACTTCTTATTGTCCGCAATGTAGATGTGTTTAGATTGTGTTTATGCACCGTTTTAGTGTTTAAAAATTTTGTTTACGTGTTTTCCTGTTTTCTGGTTGCCATGTCTGTTAAAAATCCAATATGTGAACTTTTGATTGTTGTAGGATTTGTATCTTTTATTTCTGTGTCGATCTATATTTTCTGATCTATCTGCATTTAGATGTATTTAGATATGTTTTCTTTTAGTATCTTCTACTTCTTTTCATTCTATTTGTATTTTATTGTAGCTACTTTCATTTAATTTAGTGATGAGATTTAGACTATGCGCACATCTCTGTTATTTTTTTAAACTTTTATGCATGTTCTCGTTCTTAAAGTCTCGTTCTTACATTCAAAACTCATTTAAAAATACATAAATTAGTTAAAAAATCAAAATTGCTTTCAATTAAATAGCACAAAATAATTAATTAATATGAGGGTTTATTTTGTGGTAAGAGACACAGAAACCAGATAATTGTTTATTCTTTAAATAAATTTTAATATATGCTGATCAATAATTGTTGATTCTGATCTTTGATTGAAAAAAAAGTGGCTCTTTGATTGTGTATTGATAGATATAGGGTATAAATAAGCCTCTTTGCAATTATACCTTATATATTAATTATGGAGGAGGTTTTTTTTGAATACCAAGCTAAAATGTAGTAACTCAGCAAATAGCTGAAGTTGTAAAATGCTTGATACTCTAATTATATAATATTTCCAGTCATGGCTGACTTTTGAAAAAAGTTTTTTAATTAAATATAAATTATATCTATGTAATATTTTACAATTTATTGTATAAATAAATTACTGATGTAATTTTGTGAGTAATAATTATTTGCTCCTTAATATTTTAATAAAATAAAAATTGACAAATGAATAAAAACTATATTTAACCTTAAACATAATTTCTTTTAATAGATAATTCTGGAACTTTTGAATTGTAAACTAGAGTAAATGATCGAAATTGCATGATGTTGTTGAGAGAAATAATTAAATAAAATTTTTCCTGTTTAATGTATTGTTTTCTAAACACATTCAAATTGAATTCAGATTTTATTAATATATTCTAACTTATTGACTGAAAAACTGACTATTTTAACACTAATTTTATAAGTTAAAAAAATTATATGAAATATTTACATTTAGCTTACTCATCACTATCAATAACTTCCTGTTTTCTGTAACATAACTTTTTATTTTAAATGGAGAACTAACAATGAACCAAACCTTTCATTTCCTTTACTAACCAAGCTTTGTGCCAAAGTTATTTTAATATATTTATGAGTTTACTCGTATAAAATTAAAAGTTACTCATTTGAATTACTCTTTTTTTCAATTAATAAGGTGTGAGTCCAACTATAAGAGTAAGAGTAGAAGAACCAAGAACTCAACGTGTTCCTGTTGGAGCAACTGTTACATTTAGGTGTACTGGAGTCAGCCAAGTCAGTGATGTAAGTGTATAGTACCATTTCTATACTTTATATTCTCTGCTATTCTGTTCCATGCATTATATTCTGTTCTGCGCTTTATATTCTGTTCTATACATTATATTCTTTTCGATTTTATTTGGTTATTTTATTTTATATTGTTATTAATAATTGTCAGCTTTACCCAGTAACTATATTTTCTATTCTGTTTTATACTTCATATTTGACAGTTTTCCCAGTAAAGACATTTATAAGAAGCACTGAAAATTTTAGTGTTACATTATAAAAAGAGACAGTTAATTAAGATTTTTTCTATAATTCTGTTAAATTTTTCTCTTTTATCTTTAAGTTTTTATCAAGTGCTCTTATAGTTTTTTTCCCTTTATTGTTCTTATTTTTTCATAAGCGTTATTTTTATTAGGAAGCAACATTTTTTTGGTCCTGAAAATAGGGAAATATTAAAAATTTAGGCTTTTATGCTGAAATTTTAGCATATCAGGAATTTGGAAATTTTCCCGCATTCTGAATAGTCGAGCTTCTAGTGCACGCACTTTATATTACTTATTTCAGTATAATATAAGTATTGAGTAGACTATAAAGCAGTATCCAGAAATAATCAATTGCTTTTGAATAATGTGGAGTAACAAAACATTTCATTAGCAGTAGGTTTTGATAGAGAATTAACACAGACAAATGTAGCAGCTTCTTTTTAAATATTCAATTTATTAATTTTTGTATCCATCAATCCTGCATGATTTAAATTAGACAGTCTAATTAATCTCATTGTTGATAGTTTCTATCTTTTATAATTTTGACTGTTTAGAAATGTAATAATTAACAAAACTTTTACACTCAACTATTTTATCTTGCAAATTTTAATTGCTTTTTAGGTAACATACACTTTAGTTTGGACAAAAGAAGGTGCTGCTATGCCAGCTCAAGCAACTGAAGCTAGTGGTGTATTATCAATACCAAATGTTAGACCTGAAGATACTGGTACTTATATTTGCACTGGATCTGACCTTACAAGTGTTGCCCAAGACCGGGCAACTCTTTTAGTTGAAGGTAAATTAATCTCTTTTCCTTTAGTAATTTTAGATATTTGTTTTCTGAATATAAACATCTATAGCCTTAACATAAACACTCAGAGGCTACGAAAAGGATTTTTTTAAAAATTCAGAATTACATTATATCAAGACAAATTTGTTTCATTTAAGTAGCTTTGTCATCGATAATTTTTAATAAAATTTTTTGATAACTCTAGGATTTGGTCCTTTTATTATTCATTAAATTTAAATAAATTTTAATTTTATTGATATTTAGATTCTCAATCTGTGTTTGCAATAACTAGGATATTTGAAAAGTCGCTGATGTTCAGTGCTTCGGTGGCACAGTTTTTTAGGGCATCGCTTTCACCACTGTTTCGAGAGCTGGGAATAGTAAGTTTTGTCCTGACAGCCTACAAAACAACCGGCATGTATATGCAGCAGGGTTCGTTGATTTAAATCAGCTTGATTTAAATCACGATTTAAATCATGATTTAAATCAAATAATTTTTTTAAAAAAATCATTGATTTAAATCAACTGATTTTTTTAAATATATATATTGATTTTAAAAGTTAAAAAACAGTGTTTTAAATTATTGATACCTGTATTATTTTATTTTCTTAGTTTCAAAATTTATTTTAAATAAATTGCTGTGTTTAATTTTAGTTAACGAAATTACTTTCTTGGTGTGTGATAAATTCCAACACATTTGAAATTACATTTTTAAAAATCGTTTGATTCTTGAGATTGAAAGTACACACCTAATGCTGTCTTAATATAGACTTGCATAGCTATAGAAAGTAATTAATAGACATGAAAAAATACAAATAATCTTAAGTAAAATTCTATCTTTTGATTAAAACAGCATGGAATTAAAATCTACATTATATTTTATTCGTGGAAAATGTATATTTCTAAAGCTTGAGGTTGTGTTAAAAAGAAATTACACAAATATGCCAAAAATAGAAAGAAAAAAAAAGGCTAATTAATTCAGATATTTTTTCCCGATATAGTGTCATTCTTCCCATTCAAAGTCTATTTGAAGCAGTAGAGTTATTAACTGGTATTTGTTTCTCATTATATGTTTACAGTATCTTTGACATTATCAGATTTTCTATAAANTTATCTATTTTATCTTGTTTTTTAATTTCAATCATGCCTTGGTATCAAAATGGTCGCTATGCATTATAATGAAAAATTATTTTAGTAAGTTAGAGCTTCTAAAATATTGTTATAATATAGTTTTAATATTAATTTAATTTTGATTAAACATTTATAAAGTTTTTTTAATCATAAATTAAAGCTCTTATAGTGTATTTGAATAAAAATAAAAAAAATCTGATTTAAATCAAAAAAATCCGATTTAAATAAAAATAATCCGATTTTTTTGATTTTTTTTAAAAAAATAAAAAAAAATCACGAACCCTGATATGCAGTAAGGTGTACGTTTAATCTGTTGTGGTTGAAAGTCCTCTCATTGGTTGTGGTGCGAAAGTTTAAAAAGAGGATTACCAGCTCAGACACTGTTTAAGTCCTCTGACCTAGGTCAAGATTATGTTACAATTTATTTACATTTAATTACGTATTCCTACTATGGCCGTTAAAATATAGAGCCCATTAAAAGAGGGTCTAGGTGCCTTTTATTTTATAACCATCATTGTGCAGCCAACCCAATTTTTTTGGTTTACGACTATTAATGTTCAACTCCGTATCCTTGTAATTTTGAACTCAATCCAGAAGACAATGGAACTCCTGGATCAATTAGTGGGAGAAATTTGCCTTTTTTGAGAACTTTTTAATGGAACTAACCTGCATTTGCGTTACATGGAGAGGAAAACCCTAAAAACCTCTCACGGTTAGCCCGACGGAAAGAGACTCTAACACATGATCCGTCTACGACTGATGATATTTTACGTCAGCACTGTGGTAGGTGCAAACTGGATGCAGAATTCGTATCGACCAGCCATTGCTGAGATCGAACCCTGGTCACATCATTGATGGTCAAGCGCTTTATCCCCTGAGCCATCATGCCTCGGGCTAGGTGCTTTGCCATAGTTGGGTAATGATGATGCTCATTGCTTGAAATTCAAAATTTATTTTATTTTCTAGGCACAGGAAGACCAACACCGCCCAGAGTTACAATTGAACCTCATTTCCAAGAGGTAAAAGTTGGTGATCCAGTAGAGTTCCGCTGTGTTGCTGAAGGATTTCCTGAGCCACAACTTCGGTGGACTGGTGGTCGTAACAATCAGCTCAATCCTCAGGCTACTTTTGTGGGTGGCTTTTTCCGCATTCCATCTGCACGAAAGAGTGATGAAGCTGAATATTTCTGTTCTGCCACAAATGCTGCTGGATCCGAATCTATGAGAACTGTTTTACTAGTGAAAGGAGGTATAGTAGTTGTCATAATTTTTGGTGCCAAAGCTTTTTAAATTAAATAAAAGAATTACCAATAACAATTAATACAGTAACAAAAGAGATAACTAATATTACCAATGTCCAACAACAAACACTAATTATTACTTTTTCAAACTTTTTTTTTCAAACTATTTAATTTTGAGGTTGTGAAGGTTGTAATTTTTTAACAGAGTATAATGGAACATTGAGTGGTATTTATATGGTATCATGACATTACATGGTGGAATGACTTGTGACAAATACTAGTTCTATGTTTTAAATCTATGAAGACAAAAGTAGTGTCTTCTTTTTTAACTTTTTTGCTTAAATATTTAAAGACATTAAATTTTGTTAGTTGAATTTATACATAACTCTATATTTAATTTTTTTATTTAAAAATAATTCAAGTAGTTTGTTATTAATGTTTGCTATTGTAGAATAAATATCTCATTAATCTGTCAAATGTTTTTATTAATCTGATTTTTTTTTAAAAACAAGCAAATATTTTTAAATCATGATTTGTCTCATAAAATTCCAGATGATGTAGGAGGTGGGGAAGAACCACAACTGACTATAACACCATCTACTTATGAAGCTCAGAGACTGGAAACTGTGAAATTTCAATGCCGAGTTACTGCCTCTCCGACACCTTCCATCACATGGTCGTTCTCAGGAGGTCAGTTACCTGAAGACAGCAGTCAAATGGGTGGTGTCTTGACACTTCCCAGAGTCACAGAGACTCACCAGGGTGTGTACGTTTGCACGGCAAGCAATGTCCATGGAACAGCCCAGGCACAAGCTCGATTACTGATTGGATCCCGTATGTCTCTTTCTTCTTTTTTTTCTCTTTTTCATTATTTGTAAAAGTTTGTTACTTGGAATACATTTGCTACAAATAATTTTTTAAATGTATTTTCCATTTTTATTTTATTTCATCTTTCAGAAGCATTTAATGTTAATAGTAATTAAATAATTCATTGAATGATTTAGTTTTTACTAATTTTTTTAGTTGATAATGGAAATGTGTTTTTAAAGTTGCATAATTTTTAAAGCAGCTTTTTAAATAAGATTAAAATCAACAAAATTTAACTCAGAGTTTGGTAAATGAATTAAGTTAAAGATACATAAATCAAAAGAGCATGTAGCCTTTTCAATGCTATACTGAGGTAATGATTAAATTTATAAGCTTCCAACTGTTCTTGTTTGTGCTTTATGCTGCTTTCTGTAAAAAATAATAATCATTATCCCATAAATAGGGTATAATATTTTTGTTCATTTATATAATATTACATATGGGCGGGCTGTGGTAACCCATTGTTTAGAGAATCAGACTCCTGTCAGGAGTCGCTGGGATTGATCAACGACTCCGCTCAGACCCTCCGACCATTCTGTGGAATTGAAAATCCTTTGGTCGGACGCTAAGCAGTACCATAAGTACAAGGATCTAGAGGCAAATTTAGAAAGTGGCATCAGGACTGAGTGGTGGTGCCGTCTATTGATGGGATTCTGAGCTAAGACATACTTTCACCCTTGCATTGTTTTTCACATCAAAGGCGCATCTTCCTGATTTAATTCGTAAAAGAGTCAATGGTTGGCAAGCTTGATTTGCTTATCATTACATATTTATTTAACAATTATTTAATCATTGTTCCATCTGAAATTGTAATATATATATATTCAGGTCGTAGTCCTCCAACTGCTAGAGTTGAACCAGAAAGGCAAACTATAATGCAAGGTTCATCTGGTGAACTCAGATGTATTGTCAGTGGTATTCCTAAACCTACTGTTAATTGGAGCAAAGTTGGTGCTGATTTGTCCAATCGCCATAAGGTAAATTAACTTTTATATAAAATTGAACTTACCTAATAATAATTCTCACTATGAATATCAATGAATTTAAAATCCTAGAGTACTTTGAAAATGTTATTACACTTTCCTAAGCATGTATATTTGATTACTACATGTTCCCTTTCTTTTCCTGAATCATGTTGTTAGAAATGTAATTTCTTTGCTCTTTTGACAGCTTATTACTATTTTCTTCCTTTATACTATTATATTGATGCCAATTAATAAATATGTATTGTTTGAAAAATTCTAAACAAAAATTCAAATGTCAGACTGCCATTTACTCGTTGAAAGCTCAATATGATTATTGGCTTCATAAATCTATTTTGTAACTGTTTGCTTCAAGTTGCTGTTGTTAAGTGCCATTATTGATTCATCGAAAAAGAATTTGGCGTTGGTCTAAATCTGTAGATTTAGACCAACGCCAAATTCTTTTTTTTCTGTGTATAGCTATACTTTTTTTCTTGAATGAAATTGTTTAAAGTTTTTAAGAGCTTCTGCTTTATATTTTCGTTAAAAAAAATTATTGGTTTGTATGTTATTTAAAATTGCAAAAAAGTTTTAGAAAAAAAGGTTAAATAATCAATTAATCAAGTTAAATGATTATTCATCAGCATCAATTTATCTTTATACTACATATTTTAATTCCTAATGCAACTCTTTCTTTTTAATATTTTACATTTAATTGAAAATTTTTATTCTAAAGTAAATTTGTGCTATTTTCTAATCATTAAATTATTTTTCCTCTTTAGAATTATTCAATAAAAAGCCAAAAAAAATACTGAAGCATTTTCTTTATTTAATACTTATTTTGATTAATTTTAGATACAAGAAGATAATTTATACATCTCAGAAGTTACAGTAGAAGACAGGGGTTTATATGTTTGTCGAGCTGAGAATCGGGATGGATCTGCTCAAGCATCAGCTATAGTGGAAGTTGAAAGTGAGTTTGTGTCCTTCCATTTCTTTTATGAAAAATAATTTCTAAGAATAATAAGTCTAAAGATAGCATTGAGTTTCTCTTCATTCAGTCTCTTTCACCTTTCATTCAAAGTTGTTGTCTGAGAAAAAAAATTATTTAATACATTTCTTTGAAACCTTTCATATAATTTTCTTATGACATTTTTGCTTGAAATTCAAAAAAGATGCTTTAACTTATATCAATCTTATAGATACATTTTGAAATAATCATTAACAATAAATCATTTATATAAGGTTATGTACTTTTATCTTACTTTTTTCTTAAATTTGTCAATGAGTGTTGAAATTTATTTGTGATATCTTTTAAACTTTATGATATCATTTCTGATTCTTCACATTTTCTGAAAGTGTTCTTAGGACCAGGAAGATAAGTTTTGAAGTAATGTTTCTTTGGCTTTTTAATTAAGATGCTACTCTCTAAATTAACTGATCAGTTTCAAGATACTTTTGATTAGTTGAGATAGAAATTTTTTTCATGGATCATAATCATATATTTAAAAATAATTTTCTAACCTTGAAATCAGTTCAGGTGTAAATTTATTTACTTGATTGAGATTTTTCTATACTGCCACAAAGCTTTTTCTTTCAAACGGACATTATCTCCTTTAATTAAACTTTACTTTACAGACTTGTTTATGCAATCAAATTTAACTATACTTGGTAATAGTGTCATTATTTAATTAAATTAAAAGAACATATTAGGAATGACCAAATTCATTTTGAAACTCAAGTTGGCATTGGTAGACTTCATGTTTCATGTGAAACTTAATATTTTCTTAATAAATCCTGCATTGAAACCTTTAAAAATTACATTACTCATATGTAGGATAAAGCATGCAATATTGGAAGTTCATTCTTGAATATGCATTAATATATTTAATATGATTTGTAATATTCTTTTCAGGACGAGAAGTGCCATCTATAGAACTTTATCCTGAAGCTACTCAAACAATAATTCGGGGTGGCAGTTGTCTCTTCCAATGTAGAGTAACAGCAGGGATACCTACTCCAACTGTAGAATGGGTCAGAGCTGATGGTAGTCCTTTCACTAGCAGCACAGAGATTCTGAATGGTGGGGTTATTAGGTATGTTCACATTTTAATTAATTTTAAAAGTGGGAGGGATTTTTATCTTGACAAGAAGGCAATAATCTTCTCCTCTTTCCTGTCTTAAATGTGTAGGCAAGGGAACTTCTGATTCAAGTTTATTTCATTTCCCAGGAGGATAAGCTTATTTCTAAGCTTTTTTATGAAAATGAAAATAACCACAAGTCATGTAGAATTATTTTCATTACTTCAACAGCAGAAAAGGCTTTTATCTGTCCACCACTATGAATAATTTCTGTCATTACTGTAATTTGTGCAGATAAAATTTTTCCTTTTAAATTTGAAGATGAAATGAAACAAAACAAGTCATCACCTCACATGAAACTGAGAAGATTACAACAACAGGAAAACCGAAAAGCGTCAACAGGAAATAACATAGTACTAAATATCACCATGGGAATACCACAACAGGAAAAGCCGAGAAGATTATAACAAGAAAAAACATTCTAAAAATCAAAAAGGAAAAACACTAAATTAGAAATTAAGCTAGAGGTACTGGCATGCATGTACATATATATACAGTGTAACCCCGGTTTTACATTGTCCATTTTGTATGTTATCATTTTCTGCTGTTTCGTGAAAATTGCCCGCACTGATACTATTAAATTTTATCGGATTTAATGGTATCTTTTTAACGAAAATCCCGCTTTATAAATTTTTCTAGCAAATTGAACATATATACATTTTTCTAGCAAATTGGTTTGAAGTAAGTATGGGAACTTAAATTGTAGAATATGTGGGGTGAATTTTTTCCAGTAAACTTCAACCTTTGTGTCTTGGAGTTATCCAATCTTTCAAAGAACGTCACACTAAACAACTGGCCGGATAATCATTTCTTTTTCTTGATTCCGATGACTTGTAAAATGCTTCAAAAACAAAAATTAAAGCTCTCAAATTGATTTCTACAGTGTCAACTAAACCTCTGAAACATGTGTTAGTGTAAGCCATAAAACCAATTTGCAAACAATAGTAAGTATTGAGAGGGATATTATTAAAATCGCATCTAGAAAAAAAGACACGTAGAAGCAAAAATCTCGTAAGGGTAAATTTTTGAAAAAGATACTTTTTTTTACCCTGATTTCATGTCTTCGTGCGTTTTTTAACGCTAGTCAGATGGAAAACGTAAAATTTGGTTCCACTGTACGTATGTATCTATGTATATATATATATGTATATATATACATACCCTCCAACTGCTACGGAATTTCCGTAGTTTCAGAAATCTTCTTTTCAGACGGTAGCAAAATTAATGTCTTAATATTTAAAAAAAATTAATTTTAGCGTAACTTGTCCACTATTACTTATAAAAGTGCAGGCCATATGGCTAGATTNGGTTCAAAATGATTTTTTTTAAATATCAACCAATTTTAATGAAAATTTCATAGATTGTGAATAAAGCATTTAGAAAGATATTCCCAAAATTTGAAGCAAAAATATTAATTTGTTGAAAAGTTATAATTTTTTTAATAATTTATCCGCAAGTTAAATTACTAAATGTTCCAATATTTCAAAATGTTTCCTGCGCATGAGTTTTTATCGTAGCTGTATGAAACTCATTTATATTACAGTTTGAATAAGTATAAATAAAATTGGATATGTTTGAACAACTTAGCACTTAATTTTAAACAAATAAAAAATCAAAATATCATAGTCTTTATATAATTTTTAAAAATTGAAATTTAAATAACAATTTAAAGTAATTTAAAAAATATTCAGTGAGTATTCAGCTTTTATTTATATCACATTGGTTACGGAACATTAGACCAATCATATATATGAGAAAAAAATAAAGATTTATTCAAAACTCATGCGCAAGGAACTTTTCGAAGTTTGAATATTATCGTAAAAAACAACATTGAGAAAAAACAGTTTAACTATAAAAACAGACAGTTTACATAACCTTGTTTACAAATCTTGAAATGCTTATAACTTTGCAAAAAATGAATGAAATTGAAAAATTTTTCTTTTAAATTGTAGCTAGATATAAGTATTATTTTTTGAAACAAAAATTGAAAAAAGTATAATTTGGTCGATTTTTGGGTTTTCCATCGTGAAGTGTCCCCTTAAGATAAAAATTATCCTTTTTAATAGATTTATTATAAGGAGTAACTTTATATAATTAAGAAATTACCAAAAAATTAAGAATTAATTAGTTTTATTAACTGTGCAAAAGCTGCAAGTGTAATATACATAGAATCCATATAATAAGATAGAAATACAAAGAAAACAAGAAAAAAAATTTGAAGTTTTTTTTTTTTAAAAATGAGAAAAATTATTAAAAATAATTACAAGTTTTTAAAAATGTAAATAAATTAAAAGGCTGCAAGAACAAAATAATGAAAAAAGAATCTCCTGATCAGCTCACACATCTGCAAATTAGAATGCTATCTGATATTGTATTGATATATTTTGCTTTGGCCATATTAATACAATATTAGAAAACACTTTATTTTGTAGATATAATCATGTGAGCTGACAAAGAGATTATATCTTTTTGTATTCTGGCCTTTTATTTATTTCTCTTTTAATTTTTAAAAATTCCTAAATATTTTTTCTTTTTAAAAAAATGTTTTCCTTTTTATTTCTTTCCTCATTGTATTTGTTTTATCTTATGGTCTATACAAATATATATATGCATAATCTTTACTTATTATTATGTAGGTTTAACAAAGTAACTGGAGATGAAGAAGGTACATACATTTGCACTGCTGAAAACTCAGGAGGAAGAACAACTGCACAGGCTGTTCTTCAAATTCAAGGTATGTTTTGTATGAAGAAAGCAAATAATTCTGTCTAAAACAAAGCATTATTTTTAAAAAAATCTGAGACTTCTTTCCCCTCTGCGTTGTAAAAGTGGTTTATATTTAAGTCAATGTAGGTCCCACAATCCATTGATGCCCAAATTATCTTTCTTTGTTTTTCCTCCCTTTTGTTTTTTCATCAGAGAGAATTTCTAGAGCCATTTAAATTTATTTATTCGTTTCTGTATAATATATTGGGAGGCCTTTACTTAAACCTAGAATTTGGCAAAGGTTGCTGCACCTGGCTCTTATGCCATTACACTCTACATTCAATCAGTGTATAGCATTACATTATTCTTTATCAAAGATTTGTTTGTACTTTTACGAAAGACTTGGTAAAAAATATTAGATTATGTATGTCTTTTTGTAAAACAATTTCAAAAGACAGAAATTTATCAAAAAAGTTATTATTTTTACAAATTATTTTGAATACTTAAATGTAATGAATATATTTTTACTTTTAACTACCTTTCCCAGTTTAAAACTTCTTCCTCCAGAAAATTTTGAACCTTGAAGAGAATTTTTCTATTAAAATATTTAATTTTTATGATACTTTAAGATACTGCATGTAAACGAAGAAATTTTGTCATCAATCGTTTATAAGTCTATGTTATAAACATCATCGATTTTCAAGGAAAATTAAGTTTTGTTTAATCAAGATCCTTGTTCCTTAGAGTTTAAAAACTATATTATTTCATTACGTGAAGAATGAAATTGGTTTATTTATTGACTAGTTATTTCTCATGCTGACTTACATCATTTTGAAAGTTAAGGATGCTTAGTTAAACACTTTTATATTTCCATCATTCTATTAGGAAAATTCAAAATTCATAATTATTATAAAATCTAGTAAATCAGAATAGATTTCCATAAATGGAATGAAATATTTTTCTATTATGTACATTAAAAAAATTTTGGCTATCAGTTTTTGTCAAATAACAGGATTATGATCTATGAATTGGTTCAAACCCTGCTGACCAAAGACTCCCCATGTAGTAAATAGTGACTGATGCACCTTAAATCTGTCGAGTCACAAAGTCCTCCATGTTCCCATTACAAATCAATACATCTGGGGGTAATGGATTGGAGAGATCGATCATTCTCTGATTCAGGTCAAAATTACGATCTGTGGATGGATGTATGAATGGGTCCACCTATAAACGGGTATGACGTATGGTGTGGCAAAAGTCGAATTCTTAGCCATAGATGGCGCCACTGGAAAACAAGAACAATCGCACCCCTCTACCTTAACAGGCATATGAGAGAGAGAGAGACGATCTATGAATTTTAGATTTATATGATTAGCAACATAATAAACATTATTTTGCGTGAGTTGAATTTTTATGTAGTTGAAATGTGAAATTTAAAATCTCTTAAAGTTTATTTTATCGGCCAACCATTGACTCATCAAAAAAAAAAATTATAAATTATTATTTTTTTTTTTAAATTTTAATATAGGTGCACCAACTGTCAAAATTACTCAAGCTAACCCATACCGTGTAAGACCTGGAGAAACTGTTAGGTTTGAATGCTTATCAGAAGGTGATCCCAGACCAAATGTGTCTTGGAGAAAGTTGAGGCATCCTCTTGTTTCTTATGCTGCTGCAGAAGAATCTGAAGACGGTAAGGCTATCTTGGAAATACGAAGAGTCTCCCAAAGTGATTCTGGAGTTTATATTTGTTCTGCTCGCAACACAGCTGGCATTACAGAAGAACGCATCCAGCTAATTGGTTAGTTTAAAATTTCATCTATTGTTTGTGTTTTGTCTTGTTACTTCAGTCTCTATATCATATAAGATCCAATAAATAAAATTAAAATTATGTGTAGTTAAATATTTTTATTTCCTCGTTTTTCATTGATAAACCAAGATATTTCATATAAAAGTTTATTCCTATAATACATTAAGTCAAATTATAAATTATTATATAATATTAAGTCATATTAAGAAAATTATAACACATTATCAGGAAGGAGATTTTCCCGCGTTTTAGCGGATTTCCGCTTTTGTCTCTCGAATTTCAGCCTTTTTATCAAAAACTCCGATTATCAAAAACTCTGATTGTCTAAAAGTTTCTTTTTTTACAAATATTCCGGTTTTTCTGGAAATTCAGTCGTTGAAATAGAATAATTATTTCCGAATTTCAAAGAGAAACAGAAAATTCAAACTACATAGCTGCCAATCCTTCCTCATTTCTATTTATTTTAGCTATTCCCTCCGCTTTTACGCACAGAAAATAAGATTTTTCGTATTGCCTCCCCCGCCCGCCAGATAGCTAGTACTTTCGTAATTCAGACGTCGCTGCTTACTGTTTGCTGGCTCAAAAGCAAACGAATTGATAAATATGATTTTAAAATAACGGTATTATTACCAAACATCGATTTTTGTATTTACCTGATTTAAAAGTTACGCTTTGCTATTTTTATTTACTCAATTTAAAAATTATGCATCGTGATTCGTATTTACGCGATCTGAAAATTACGCATTATGATTTTTTGTATTTTTGAAATTCAATGTCGAGTTTTATATTCGCAAGATTTAAAAGCCACATATCAGGATTCATATCTATACAATTTTAAAATTTATCATCGAGATTTATATTCACTTGGTTTAAAAATCACACTTTTTTTGTCAAATTTTTAGATATCATGGCTTCTACATAGTATATATATATATTCATTCTTGGATTTCCTCTTTTTTTACTTTCTGACTACTCTCATCCCTGATTTAATGCATTTTTTTTTTATAAATTTGAATAGTTTTGCTTGATTAATGTAGGATTGAATGAAAAATATCTGTTTTAATTTCATGTCTAACCTATCAATCTTAATTAATTATTTTTGGTGTCTTAAATCAAATATTATATTTTTCATTTATATTCATTCATTTGAACTTCTTCAGTTATTATCTTTCAACTAACTTTAGTATTAGTTTGCGATTAATTTAGTTATCATCATGATGAAGTTTGTATTTTATTATTTTTTATTAGTTGAAGAAACAGATTCAGTTGTACCAGAAGTAATGGTTGAGGATAGAGTTACTACTGCAACTGTAAACAGCAGTGTGGAACTCCGTTGTTTTGTTAGAGGTAAACTTTTTATGAAATAAACCTTTCTTAAAATATTTAGTATCGAAGTGTAAAAGGCATTATTTTCAACACAAGTTATTTGTAGAATGTCTAATACAATTAATATTTTACCAGGCACTGACAGGGATGTCTATTTGAAATGGACCAGAACAGATGGTGGACAAATGCCTGTTAATCATAGATTGCAGGATGGAATATTAATCATATCCAATGTCCAACCTGATGATGCTGGCGAATATTCATGTCTTGGCATAGTTGAAGGAGACATAATTCTTTTCACGGCCAGAGCTCGTCTAGCAGTTGTTGGTAGGTTATTAAAATTTCCTTTAATTTGTAATGTTGTTTGCATATTGTTAGAATATCATAAAGTTTGTTTAAATTTTTTAAATATATTTATATTTTATTTATTGCTACATAAGGTGTTTGGGCTAGAGGTAAGAAGTTCTATATTTTCTTTTGTATTCGTTGCTGTCTAAAAATATGATAAATTACATAATATTTAGAGCCATATTTATTTCAAAGGTAATATTGTCTAAATAATTTGAATAATTCACCATTCTAGAATGATTTGATTTGTTTCTAGGTTTCATTTTGCATTCTTTTAAATGTAATACCTAATTTAAATTATTTATTAATACATGGCTTTTAGAAATATTGCATTTTGTGATTTGTAACCCTGTATTTTTAGAGTATTTGTAATTTTTCAAAAAATATCGTATATTAAATAGTTTTAAAAAGATTTGTAGAATTAGTTTTGATTTATTAGCATTAATTTTATTGTGAAGCTCTTACTGAAGTTCTATAATCTCAATTACAGCTCCTCCTAGAATAATATTAAATCCACCTCGACAAACAGCAAGACCAGGTGATGTTGTTCGCATACAGTGCTCTGCTATCGGGGATCAACCCATATCCATTGACTGGAGTCGCATAGGAGGCAATTTAGCACCTAGCATGGTGCAAGGTGGAGGAGTGTTGACATTCCAAGGCATTACAGCTAATGACGCGGGAAGATATCTATGTACGGCAGTGAACGCAGCTGGAAAAGCTGAAGGAGTAGCGGAAGTTATTGTTAATGGTAAGAGCCAATCATTTTTCTATTATTTAGATTTTCATTTAATAGTTGTTTCAAACAAGTAAAATTGCTCATTATTGTTTATTAAACAGTTTAAGGAGTATGTGGGTAATTTCTGCATAATGTATGTCAATTGACTAAGTCAGTGGATCTCAAAAGGTGATCTATGGGAAAGTAACTGGGGTTTCAACAGTTTAAGACCTTTTTTAGGGGAGGTAAGGGACATCGAAAGAATTCAGATTTGTAGAGTAACCTATGGTTGAAAACGCTTTTGATCACCGTTATTTCGTGTTGTTGACGAAACGGGTTGGGCGGGGTGGACCGGTTTCCTGGCCACTACGCTCTCCTGATTTAAGCAGTATGGATTTCTTTCCTTGGAGTGCACTGAAAACTGCTGTGTACGCAACGGCTGTGGATTGTGAAATGAATCCATTTGTAAGTATCGTCTGTACTGCTGCGGGTATCCAACAAAATCCAGGCATATTTGAGTGAGTCCGCCAATCCATGGCCTGATTGTGTAACACATGCATCACTAGCAATGATGGAAACTTTGAATTTTATTTTTGACGTTTTCACATATCCTCTTTCACAGCACATGCAATATCTTTGACCAATAAATATTTCAGTTGATCTCCATCTTGTGTCTCCTTGTTTCTTGTACCTGTCATACTGCTTTTTCATGAAGTTTCCAACTGTAGGTTGCTATGCAATTCTGAATCCTTGTGATGCCCCCTACCTCCCTTTAAAGTTTGTTCCACTTTTTCTGAGCAAAGTATATGTTTCTTATCATGTTTTCTTGCTTTAGAAATTAAGAACAAAATATTAGCAGAACTCTTGAAATTTTTGTGATGATTAAATCCTTTGAATATTGCAGAAGAATCACCCCTTGATTATGTGAGGAAAGAAGAAACTGCATTTGTTGGATCTAATGCACAGTTGAAATGTGCAGTTTCTGGATCTCCTGCACCACAGTTGGAATGGAGTAAAGATGGAGGACCTTTACCAGAAAATGCAAGAGTTATCAATAATGAACTGTGGTATGTATCATTATTAACTTTATATTTCAGTTAGAAACTTGTAAAAAGAAGCTTCAAAGTTTTATAACGTAAATTATGATAATCACTTTTTTAATCAGTTTTAAAAAGTCTTTTTTTTTGTTTTATTTAAATTTAAGTCAATTAATAAGAATATATGAAATAAAATCTTTAAAATGAATTTGTAAACAGTGTCATCAATAGTATTGTTATTTTGATCCTTTATTAAACTAAATCATGCATCAAATGAACTTTGAAGCCCCCTTAAATTTTATATAATTCCTTTATTTTAATTGCTGGCAGCTGTAGTTGGTTAAAAAAATCACAATAAAAATATGTATTTGAATATAAAATATCTCTTTTTTACTAAAAATAATAAATTTCCAATTTCTCTTTAACTTCAAAAAAAGTTCTTTTACAAAATTTTGCGTGCATATTACATATTAATATAATAATCTACCTTTTATTAATTTTTTTATGTGTTTTAGTAGTTAACTATTTTTGACCTTCTAAAAAAAATTTTTTTTTTTTTTTGTATATTTATTCTAAAATTGTTCTTGTACTTTAATTCCTAAAGGTTGAGAGATCTTCGAATGGAAAATGCTGGTCGATATATTTGTACTGCCACTAACAGTGCTGGACGTACAAGAGATTATGTTATTCTCAATGTCAGAGGTTAATATCTTCCTATTATTATGTCAACTATGATTTTTTAACTCTTGTTTTAATTTATGTCTTCGAATATTTTACAAATGTCAAAATAGATTAATAAATTTTATTAGTCTTTCATTCAAAATTAATAAAAAAAATAACTACTTAAAGTAATCATACTGAATAGATACACACCAGCCTACTATGGCCAAGAACCTAGTCTCATTTTTAAAGGTTTTATCCTATAACAGACATGACAGAAATACCACATAATTGTTACCCAGTGAGACAACATAGACAGCATCTGAGATGGTATCCCTTCTTCTCAATTTTTCCGCACCACAACCAGCTTGAGAACTTTCAGCCCTTAAAGATTTAATGTGAACTTTGCTGTGTTTGCATGCTGGTTTTGTCGTCTACCAGGATCGAATGCACTTCTCCCTGTTTACCACCAGTTGAATGAGTTATGCTTTTACCATTGTGCTACAGCCGTGTTAAATGAGTCATGCTTTTACTGATGTGCTACAGGAAAAAGATTAGACATTTTACAGAGGCTCAGCAGTTTTAAGAATTTTTTCTTCGTTATACGTGAAATTTAGAGAATTAGTGTGACTGTGTACTGTGTTAATTAAATGCATTATTGCAATTGAATTCTAATTCAAGTTTTATTTGAAAAAAATAATTTTAATTGTTTCAAACATCTCAATTTTATTTAAAGCTGTACCTACCTTGGAAGTGAAGATTGAAGCTAACAAAGACATTGTAAATATGGGTGATACTCTTGACCTCCGATGCAAAGTAACAGGAGATACTTCTGCTCGAATTTCGTGGTACAAAGTTGCTCAAGAAGGACCCCTTCCAGAAAATGTCAGAATTCGTGGGCCTATTCTGGTTATCAATGGAGTGATGCCAGAAAATGGTGGGGTTTATCGATGCAGTGTTGAGAGTTACGTTGGAACATTCAACGATGATTATGTTCTTGCTATGCAAGGTAAGTGAAAAAGTAACTATTTTATTGATTATGGTACATATTTGTTATGTATGCAGTTGTGTTATTGTCTAGAATGAAGATGAGTTCTCAAGCTTTGGAAAATTTAATGCTTAACAATATTTTTTGACATTATAATATAGAAAATTTATTGTGTGAAATGCATTATATGGTAGTAAAGTGATGACTGATTGATAATAACAACTGCAAGTAAATGTTTTCTATAGTATAAATTTATTAGTTAGTTTTATGCTGTTGTTGTAAAAAAAAATTGTAAATATATGTGTTGCTTCTTAAAAATAACTTGGGAAAAAGAAATATTTATTATAAGTTTATTTTTTTAAAGCCCTTTATGTTTAAAAAAATCCCCCAATACATTTTTGGCTAAAAATATGTAATCCTAACAGAAATTTTTCTTAAAATTGGAGTGAATGCAATCTATTATAAGAAATAAAAAAGTTTTTTTTTTAAAAATTAATTGGCTTACATAAGAATGAGTTAATAAATAAATAATTTCATAAAATAATATTATTATAAAACAATGATAAGCTGCAAAAAAGCAACAAAACTGCTTCAAATATTAAAAAAAAATGTAAAATCTGTTATTTTTTCTAAATATTTTATATGAAATTTTTTTGCATGCCCTTTTGGGATTTTATGTTCAATACAAATTCATAAGAAAAAGTAAACCCATAAAGAAAAGAAAATTGCATTTAGTTTTGTACTAAAAATGTAGTTTGTTGTATTTTTACTGTTGAAATAAATGTCCAAACTAAGTAGAAAAGTTATTTGGTTCTTATTGTTTTATAATTAAGTCTTATAATGCTTTCAAGTGAAGTTTTATATTATTCTTCTATATTACTTTACAATCCCATGTTTCATTATTATCCATTGTAGAAAATGTAAAATTGTATTCTTTATACTTTCATGCATTTCCTTAACATGGAAATATTAATGTAAGTATTTTTAGTACCAATAAGTTTAAACTATGCTAATTTAGTACTTAAACTTATGATCTTATCTATGTTTTAGTTCCACCCACTCTTACTCCTGATTTAGTTGAGACTCGTACTGCACCGTTCGGCTCAACGGTTGTAATGGACTGTAAAACAACTCTGGACCCTCCAGTTGCTTACACATGGTACAAACAAGGTGGTATTTTGCCTTCTGATGCAACTGTTAATGAAGGTCAATTAACAATTGCTGATGTCAAAGGTGAAGATGCAGGAACATATATTTGTACAGCTAGAAGTCATGTAGGAACTATTGATATCCCTAAAATTTTGATTGTCACAGGTAAGATTTTAAATTTAAAATACAAATTTTGATGTACTGTTTTTATGCTAGTACAACTTTGCACTACTAGATATAATGCATACATAACTTGAAAGGGCATGTTTTCCTATTCTAATTATGCTGTCAAAAATTCATTAACTGTCATTGTTTTTTTAAAACAATGGATATCTTACAACTGATGATTATTTGTGCATTCCTACACTATAACGAAGTTTCAATTTCAAGAAATAGATATCAACCATAGATAGATAAAAATTATAACATTTAATGTGGTATTGATGTTTTAAGGAATCTCTATGGAATTTAATATCCAATATCCTTTATAGTTTATTTTTGTATAAGTTATTTTTTGGTTATTTATTAAAAATTATAATTTAAAATAATAGAAAAGTTTTTGCGTTGTGACTTTACATTTCTCTTTGCTGTAAACAAATGTTATAATTCAAGCAAATAAAAAATAAATGCATTAATATGCATAAAAATGTTGTAGGATAAATTTTTTATTGAAAGCAATTTGTCCTACTATACATTGACACGCATTATTTTTTATTTTTAGTATTTTTAAGATTATTTTTAGCTACATAGATCAAATATACAGCTTCTTTGTATTATAAATAAGTATTTAATAAATGTAAATATCCGAGTTCATAGCATACAAATTTATTATGGAGAAATTTTTATCAAGTGCGTTTTAATAGATAATAACCACAATCAACGAGTCAATATGTGCTTAGCTTTTAATTGTGTAAATTTCGGGCTCAATATTATCGTCAAACTTGGAAGAATTTCAATGGGTTCCATAGAATTTTAAATTCCTCTAGTAACCTCTTGACCTCTTAACAAAATAAAAAAAATTATGTATTATCTATTTGTGATGGCAAATATACCATTTGAGGAGAGCCATGTCTATTTTTTAATACAGTTTTGAGTGCTATACAGTTTTCATGCTTAAAAAATATTTTATTAGTTTGACAATCGAAACCGAAACCAACATACTCTTATGACTATCTTCATGCTAATATCGAAAACGTGTGTAGCAGTACCATAGATAAAGAGTACTAAACATCACCTCTAGCCCATTTCAATCACTAATACTAAATTTTAACAATTAAATAATCCTCAATAAACAGAGAAAAATAATGATTTATCGATCTCTTCCAATTGTGCCAATAATGAAAAATGCCAATCATACTGTTTTTGATATTTTAGCAATTTTATTGTTTAAAAAAAAATTGTAAAATCAAGATAAAGTGAATGTTTTTTAACCAAATTTAAAATCATTTTAAGAAGTAAATGTGAATGTTTATTTTAAATGAAATGTTCTTTCTATTTATAGGAGTGGTTCCTTACTTCTCACAGACTCCATTGTCTTACATGAAGATGCCTACATTAGCAGATGCTTATTTAGTCTTTGAAATAGAATTGGCTTTCAAACCAGAAAGCATGAATGGTATGGTACTTTTTATAAAAATTATCATTGTTATGATACTTTTATTTATTAGGCGCTATTATTGTAAAATTATTTTCTTGTTCTCTCTTTAAACTTTTGGGTGTAAACTTTGGGTCTCATTTTGATTAAAATCCATATTTTGTTTTAGTATTAGCAGTGTTCTTTTTACCTCGAATATTTTTAAAAAGATTTTTTATGCCTATAATTTTTAGGAAATAGTATCAGTATAGATTATACTGAGTTCCAGGATTCAACTATAGTTTATATTTGAGCCGCGATGGCTCTGGGAATAGAGCGTTTTCACCTCCCATTGAGATGACCTAGATTCAAATGCCTGCATTTGCTGGTTGATACGAATTCTGCTCCTGGCTCGCACGGACCACAGTGCTGACGTAAAATATCCTCAGTGGATCATAGGTTAGAATCCCCTTGTCACCAGGTTAATCGTGGAAGGTTCTCGTGATTTTCCTCTCCGTGTAATGCAAATGCAGATTAGTTCCATCAAAAGTCCTTCTTGAAGGCTGGTTTGTCCTAATGCTTGGTCCAGGAGTTACCTTGTCTTTTGGATTGGGCTTAAACTTATAAGGTTATGGAGTTGAACACTAATAGTGGTAAAAATAAACTTTTGGATAGACGCACCAATGAGCTGTTTTTTTTCCTGCTGACTGATTTGTTTTCTCAGAGGATAGATAAATAAAAAACAAGACAAATATGAAGTCGTGATAATTTACTAAAGAAAAGGAATCACTTGAGTGGCAGCTAACCATGGAGCTTTTCCTGATTTTAACTCTCCATGTAACGTAAATGTGCTTCCAAAATGTACTCTATAAAGGCTAATTCGACCCAATGATTGATCCAGTAGTTACCTTGTTAGGTTGAGTTTTCAATATTACTAAGTTACAAAATTAAACATTGGTAGCCATAAACTCAAAAATAGGTTTTCTGTTCGATTCTGTTTATAAAATAAATAAATAAAAAAGGAAAGATTATTCTAAAAACATTCAAATGACCCCATAATGTTCTTAACCAGTAGTTTCCAACTGGCGGCCCGGGGGCCGCATCCGGCCCGAGAAGCCTTTTTTTGTGGCCCGCGAACTGAAATATATTTTGTAATTTTTTTGCGAACAATTTTTGAAAAATATCTATGTGGGTTTATAATACTTTTCTCGTTAATAAAAACTTACTTTATTCGTATCTGTGAAATTTATCATACCAACGGTGCAAAAGAAAAATTTTTCTCAGGTTTTGCATTCAAGAAAATGTTTATTCAAATGCAAAAATAATCGTGCATGTTGATCTTTTTTATTTACTTTTTTTTATTGTGAATATAATTTAGTATGTGTGTATCAGAAATTTTCTTGAAGAAATTCTCCGATTTAACTTTTTGAAACCACTCATTTTGGACGAAAATATTTACACACACACTCATTTGTAAATTTTAAATTTAAAATGTAAATATCTATTCTTTGGTGGTTGCAGCGGACAAACCTCAATTTTGTCATTGAACATTTTGTGTGCTACTATGTAAGTTTTAATACTAACCTTTTTAAAGTCTTATATCTTAACAATTAGATATTTGTCGCACATTAATTGTTTAATGCATGGGTGGGCATTAAAGCTATTGTAGCCCGAATTTTTTAATTTGCAATTAAATATTTTTAAAAATCTACTTCTTATTTTAATTTGTAATTCAATACTTTTGTTTTGTACAACTTGGTAAAAATCTGACAGTAATATTTAATGTTCCTTCAAACATAAAAGAGTCCTACATAAAATTTTGATAAAGTTGGGGCCCGCCATTTGATTTGTGTTTTTAATTGCGGCCCCTGGCCTCATGTAAGTTGGAAACCCCTGTTCTTAACCATGACTATGAAATAAATTTGTTAATTTCATTATCTATATGTGCTGCTTTACAGTTCTAGCATATTTATGCAATGAGACATTTGTATCAAAAAAATTATACTCAACTGGTTTGAAATTTACTTTTCTGATCTGTATTTTCACTCACTTATCTATTTCACTGTGACTAACTCTAATCTGCTACAATAAGTAACCACTATTGCACATTATTACCAATTACTTTTTATTGAAAAAAATTATTTACTTTTATCAATAATGTTTGTCTTTTTTTCCAAAAAAATTTTTTTTTAACATTTTAGCTATAAAATGTGTGACAAATATTTGGTTAAATTGTTTATAACATATAAAAATTTATTAATTTATGTTTTTCAGGTCTCTTATTCTATAATGGTCAAAAACAACAAGGTGATTTTATTGCTTTGGTTCTGAACAATGGATATGTTGAATTCCGATTTGAATTGGGTTCAGGTCTAGCTACTATACGAAGTACTGAACCAGTTGCAATGGGAAAATGGCACGTTGTACACATTGCCAGAGACAGGAAGAAAGGTAAAATAAAGTCTAGTGTTTTATTTAATGAAATGTAGTAAGTTTAAAAGTCAGTTCATCCATCTAATTTGAATAGTAAAGTAAAATAAAGTTTGTGCTTTCTGTTTTAATAACATATTAATATTTTGCATCTTTACTTTAAAATCGCCTCTGGTTTCTTTATTTAGGAAATATGTATATAAACATTGCATTTATACTCTTATTCCTTTTTTTTATACATAAATTACTATTTTGAAGCTTTTATTTCTATATAATTTCATTCATGGTAGCATGTGTCTGAAGCATTTGGTTAAAAATGTAATCTTGCATGTTTTCAGGCCTGGCTAAAAAGTATTCTTCTTGCAATCTTTAGAATAAAAATGTTAATTTAATTATTTGTTAAATAAATTAGTTTCTAGTTATTTTATAATCACTTGGTGAAGCTAATTACTTGTTATTAATTTAGTTTATCGTGTTTATTTCTCAACCCTTTATTTTTACCAAATTATTAAAAAATTAACAAAAATTCCCAAAACTTTTTGTCTTATTAAATAATATCTTTTACACTTTGACAAATAATGTGAAAGATTTGATACTTTGTTTTATAATCAGTTGAAAATGTTAATGAACCAATAAAAAAAATGTGAAAGATTTATTTGGAAAATTGATCAAGTTAGAAAGCTGAGAATAGAGGAAACATGGAATGATGTCCTCAAACCAAATATCAACAAATAAATAGTTCCATATGTGATGTTCAACTTCAAACAATCATGTGTAATCAACTAGTAATGATAAAGGAAAGTCATATTACAAAGACAGGCAAGTTGCAGTGGGATATTTTGTTCCATTCTCATGTTATTTGTGAATAATATTAGCGGGACTTAGATATCTTATTGGTACATAAAGGGTTAATTCATTTTACACTTGTTAAATATTTTAGTAAATGCGATCAATAGATAATTTTTCTCTTGAATTATCATATTATTATCAGTTTAAGTAGTCTTTTGCATAGTGTGTGTAAATACCACAGATCTTTTAACTTATTCATATAAAAACAAAAAGACTTCAAACAGGATTTTTCATAGTAATATTTCTTTTAGTTTCAGCATTTAAAATCAATACACAAATTGTTATTTCAAAGATTATTTTGTGGAATTTTTTCATAATTTTTTTTTTCAAAATCTTATTATTCTTTTTTTTCTTTCATTTTCTTATAATGTTGGTTAAAAAAATATCGTATGCAGTTAAACTTCTGTATGTTTTAAAGTATCTACATCCAATTAAAGTTACTCATTATTCTATGTTTCATTTCCTTAGGTACTTTGAAAGTAGATAATCAGCCAGAAGTCACAGGAGTAGCTCAAGGCAGGTTCTTGGGACTTGATTTAGTACAACCAATGTATATAGGTTCTGTTCCTGACTTTTCTGCTATAGAGCAAAATGCTGGTGCAACTAGAGGATTTATTGGTATAAATGTTATTTTATAATTGTACTATAAGTTTAATAACTTTTTTTGAAAATGAATTTATGTTCATTTTATGGAATATAGAACTCAAGTTTTCGGAACATATCTCACAGTTTTCCATAATTTTTTTTTTAAAGTAGAACATTGGAGAGATTTTTTAAACATAATTTATAGTCTTAATATTCTTTATTAAAACTGATGTCTTAACTATGTGCAATCATATTTTTAGAATAATTACTCATTTTTTTTAATTTTTTGATCAATTTTTTTTATTTTAAATACTAACAGAGTGACTGAAAATTATGATATTCCTGGATATTATGTTATTTCTGAAATTGTTTGGTTTACTCCCTTTTGTTAGGTAATATTTTGAGATTTACTGAAATTTAACATTTACACCATAAAAAATTTATTAGTTTTTACATTAGCTTTATATTAAAAAATTCACCGTACACAAGCACTGTAAGACTAACTGAGAATGCTATTCTTATCCTTCAGAATTAAATATATTAATAGTCACTAGCATTTCGATTTCATTTGCCAATTTTAATTAAAATAATAAAATTGATATTTCTAATTCTATTTTTGTATTATTATTTTTGTTTTGAAATTGGTAAATGGACGATGACAAAAAAAAATTCAATTATAAAGTTGATTGGAGTGTAACATAATTTAGAAATTAACTTTATAATTGAATTTACACTTCAATCATCACTAAGGATTAAACGAACTATAGACTGTCATCAATAGTCCATTGTTGTAGCTCATATGCAATATTGAAAGTCTTACTTGCCATTCAATATGATAAATAACTACCATTTCTAGGGAGTATAATTGCATATTTTATTATGAATATATTCTTGTTACTATTGTAAAATAACAGTTTCTTAATACACATTTTTTTTAAATTAATTGCCAGTCTCTTCACTATTATTTCTATTTCTTATTTAAGCTTTTAAATGATGATATTTTAAAAATGTTTGTATTATCATAGGCTGTATCAGCCACTACAAAACTGGAAAAGTGGTACACAACTTACTTCGAGAAGCAGAGGCCTATGGTATATCAACTTGTGAAACATGTTCCAGAAATCCCTGTCTTCATGGAGGAGTGTGTCAGGAAGCATTGACAATGGTCGGCTACAACTGCATATGCCCACCTGGCTTTTCTGGTCGGGACTGTGAAAAAGTTGGTGAAGCTTGCTATCCTGGAGTGTGTGGAGAAGGAAGATGCTTTAATAAACCCGGTGGGGGATTTGAATGCTTTTGCCCCATGAGGAAATCTGGCCTTCGATGCGAGAAAGGTAATTTTTTTCATTGATTTCCTCACAAATTGGTTCTTATATATAAAACCTATTTTATTGAATGCTGGTATTTTTTGTTGTTATAAACTTTGAATATTGGTTTCAATGTATATTTTTATCCTCTTTTGCTAATACAAAATGCAGCACATGGCTACCACTTCTACTGAATTTTCCGGTAGACTACTGGATTGTTCCAGTTTCCCCTGGTCCACTGGTTTCAGAAAAATTCTCTTGTTTTTGTACATTTTAAGTCCCTCCATGGACTGATCGTAAAGACACGGTTCCGAGTAGAACACCAAAGTCGAGCATCACTGGGTGTGGTCAGTAAGCGGGTGGATGACCATTTTGATCAGCCTGCGTAGGGGCCGAGGGTGCGCGGTATTAGTCCTCGTTAAACTGTTCTATCATAAAGTGCTAGACTTCGCACGCAAGTTGTCTGGCTACCAAAGCAGAGGAGCCATCGCCTCTGCAGAGGATCAAAATTGTGATGGTGTGCCTTCGGATCATCCTCAAGCATGCTTTCCACACCTTCGCCAATAGCCCATTGTGCAGTTACGTAAATAAAGTACATACCTATCTTTTGTGAATTTTGAAAATTGAGTAATTTTCCTTAATTTTTTTTTTTTATTGAAATGGAATTTGTACACAATTTATTGCTTGCTTGATTTCATGAAATATTTTCCAAGAATTGTTTACAAAAATAAAGACCCATCTCATAATAATTTTGTACAGAAAAAAATAAATAAAACCTTTTATCTGGAATAAAAAATGAACTCTATATATGTACGAATATATGTGATTCCTTATAAATAGATTTATGTTAATGTTTTTTTTAGAAATGTAATAACAAACAATAGAAGTTTTAAAATGCCAACATAATTATTACTTGAACCATACATTAGAGTTTTTAATACCTTGATTTTTTGATGTCATAATGTTTACAATAATTTTTTTACACAGTTAAAATTTTAAACACATTTATTTGTTATTTTTACTAAAATCTTTAAAGTGTTATAACTTTCAGTATCCTGAGTTTTTGATGTCATGTAACTTTCAGTGTCTTCCTTTAAGTACATGATGTCAAGATTTAATTGAATTTTTTAAATTTCTTATTTTTTACTGCTGCCATACTCTGACTCATGCTATATTCTTTAGAAAGTTTAATTTTTCAGATAATGTCAGACTTCTTTTTAATCTAATCCAATTTTTCAATGTTTATTGCAAGTCAAGAATCAATATTTGATTTACTTATATCACCTCAACATAAATGTGAATGAATCCATTCTTTTTATTTATACATAATCATTTTACGTATTTTTCCTTTAAATTCGTTTTTTCACTCTGAAATACATTTTTTTGTCTCATTTGATATTTCTATGATGATTATATCCAGAGACCTACAAAGTTTCTAGGTGACTTATTAATTTTCAAAAGATTGAAGGATAGCTGTAATATTTTGTAGGTGACTGGATTTCTGAACCTCTGGTTATGTCTTTCAACTTCTTAACATTAAAAATAATAGAACTTTTTCCATTTATTTTTTTTAGATATAATCATCGTGGAGCCAGCATTTTCAGATGATGCATATGTCGCCTATCCCACACCGAATGCGCTGACTACTCTGAAACTGAATATGAAAATAAAACCACAGAATACTGATGATTGTTTGATTGCCTATTGTGCTCATACTGAAGATGGAAGTGGCGATTTCACTTCAATCGCTATCAAAAATAAGAGCGTTGAGTTCAGATTTGACATGGGATCAGGTAAATAATTAACTTTTTTTGTCGTTTATTTTGAGTTTAATTAAATAATAAATGATGCAGCCTTTTTTTCTATATATATATTCTTTTTCAAAAATATTTTTTTATAATAAAAATTAATAAAACATTCGCCAACAGTCAGTTGTTACCCAAGGGAGTCAAAGCTTCTCAATTTTGAGAATGATGGCATTACAGTAGCAATGTAGTCAGTGATGTGCATTGGCCACCTTTACCTTCTAGTTAAGCTGGTACCTATAGGCCTGAATCATTGTATGCTTCAAGCTTATACCAGGGATAAATCCCCACTCCTATACATTGACAGCACGTTGCTCCCACCTCTGATTGGAGAGCTGAGGGGTGTGAGTTTGATCCTGGTGTCTGACAAAACAACAGGCGTGTATACGTAGCAAGGTGCATATTAAATCTGTTGTGGCTGAAAGTCCTATCATGGGTTGAAGTGGGGAAGTTTGAAGAGGGGGATACCAGTTCATCCGCTGTCCACGTCATCTGACCAGGATCAAAATTATGTGGTAATCCTACCATGGCAATTAAAAAATAGAGGCCTAAAATGAGGCTAAGTGCTTGGCCATGGTTGGGTGATGATGATACACATTGAAAGGCAAATGCCTTATTTACTTTACCACCGTGGCCATTATAAGTAATTATGACATATTTAACTAAGACCCTGCAGTCATTTACTTAACAAGAATATTTTTTATAAATACATATTATTTATACATTTTTTTAAATGTTACTTTCATTTCAGGACCTGCTATTATTCGCAGCCATGAACCTATTTTACAAGACGAGTGGTTGAGCATTGTAGCCGAAAGAGATATGAGAGAGGGTTCACTTATTGTGAATGATGGTATTGCTTCGAAGGGAATGTCGCCAGGTGTCAGCAGAGGACTCAATTTGCACACACCATTTTATTTTGGTTCTGTTGACAAACATAGAATAAATATCTCACCCTTTACAGAAGTAACGCATGGTTTTGAAGGCTGCATTGCTCATGTAAGTTTTATACATTGTTCATGTAGTGTTTTATATCAAAACTTTTTGTTAATTACTTATTTACTTTTTTCAATGTAATTTATTAGATTTGTGCATTTTTTTATCTTAGTAAATAATGACTTTTTTATTGATTTATTAGGTCTTTATTATATTTTTTGTCTTAAAAAATCATGGCTTAAGGTATTGTTTGTGTGTTATTTTGTTATGAATATTTCTTTTCACCTTTCTTGGATAAACAACCACTTATGACAAGAAAAGTACAAGAAGTGTTACTCATCAATTAGACTTTTTTTATTGAATATATTAATAGATAGTAATCGAAAAAATATCGATGTTAAAAAATTTAGTCGAAGAGCATGTGATGTTTTTTAAAAAAAACACTTAATTCTAGATTTAAGATCTAACTAGTTGACAGAAAATTTAGAACATTAGTTTATTCTATTAAGCGTTGAGCTTCTTGGTAAAATTGTACAAAAACTTCCTTGATATGAGCTTCTCTCCCATTGAATAACATGGTGAAACTGGTTTTTTGATGCAGGAAAGCTATCTGCGAAAGTTAAAAAAAAAGCCGGGACAAATGCTCAGAAGGTTAAAAAGAAATGGTTTAAGAAACTTTTTAACTTTACATTTTCTGTTATTTATATAATTATTATTATTTGTTAAATGGAGTTTTTTTTAAAAAAAAAAAAATTTTAGCTTGGAGATATAGAACTCTTTCAAAATTTACAACTGTAGCATTCTTTTTAATTAAAAATTAGGTTGAAGTGAATGGAGTTGATATAGATCTAGTGAATTCAGCCATTGATTCTTCAAATGTTGAAGATTGTGGTGTCAGAACACCCTGTGAAACTAATCCATGTTTAAATGAAGGTATTTGTGTTGAAGATGATGGTGCCCCTCGAGGATATGTTTGTGAATGCAGAGAAGGATATAGTGGTACGTAGCTGTATTTATGACATTCTTTTGCAACTTAAATAATCTATCATGTAATAACTGAAACATTTCTGTGTAATTATGCTATTCGATCATTTGTTAATAAAATACATTTCACAAAAGCTACTTCATTATTAGGTATGCTTTAAAAAAAAACAAACATAAAATTATTTTTGAATGTTTGGTGACTTTTGCATGTCTATAAACACTGAAAAATGACTAGTCTGTTAAAAATATCTTATTTGGCATTTACCTATATGTATGAAAATTAATAAAATAGAACTTTAAATCTATCAATAAGGATTAAGATCATGTGTCAAAATTTGAATTTTTGGAGTTTAAAGAGTTTGTTTATAATTTTCTTTTCTTCCAAAATTGATATGTTTTGTTCTGTTTAAAACTGTTTATGTTTTCATATTTAAATTTCTACTTAAATTTCATGTTAATATTCTCTTATTTCTTATATCTTAACCTATTTTTACTTCATTAGTTGTTTGTTTGCTTGTTGTTTGTTTTGCTTGTCATTTATTTTGTTCTCAAACTCTGTACCTGGTAAAATGTCCTAGAAAACTATATGTTTTTGGATAACACTTAAATGTATACATAACAAATTTCTTTAAAATATTATAAATTTTTTTTATAGGTACCAACTGTGAAATTGAGACAGATTTATGTAGTTTAATAGATCCTTGCAAAAATGGTGGCACTTGCATAGGTGCTGGAAATTCCTATAAATGCAGTTGTCCCATAAAATTCAAAGGCACAAACTGTGAAGAGCGTAAGTATTCTTGTATTGATAAAAATATTCTGAACCGTTATATGAATTAATAATTTTATTAAACAAAAAAAATTGCTTGAATTGCAATGTATCATTTATTTGATTAATGAATACTTTTTAGTCAGTCAAAAAATGAATATTTTTTGTTAAATTTATAACTTTTTCTTTCACAAGTTTCTCTTTTAAAAAACTTGTCATATTCATTATATTATGAACTTTCCTTTTATTCCAATAATATTTGTTAAGGCGTTTAGCATACTAAAAATCCAAATTTAATAAGAATTCATTAATTTTATTAACAATGGTAAACAAATATTGAAGCTTTTGCTCGAGTTCTCTTTTTTGATACATTTTTAGTATTACATTTTTACTTATACTTTCATTTTTCGATACATTTTTAGTATGCTCCTTCTAAAATAATAATAGTATAATTCTAAAATAATAATAATTGTAATAAATAATATGTGACTCATAATATAAAAACTTTTTATTACAAAGCTGTAGAAGTGTATAATGAAAAATAAACAGTATACAAAGTAGTGCCCACTGTTTTTGTCATTTTATTTATATAATTTTTTTTTCATATCATCTTTGTCATATCTCATTTTATTTATTTATCATAATTATCATTAATATTTTATCACAACATTTCTTGTTTTCTTTACCTTTGTTGTATTACTTATAATTATATTTGAATTTCATTGGTATTTTTAATGTTATCTATTTTATTATGTTTACTAATATTAATACATTAAATTTAAAAGTAAATGTATCTCATTATTTAATTGATATGGTTAGTATCATGGTTGAAAATAGTATAAAAATGCAAAGTCATTAAAATTATCATTAAGTCATATAATCATTAAAAGTTTCTTAAAATTCAAGCATTCCATTAGAAGTTTTGTCTCTTTACCATATTATTGCTCTAGCCATAATTCATAGAAATTGTATTTTTCTAACAGCTTCACAATTTGATGAGAGAGCAGCATTCCAAGGAGATGGTTATATTTCACTTGATACAGACCTCTTACCTCACACTGCTAGTGCCAAAGATGAAGTAATCAGCTTCAGTTTCACGACAACCAGTATTGAAGGTCTACTGCTGTTTCACGGACAAAAACCAGAAACTGATGGTAAAGGACAAGACTATCTTGCAGCAGCCATAGTTGATGGTTATCTGGAATTTAGGTGCAGACATTTTTGTTTCCTTTTTAGACCTAAAGACTTTTTTCCTCTATCTATTTCTTTAATAGAATTCTTTAATTAATCAGAACTTTATTGATAGCAATGAGAATAAGTACTATTTTATGATATGTTTAAAAACAATTGAAAAGCTTAGTGAAAGAATAATAAGTGAAATATTCGACGAAAAAATGAAATTTCATAGAGGGGGGAAAAGTTGTTTATTTTTTTTTTGGTCTTATAAAACTATACTACATTTATATTGGCAGATCTCACCAATTGGTGGATATAAGTGACAGTCTTTATACGTGTTCTGATTTGATTTCATTTATATGTGTTTTCATTTTGTAAAGAAATCATTGACAACCTTAAAAAGTTTTGGAATGATATTAAGATGCCAAAAGTACAAAGTTTAACGCACAAACAGCTTAATGTGCATTATGAATCGTAAATTTCATCAATTGTCATTTTGCAGGCAAGAAATGTGGATATAAATCTTTTTTTTTTAATATGTTAATATTTTTTATATGTTGTTCAAAATATTTTTTTATCATCTTTGAGAACTTGTCTTTTTCTCTCTTTTAGATGTATTTTTATTTTTAACCTATTGAAACTTTTCTTCCATTATTGATTGGATGATAGAAAGTCCCTTATGCTTCCTTTAAACAGCTTTTTCTCATATTCGTTTGTTGTTTAGAATTTACTTACCGTTCAATATATTCTCATATCTTATATTTTTTCAGCTATGAACTAGGAAGTGGTGCAGCACAAATAAAATCACCCATCAAAGTAAGCGATGGTAAAGTCCACAATGTGATCCTCAAAAGGTCAGTTTGTTTTCTGTTTACTGAACACTTCAGTTATTGTATGTAACTGATTAGTTACTGATACTATTGGTACTAATTCATTTTTAATGTTATGAATATGTATTAAATTGTTATGAAAACTGTTACGAATATGTATTAAATTTTCTGTACTACTGATCCTTTTTAAAGTATATATAGGTATAATAACAATAAAGTATAAAATTTAGCAAAGAACTAATACAAAATTAAAATAACTGATAGTATAAAATATTTTTTGATGTACTCCTTTATTCAAATTTTAGTCTCGACTATTTGTGTTTTACCGACTTCTGAGAAATATAGTATAATCTTAAAATACTCTGTCACAAAAAAAGTGAAGTTCTTTTTCTTACCTCACAACATTTATTACTTTTCAATGCTAGATCCAAATTTTATTTTCAAGAATGTCTATGCTAAATAATAAATTTTTATTTGTAGTTCATTTCTCCGCACATAGTTTATCAACTATAATAATCTTAAGTGTTACTAGCTTTTTTGTAAGTTTTTTTTTTTTCGTCCTTTCTATAGTTCTTATTATTGAGCAAAAAGTAGTTTCTAGCATCAGTTTTTCTTTTTTTTTCATAACTTTGATTCAAATATTTCTGTTGTCTCCAGAGATTTATTTATGGTGTCTAAATTATATGACAAATTGTTAACAAATGATTTTATTTTTAGGTACTGTATTTCGCTTAATCTTCTTCATAAATCCCCATTTGCTATCCATATCTTAAATTTATTTAATCAATTTTCTCTTACTTTAGAACTGGAAGACATGGAAGTTTAGAATTAGATGGTCTACATCAACAATTTGGAGAATCAAAAGGAATTTTGCAAATGCTAAATACTGATGGTGATATCTTTATTGGTACGTTCATTTTTTAAGTTTGAAATATCAGACAAAATCAGTGCTACTTGTTTGATATGTTAGAACACTACTGTATCATTATTTTAAGCTTTTTACTTTACTGAGATTATGTGTCAAATATAAACTATATTTTATTTTATAACCGTCGTTGAACAGCCGATCCAATTTTTGGGTTTACGAGTACTAATGTTTAAGTCCGTAGCCTTGTAATTTTGATCCCAATCCAGAGGACAGGGGATCTCCTGGATCAAGTATTGGGAGAAGTTTGCCCTCGTAAAGGACTTTCTGAAGGAACTAACCAGCATTTGTGTTACATAGAGAGGAAAACCTGCCACTGTTAGCTTGACAGCAAAGGGACTCTAACCAATGATCTCTCTACCACTGAGGATATTTTACATCAGGATTGTGGTCGGTGCAAGCCAGATGCGGAATTCGTATCAACCAGCCATTGTTAGGATTCGAACCCAGTTCACCTCATTGGACGGCGAACGCTCTGTCCCCTGAGTCATCACGGCTCAAATATAAACTATAGCTGAATCCTGGAACTAAGTATAATCTAAACTGATTTTTAAATTGGAATATAGTTTGTATTAATAATATTGGTACTTGTTATTCACTTTTATTTTGTTCATGGACAATTTTAATTAATTTATATTTTCAAACATAGGCCGAGAATATTTTGAAAATTTTCAAAATTTAATGTTATGGGTCGAATTATAATCTAACCTGTTAATTGGACACATTTCCAAGCAAATATAGTGTATAAAAGTACTTCTCATTGAGACAAGCATTATTAGTTACAAAAAGGCTCTTACAAAACATATAATTAAAATAACAGCTGGAAATAAAACACCTATGACTATCAATTTAAAAGAAAACGCATAACAATGACAATAGGAAATAAGTGTATATGTATATTTAATTTCCTTTGGGACTTTCAATGAGTTTTTATTTCTAAACAAGGTAAACAAATAAACTAAGAAAGCTGGGTAGACCAAAAAAGTTGAAAGTTTGCCACAGAGATAGCATGCCTTATTTTTTAAAGGAACTAAAACAAATTAGAATAATTCATTTTAATGGAAAATATATAGGTTTGCAATTTTGAATAAGCTTTCAATGAAAAAGTATACTCTCATCTTACATTCAGATCGACTTATATTTGGAAATATGATCATACACTGATGGGCTTATATTCGGAAATATGTGTTAAATAAAAAATATTAGTCACATCTCAAATGTTATTTTCTGTTTCACACTCGATTGTCTGATTATTTTTAGTTTCTTTAAACTTAATAGTTCAGTAAATGAAATTATTCTCAGACTGCTTTTCAAGGTATGGTTTAAGTTTTAAAGAAGTTTGAATAATCATACATGTATAAATATTATCAACAATTTTAGGCGGAGTTCCTAATCATCAGCTGATGACTGCTGGGAAATATCCACAGGGTCTAATTGGTTGCTTATGGGATTTGGAAATCGAAGACTCTGGACCCATCAATATGTATGATAGAGCAAAAGCTGGAGCTAATGTTCAAGACTGTGATGAGTGAGTTTCTAAAACTTCATTTGTTTAAAACGCAAATTTAATGTTGAATGGTTTAAAATGCATGTTTTTTTCAATATTGCTATGCAATGAATCATAAATTAGAATGAACACTAGTAAATGATAGTTTTTATATTTGATTTATTTAATTTGGTCGTTTTGATATTATTCAAAATTATGTTACAAAACTATGTGAAATTTTAGATTGATAAAAAAAGAATGTTAGAAAAAATTGCTTTAATAAATTTTTTTCTAATTTTCGAATCTACAGCATATAAAGTTAGTTCACTAAAAATATTGTAAATAAAGTTTTACCATTTTGTTTTAACTGTGCGCGTTGCAAGCCGGAGATGTCCTAGTGAAAAAAAAATGTCTTGTTTCTAAAATATATTACATATATATATATATATATAATAGATCATTTAATTATTGCATGTTACTTTTCAGTTTTGAAGCCAGTGGTGAGTTTCTGGAAGAACTAGAAAGACCTTTTGTACAAAAATAAATTGTAGCAGAATAATCTAGCCATTTGAATGTAATAAAAAAAAAAAGCACATTGGACGCATATTATACTAACTTTCCTCTGAAAGCAATTTTGTATAGGGGTCATTTAGTGGCTAGTCTTTGTAAAACTTCCTTCAAGTCCATGCAAATATTGCCTCTAACATTGCCGTGCATATTTGAAAGATGAGCTCCGTGTGAGGACCATCACTGTGGAAACTTTTCCTTAAATGCACACATTTGAACTTGTTTTGTGCTTTGCAAATTTTTATGTCAGCTACTAAGAAGATGGATCATTCTTTTGGCAAAAAAAACTACTTACTTTACCATTTAACTCATGTGAATATTGAAAAGCAATGAACTCTGAGATGCCAACTATTATGGAACTTTCATAGTCGCTAAAAATTTGACTCTTGTTTCAGTGCTGAATCATTAAATTTTAGAATGTCGATTTTCATTTACTTTATTGCTTGGAGAAAATTAACTCACAAGAATAATGCTTTTTATTTTTAAATAACTCTCTATCGTCAGATAGAGTTTGCAGAGTGATTTATAAAATGTACTACCCTCTAAGCTTATACAGGGTTTAACAAAACTAACGCCTACAAATGTAAAGAGTGATGAAATTTGCCAAAACAAACAATTTTCATCGTGTGATGGGGGTCAACAAACATTGAGCCATGAGCCAGTTCTCACTGGCTTGGTGAAAATGTATAATTTGATGAAAGCCAATAATAAAAGTTAAAGAATAGCTATTATTAAATACTTTTTACAACAAATGCTCGAATCAGCAGGCTGTAGCTTCAATGCAGGCTTCTCAATTGTGACTAAGTAAATCATGCAGACATTGGAATATTCCTGTTGTTTCACCATTGTCTGTAGATGGGATGCTGATTTGGATGACCATGTCCCAGTGGCTCTTTAGGTATTTTGTAAAGGACCTGTTTTAGGTACCTCCAGAGAAAAACAAATTGAGGCAGAACAAAATTGGGAGATCTGGAAAACTATGAGGCCGGTATATTCCATCTATTCGGAAAGGCTAATATCTATGTAGTGTGACCAAAAAGGCATTCTTTTGTCACTTTGCTCTCGGATCTAAAATTGTAGAATGAAAATGGCTTGTTTTGGCGAGTTTTGTCACTCCTTGAAGTTATGACCATTAGTTTTGGAGAAAACTATATATTTGAAATAATTGAATAGGCAATCTTTCAATGTTGAAATTGTTTGTGTGTTCAATCCTTTGTCATACACTGCTGAATAAGGTAATTATACACCCTGATTTAATTATGTAAGCTTTCTAACAAAACTAAATCTGAACTCATTTTGACTTAAATCTTTTTTTTAATTTATTATTTTGACTCTGAAAAAAAAATCTAATAGTTGGCAGTCTTTAATTTAGCGCTCTACTTAAAACTAACTTGGGTATGAATTATCTTTGTTTGCCTTTTAAATCTATACAAGTGCAAAAGTATTATTGTTATATTTGTTATCGATTCATGTTCACTGCCATGTTTATTATTTTTTTTCTTTTTCATTGTTAACTTAGTTGTGTTGTCTGTGTTTGTCTCATTCATATGGTGCTACAAACATTATTATTATTCATTCTGTTAAAAATGGAATGAAGAAGCTAAAATCTTTATTAAGCAGTGTAGATTTTTTGTTAATACATATGTTGTACATGTGTTTTTATTTTGTTATTTTTCTTTGCCCAGTGATAAAAAAAAATTATTGTTCAAATTTTGAAGATGAATTTATTCTGTTTTATTTTTTAAAAAAGAAATCAGTTCTCTGCCCATTTAAATCATATGAAAAAGTACTTCTGCTGTTTGTTTTTCTGTGTATTGTCAATCATGCTTGTTGTTGGTCAGAGGTGCAACATGTGAATTCTTTATTTAAGAAAAAGGTCTGAAATAAAGTTGACTTTATTTATCTCTGTTATTTCATGATGTTCTCGTTTGCATATTTAAATATTTCACCATTTATCTGAGGAAGCGGTTAGCAAGCATTTCCTTCAAACATATTAAAATTCTAGTATGCAAGTAATTAAAAAGAGAGTAAAAGAAAGACAATTTGTTGCCACTCACAAAAAAAGGTCAACTTATAAACTTTGATGCCACTTTACGCATATTCCTTAGGTTTTTTTGAAACCTTCATTCGCTTAACTCTTCAATTGTGAAAAAAAAATTACTATGAAAATGTTGGATTAAAAAGTTTAATAATTGTGTTCAAACATTCTTCTGTGAGAGAAAATAATTCTCACTATAGTGCTAAAAACGAAAAATAGTTTTAAAAAAATATGTACATGTAAAGTGTAAAATGAAGAGAAAAACAGATAAAGGTTTTAATCAATATTAAAATGAATCTGACTAAATTAACTTTAAAGTTTATAAGTTGACAAAAAGAAATAAAGAGTATGCCTTGCCTTTACTTCTTGCCAGTAAACTTCTAACATGCAAAATCTATAAATCACTAATTCTCAATCAAACCCTTTATATTATAGTCCTCACTTGTGTCAGCGTTTGGTTCTATTATCAATAATACTAACACTATATCTACAATATAACAAAGCATCAAATTTGTTAACTAGACACAAGCAGGGCCATGACAAACACCCTTACTAGACTCAGAACACACCACCCGAGAGAGATGAAAGTTCAAAAAGATGGAACTACAAAGTACCTGAATTACAGAAACTGACTCAGAACTGTCACCTGAACATCTTTTTGCCTGTCCTGCCATCTTACAGCACATTAGTGACTGTCCACAAGAAGATCTTTATTCGGACATTTGCCTTGATATAGCTGAAGCACTGTATAGAACCTTCGGTCGTATGTAGTGTCTTATTGATTTTCTTTCCATGTCCATAACACAAACAAATAACCAAGAATATATCAGAAGAAATTATCTCCTGGATGTTAAAAGGAAATAAATGTTTTTGCATATACCAATACTTATTCAAGAACAAACTTCTAACTAAGGAAATCAAGTTGAAGATCTCTAAAACAGTCATCAGACCTATAGTTACAGATGGAAGTGAAACTCTAACAAACAGACTAATCTAACCTACTAATCTACGAAAGGAAAATTTTGAGAAGAATATTTGGACTCATTACAGTAAATAATACACAGTGGAGAATAAGAAACAATAGTGAACTTGACCATTTAATCAGACAACAACAAAAAGACATAATTTGATTTATTAAATTCCGACATTGGGGCAGATTGGAAGATTAAATGATAACAGAAATGTAAGAGAACGTTCAAATTGGAACTCAAGACAAAAAGGAAGACCTAAAAAGAGATGGTTGAGCGATAGTACTAAAGGTCTAACCACCTTGAAGGTGAAAAACTGGAAGTAGAAAGCCAAATGCAGAAAAGTTTAGAAAGATATTGTTCAAGAGGCCAAGGCTCACACACAGTGAGGTGTAGTTCTGTATAAGTAAGTAAATAATTAATTTCAGTATTTTGATTTGCTGCAAAAGCGAAATTATCTAAAGTTACTTTACGAATGAATGCTTACGAACTTGGAACCTTTTTCCATTTCAAAATCACTGAAAGATGATCACTTAGTAGCTAAGATCTACAAATTTTAAAGAGTTATCTAAATAAATTAAGGCAATATAAAAAAGTAAACAGATGTTATTCTTAAAAATATACTTTTACATTAGAATTTTTCTTTTAACATTCTTTTGCTTGAGAGATTTGCGTTGAGAAGGCACGATCTGCGTCACACAGTTATTTCCGTAACTAGGCAATGGCTTCAAAGCTATATGTGATGTTCGCAGATTGTGGAAAGAATTTGCCGCTGTTGAGCTTCTCACTCCATATAAGAAATATACCAAAGATCCTATAGCACAAAGAAAACAATTATAATTGATAAATTCTATTTAGGTTAGTTAGCCAATCAATTTAGCCAGTTTTGTACTGAGCATGCGTGGGCAATGAACAAGAATATATGTTTTATACAATACATGTGATGAGCAGAGGCATTATAAGGAAGAAAATTACAAAAAGGGAGATTTTATGAAGAAGTTTGATTTCGGGTATTTCTATTGAATGTAATTATCATGAATTTATTTATTCATGCAATATCACAGTAAATAATTTTAAGAATTGAACACCAAATTAAAATAATCGGATACATTATGTTTAAAATTATATAGATTTATAAAAAATTCTCTTTACAGAAACCGTACAATTTTATTATTTTGCCAACTAAAAATTTTAAGATTTTTAAAAATAAATATAAATAAGTAGGTAGCTAACATTATTTATAGATTTTAAGATTTATATATGATATTATAGATTTGTAAGTATTTATAGATTGATAGATTTATTATATAGATTTGTAAAAAATTCTCTTTACAGAAACTATACGATTTTATTATTTGGCCAACTAAAAAATTGTAAGATTTTTTAAAAATAAAGATAAATAAGTAGGTAGCTAGAATTATTTTCTATCCTAAATTTATTTTGTATATAACCTTTTATACTGTTTAAATTTTCATAATGCAGTAATGCTTTCTCAAACTTCCCCACCCCTTTTCCCTTTATTTTTATTTTCGATGAAGGAGCAGATAGCCCCTTGGGCTAAATAATCCATACCTAAATTCACATTGGCTTAAAATTATTTTTAAATAAATGTGATTGTGTAATTGTGAACAAAAAATTTATTTTCTCTATGCAATTTTATGTCAATTTTCGCAGTTTGAAATATTGTTATGTGAATGCATAGTTAGATAAGAAGACATCTAGGCAAACTTGGAGAAATGGTAAGTGAAACTGAAAAGTCTCTAAAATATTTCCCACTGAACATTAAAAAATTGAATATATCCATGTCCTTGAATTTATATTTTTAAAAGAATGTTGGTATACAACTCTAGTTTCTTTTTCTTTTACCAGTCCTGGTCTTGGCCTCTTTTTATAATGTTTCCAAGGTTTTTTAACTTTTGAACTGGTAGTTTCAATTTATAGACGTCTCGAAATGCAATTTTAATTATGTTCACCCAATGCTGCTTCATTTCCAATCAAATAAAAATATTTTTGATATTGAACTTTTTAAACTTACTATGAAATTTTACCATTATTCGTCATTTAAATTTCTCGATCCTTTTTTTTACTTATTTTAATCTGGTGTCTTAAAATTTCAGTGACTTGATATATGTAACTTCACGTTATTTGCAATCAGTAAAATATATTATGTTATGCATTGAACTATTTAGAGTATCCTCTAAACCAGGGGTGTCAAACTCAAAAGTTAACTTGGGTCAAATAAGCAATGCTTAACTTTAGGTGGGCCGCAAAAAAAAAAAAAAAAAATCAATGTTCATAGAAACAAATATTTTTATTTTGAATTGTAATAAACACATGTAAAGTTAAATTATTGTTTACGTCCTGATACTTGACATCTCTTCTCTGCTATTATCTCTTCTATTTCGGGAGAAATTTTATTGGCCGAGACTACTTTCAAAATTGACCCAACGTGAGCGTTATTAATACGGTTTCGGACAGGAGATTTATTTCCATTCATAACAGAAAATAATTGCTCTCACTGACACTGATAAGTACTTCCAAACTTGAGAATAATTTCATACTCGAATTTTCGAGTATTTTCAAACCTTGCTGGTAAATATTCGTGAAATTTAGGCACACCCACTTCAATGAATTTTGCCTTCAAATTTGAGTCGCACTGAATCTCAATCACTTCCATTTGTATATAACTGGGTACTGAGTCTATATTTATTGAGAAAATCGAAGAAAACAAACAAAATTTGTCTTCCAAAGAATTAAATCTTTAAACCTTGTTTCAAATTTTGTTCAAATTTGAAATTTCTTTCTGCGTATTTTTGATACGATGCAGTATCATCTAAACTAGATTTGTTCTTGTTGCACGTTAGGAAATGCGTTAAATCTTCATTTTTCAGTTTCCTTTCCCAAAGAAATAGTTTGCATTTGAATGCTTTTTTAATTATGTCAAACATGTTCGTAATGATCTGATCATTGCCTTGTAACAATAAATTTAAATCGGATAAGTGTTTGGTTATATCAAATAAAAGATAAATCTTGCAACCATATTTGATCGGAAAACAAGCTTGTATCATGATTTATAGTTTGTAAAAACTTATATATTTTTCTTTCAATTCCCAGAATTGATTGATAACCTTGGAGCAAGATAACCAACTTACCTCGCTATAATAGGATAAACCTGATTATGTATTAATTGATAGCTTAGTGTAAAACAGACTCCATTTCAGCCAATTAGAATTTTACATTTTCGAGCGGACAATTTAAAATGATCCGTATAGTTTATAAATAAAGTATATTGTAATTTTATATGCTGGTTTCGTTTCTAATTCACATTTCTATTTTATTTTTACTTTGCTTCGGATATATTGACTGGGGCCACGAAAATGTTCATCTCGGGCCGCAAGTTTGACACCCCTGCTCTAAACCTTTCAAAATATCCAACAAATAATAAATGGTTTAAATTTAGCGTATCGACAAAAGTATCATCGTATGAAATATTTAAATCAAGCTTACCTAATAAAATCCAACTTAGGTATATTCTCCATACCATCAACAAACAATGAAGCGATAAACATGTCGCAATCAACGCCGCCATTCCTGGAGTCCATGGTAACATGGTGCAACAGACATTACTTGAAGTTCTATTTTGTGGTAAGTATAGCAACATCCCTTGGACAACAGTTGAAAATAGTATGCAAACCAGGACTATAATTCCAAACACGAAATAATGATCCAAATGAGCTAGATTAAGAGCAACTGCATTGACAGTGGAAGTTAGAAACAATGCACCAATGCAAAGTTTAGCGCGGAATGCGCTGGCAGGAGTGGGTTCTGGAATCTGATCTGATGGTCCGTGTTCTTCCAGAATGGGCATATTGGCTATTTTGGCTTGATCTTTGTATTGCTTGACTACAGAGTCTATGTCTGTGTCAGATTCGGAGTCGTTCTCACTGATGCACGTTGTTGACATCTCTAAGTTGTCATTGTTGTCGAATCCTATGCCATTGGTGTATTGGAATTCCTCACTTTTTTTCCGTGATCTATCTCTTAAGTTTCTAGCCGTAGTTTGAAACATTGGCTCATATTGCCAGGATGTGTTATCTCGGTACCTATAAAAAATTATTACACTATTAATTCACTAAAAGTATTTTCCTTTTATAATAACTCTGAACGACTTAGAAAATAATAAATTTAAGTAAATAGATAAAATCAAAACTTAGCTTCATAAAAGGACGCCAAATCGCAAGCGAAACTTTTCGTCGCATATTCTGTTTTACATCCATAACTAATTTAAAATATGGAAAAAGTGAGTTTAGGCAAACCTAGAGTATTCCGTGACGTTTCAATTGCTGGAAAAAATTTCCAAAATGTTTCATTTTGATATTTTGAAGAAACAAAATTCATTATTTGAAACCGATTCAACGTTGCATCCTCTTTTAAAAATGATCTAAAAGTGTTCCCTCTTCCAAGAAGCATTTCTGTGGCTAAGTTTTTCAGACAAAAGAATCTCTTGTTGGAACTCTATGACAAATGAAGTATGTATGGTCACATATTCTAATATGTGACCATACATACTTCATTTGTAAAGATGTATCGGTTAATCAGTTTTTATGTAAAAATATAAGCACTAATAACACCGCCGTGATGACTACGACCAGGATTGTGAAGATCTGGGGTGAAAAGAATGGTGACATATTTCATAATGTTGATCGAAATCTTACAGTTTTTAATGTCAATTTGATTGCAGAAATTCAGAATATCATTTTCTACATACAGACATATTTCTCTTAGTATGCAAATATTTGTTGGACTGTAGATACAAATTCGTTGCATTATTCTAAATCCCCTAAAAGTATCTACCTCTTCTCAATTTTTTCTTAAACGTAACACTGCTGACAATGTGCAGGGTCTTACAAAATTCGACCGGCAAATTCATAAGGGTGATAAGAAGGCACCAAGAAGTTGAAAACTTATCAAATAGAACATTGAGTCGTAAAAAAGATTGGGAGTGAAAATCGCGAATATCCCATTCAGGTTTTTGACATTACGTTGGGGGAAAAAAACCACAAACTTGATAACGGCAAAAAAATTATTTGACTTATCGTTACAAGTGATGTTCGAAGTAGCTAAACGACTTCTTTACATATTCTTTCGATTAACGTAAAGCGGAGGCATTCTAAGATGACAGGTATGCTTTTGGTTTCTGCTGAAGTGAAGACAATCTACGTTGTGTAGTCCTACGTTGTGCCCACAGACGTCGCATTGAGTAAAAATGACTCCATAGGAAAAACTCACATGGATTGAGACCAGGCTAAGGTCATGCAATGGACGTCACCGACTCCTCTAAATTCTGTTTGCTTGCGTTTTTTGCCACCCATGTTCTATGGTAAGTTTTCCGCTGTGAATTTACCAGTCGAATTCTGTTATGCCTGTAATCTATATTTGTAAATAATATGAATTTCATTATTAAAAATTATCTTTACTCGATTTTTAAAATTAAAGTGATAGATAAGAGCAAAACTTGTAAATTTTTATGATTATATATATAATTTAACTATTATTCTTACTATTTATTTTTTAAGAGGGATGTTCAATGTAGTTTTCAGTTCCAAGTAGTTTCCTAACAGAATTTTTTTTAATCTATTTAAAAATCAAGACAGAAACTAACGTGCTTCCTTCTCCTATGACTCTTCACACGCTGGTGAAAGCATACGAAGTGTTGCCGTAGGTAGAGAGTTCTGCTCTACGCCACCTGTAGCCCATTTCGATCGCCAATAGTAAACTGTTTGTGTCGCTTATTTTACTAGTGAACTCTTCAGACACTTAAGTTAAAATAATTAAACACCCAGTTTCTTTGACTGAAAAAAATTCCAAAATTGGCAAAACAATCACCTTTACAACCACTTACCTTTTTTAACATATAAACTGATTTTCAATATTTTAATTCCACGTTTACGGTATTGACCTAGATTATGATCAGATTTTTATAAATACCTTTTTTTTCCTTACATAAATATTAATTTGTAACCCACAAGAAAAATTATTTTATTTTCTACAAAGATTTTAATATATATATATAGTATACACAGTATATTTAATATATACATAGATAGATAAATAAATGCATATACAGTCCCCAAAGCAAGATACTTTTTGTAAAAAAAGAGCGCTTTAAAAACTTTTAGCCAAGAGATTGCATTTAAACGTAATAGGATGTATTTAGTGTAACTTTAAATATGCTCATTAATCAGTACCGAGAATAATTTAAGTTACAAAATAGGGCACAGAAATGCACTTTCCCAAATGAAAGCAACTTTTTTTCTGACCAATACGGTTTTCCTGCATTTCAAAAAATAAGTAAGAATCCGCGATCTAAAAAAAATGTTGCTTAATAATTGTTCACAATAGTTTATTATGTCTTTAAATTAAATTTATATTAGTTCTTAGTTTTAATTAATTAAAATTTAAATATTTTTTGTTGCATATTTTGCCTTATTCTCAAATTATTTGAAGAAAAAAAAATTTTTTTTTTGCGCAAGTGCAACCAAATATAATTTCGTACAAAAAATATTTGTTTCTTTTATTATTTTTTTTGTATTTATGAATTTAAGTTTATTCGAAACATTTTTAATTGTAAGGTATACGTATTTTTACATCACTTTAATCTATGCCTGAAATGAGCAAAAATTGAAATTGTCATTATAGTGTTCAAAATTTTAGCCGCACCTCCGATTTAACTATTTGGACTAAATAACCATATAATTTGATGATGAAGAATCGAAATCTATCGTAAAAAGCTGGGTTTAATCATAGAAGGTGCGTTTAATGAAATATTATACAAAAAAAAAATTTTTTTATGTAGTTCAATAACGTTAGAAAATTTTTTGAATGACATCAAAATTCTTGAATCACGTTACACAATTTTTTAATAAAAACATTCAAAGTTTGATCGTATGATTATTATAAAAAATAATGTCGCACTTTTCTTCTGTCTTCAAATAATTTTATTCGATTTTACTCAAACATTTGATTTTGTTTAACATAAAATAAACTTTTTTGAACCTTATAATTCAAACTCTTTTAATCTTCTATCATTATTACTAAATTAAATAATAAAACTTGTAATAAAATGATTGAAATTGCATAATTTGTTTATACTTTTTTTGTACTTTATTACTTTTTTTACTTATTACTTTTCATTATTCCTTTTAAAATTTTCAGTGCTCTTAATTTGTTTTATGAAAAAACTGAATAATAAATAGAAGCAAGATTTTTATAAAGTATGAAGTGAGGGGCTTTCACTATTTTAAATGCAGCAAAGAACCTTATGTTATTCAGATTTGTCATTCCAAAAAAACTTCATGATTTGCTTTTAAAAGCAAATAAAAAATTGAGCTATCTCAGATTTGTTATAGATATATATATAGAGAGAGAGTGTAGGGACCATATAATAATTTACTTCTGAAAAAATGTTTAGATTCAATACTTATTGTATTTACATTTCAAAATTATTTAATTTTTTTAAAAAGTCCATCAAAGAGATACTGACTCAAATAACAAATTTTAATAAAAATTTAATGGGGGCCATTCACTAATTTACATTTGTAATGATATTTTTTAAAGTTTTCTTAATTTGTCTTTATAAATTTAGTATGATCACTTTAGTATATCTTTATAAATTTAGTATGATCAATAATATTAAATTGTTAATGTTTTTTTGAATATGCTTGTATAAAAAAAACTTTATTTAAATTTAAACAATACACTCGATGAACTTTTTAATAATAGTTAAATCAATTATAATTTTGAATTATTTTTTTTAGTTAATAAAATAAAGTCATTGTTAATTTAAAAAATAGAATGAACTACTCAATATTGAATGTATTTAAAATTGTCAAAAATCATATAATAAAGAAAAGAGTTCTTTGTCAGTAACTAGTTATTTTATCATTATCATGTAAAGTCTTTAAAAATTATTTTTTATTTTGTTATGATGTATATGAAGAACTTTCAAAAATAGGAAGAAAATTTTTTAATTAGTGCGCACATACTAATTATGATATTTTGCGAGTAATATATTTAAAATATTTTTCGAGTGCTTAAAAATACGCAAAAGGTGCTTATTTTTTTTTTACAAAAATTATTTCTTTGTCTTGACTTAAACATATATTATCATTTGAATAACTTGCATTTACATATAAGATGGATTTATTTATGTGTAGTGGTGATCGAAACCATTTTAAATAAATTTAAAAATCAATAGTTTAAATATTACTACAAGTTATTTTTGATACAAGTTTCTTGTTTGTTGTTGGGTTCAAAATTACAATACTACGGAAATGTACATTGATAGCCGCAAACCCAGAAAATGAGACTGCTCTTCAACACTGGTCATGAAAATAAATATTTAGATTTTAATTTTAACAAGGTTTTTAGAAATACGTAAATAGGGCGGGCGGGCAATACAGAATACCCTGTAAATTTTTGTTGCCTATAAAGTCTTCTTAAGTTGATAAATTTACTCGCCTTTGATTCAGGACTAATAGTTATATCAACTTATGAACAATAAATAGAAACAGCGTAGACAAAGCCAACATCTTTTTCAAACCTAGACATCGAAAACTATGATTGAAAGCACAAGACTGTTTAGGAAGCGACGGCAAAACTTGGCCTCCATTTCTTTGCAGAGTTATTTTTGACAAGGATTTTAAAAATGTGTAATTAAAGCAGTCATTACAAAGTATCCTGTATAATAATGCTACCTATAAAGTATTAAGTTGGTATACTGACCTTTGATTCAGGACTAACAGTGGTATCAAAGTATGAACAATGAGTGGAAACAGCACTGACAAAGCCAACAGCTGCTTCAAACTTAGGAAGACATCCATAACTATGATTGAAAGCACAGTCAGTAGTTGGACCGTGGCAGAAGCGACGGGGAAACAACATGGCTTCCATTTCTTAGTAAAGTTTCTGAATAGAAGTCCATCAGATGACATATCTTCGATAAGAAAATACAATGGATAAAAAGCCTCCACTGTCATTATACAGATGCAGATCACGAGAATTATGTTTATGGCAAGAGTTAATGGATTTGTCGGTGGCATTTGTAAGTCTAGAATCTTTCCAGACTGAAATGAGGTTGTTAGTAGAACAAGGAGAATGAAGAAAGTGATGAAATTCAGCAATCCTAGCGTTACGGTGACTTTCTGTTTAACTTGCTTCTGTGACACCCTTAATATGCTTTGAGGACCAATGAAAAACAACAAACATATGCACGAGCCAGTGAGCACCTATGATAAGATATATCAATAAATTATTATTAAAAGAAAATTTCAAACCAAATTTTTTTTTTATAGTTATAAAGACACTGAACTCGAATGTGTTATTTATTTTAAATTATTTCAAAATGTGCTGTTCCAAATGTTCAACATAAAGAAAAAGATTACAACCATTTTTGATGTCCTGGTAGCACAAAGCTAATGTTCATAGAACTTTCGTTCACGACATTTTGTTCGACATAATTTTTTGTAAGGCTTTCTACAGGGATCGTTTGATGCCTAAAAAAATATGAAAACAGGCTCCTTACATTTTGCAAACAAGTTTCAAATGTTAAAATATCAGATTTCACTTTTGAATTAAGAACTCAAAAACCACTGTTTCGGATCTATGCATTTAAGCGCTTGGAATTATAAACTTACTGCGGTAATTATGAACACTCTAAAATTGTTTAATTCTACTTTGTGTTATCAATATTTTAATTTTGTTTAAAGACCGTACGAATCCTGTTTCTGGTTTTTATTTAAAAAGTATGTTCCAATTTTTTCTAGATTTTTTAAGATTAATGTTAAATATTTTTTTAAATACAACCTTTTTTTTCCAACCTCTGTTGCACTCCGAGTACTTTAATATGCCATTTGAACTAATGTAAACATTAAGTCAATCGAACTACATAATACAATATTTTTATATAATTCCTAAAATTAATANGAACACTTTAATTGTCCACTAATCTTCAGATTTCCTGCTATGTTTTAAAAAACTTTATTTGTGGAAACCTTTAGCGCGGCGGACAGCTGGTCGCCTTTGCGGCTAGTTAGTAATAAATTTAAATAATGTGACTACTAATCATTAAGATATAGACATTATAAGTTTTAGAGTAGTGTCTTTCAATGTTTACTCTAAGGTGACATCGGCGCGTAAAAGGTTAAAGCTACCAATTCAATTTGAAGTCCCGATGACACTGAGCTGTAATTGTAAAGAAGTGGTACAGCCTGTAATCTACCCAGCTTCAGAACATTGGATATTTGCTAGTCTATGAAGTAAAGTCAGCCGGGGTGCAATGCTGACCAAATCGCCACAATAATGCCATTGGTCACTACGTAGTGAAGCCTAAAGATCTTAGACTCCCCTCCCCCAAGGATGATACACTGGCTTTCAAGATAATGTTTTTAATACAAATCGCATCAATGGTAATGAAAATAATCTGTTACACCAGCTATCAATTTTTTGCGAAAGATTTTATTTTTATATTTTAAATGGGCCTAGCGGTTAGCGTGCTTGACTGCGAAACCAATGTCTGCGGGTTCGTATCCCGCTCTGGGCATGGATGTTTCTCTCTGTGTGTTGTCCTCGGTTATGTGTGAATGTGGCCCACCTTATAAAACGGGTATCTGTGGCAGTGTGGCGTGGGTAATTTTGCTCGACTCCGTGACTTAGGTTCACAGGTGCCCACTAGGTAACGTTAAATGAGTAACACTTCCGGCATCTTCCGAGGTGAAGAACTAACAGTTAAGTACCTACCGTTAGAAAAAAAAATTCAATGGTAACTAGTTTTATGATACTCTATGAAATATTTTAACGCAGAAATTAAATTTTAAATAATCTTAGATCCCTACACCGTTGTTTAGACGTCACATGCGTTTTAGTTTGGGCCTTAATCTTGAATATATTTTCCCGTTGTTTTTCTCACTTTTTGTATGCATCTTTCACGTTCTCTTGTACGTAGCCCGTTTTTAGTGTCTTTTATTATTTAACCAGATTTATTTTAATTGTTTATTTCATACACTGCTATTAGCCCTTTTGGATGCTTATACACCCGACCTCTAGGATTGTACTAGCATACGTCCTCCCTTTTTCTTTTGTTCATTTCATATATCACATATTGTATTGCTTTTAATTATTCGACTCATAACACCGACGGATCGGTAAGTGCCGAGATCCTGCAATCTTCGTAAATCGTGAAACAGCTTCAAGATAAATTAACACATGATGAAAAAGTAAAATACCCTTACCAGACCTTAAGGCAGCGGATAACCATGTGACTATGGCAGTAAAATGCATCAGGATGATGTGCTTATAATTTCAGACGAAAATTAATAATATATTTGCTTTTAATTGTAATTCGATTATGTCTTCACAACTCTTTGGAAAAAAATCATTCGAGGAAAAAATGACAGTTCATAAGTATTCACGTGCATGATATAGATGGAAAATAGGCACAATTTATAAATCCTGTAATAGAACGTTTATTTGTTTTATAGAAAAATGAAATTTTGAGCATCATTTTGAAAAATATCTATGCGGATTTCTTAAATCATTTTCCGTTAACATGTATACGCAAACGGAAATGATTTGCCAAATCGGAGTGCCGAAACTAGGGTTCAAATCCAGTCCTAAAAATGATAAATTGAAAAGTAGAGGTTTTGTTTTGCCCTTTTTAGAGTATTTATGCTCCATTTTGAAGTGATGTATTAAGTACAATTTTGAGGGGAAAAGTGGCAGGGAAGTAGCGCTGAAGCTAAATTCATGATTTCTACTGCAGTTACCACTTTAGTTATGGAAAAATAATGCAGATTTATAGTTTCTGACTAAAACACTCTTAGTTGAAAAAAGTCATGGGATTCCTCTTAATGTCGTGTCGGTCCTCTTCTAGCTTACGAATTGCAGCAAGCACCAGAAACTAATTGGAAAATCTTTTGCAAGAATATTCAGCTACGCAGCTTCAATATAAGTTCATAATTGCGAAAATGCGGTTGCAAGGTTTCGCACACGAAGTGACCTCTCGATTAAATCCCATACTTGTTCGACGGGATTTATGTAGAGCGATCTAGGGGGCCGAATTCATTCGCTGGAATTGTCCAGAATGTTCTTCAAACCAGTCGCGAACAATTGGGGCCCAGTGAAAAAATAAATTTTAAAAGAAATTCTTCCATAAAAAGTCCATCGTTGTTTGGGTACACTAAAATCATGAATGGTCTCCAAGTCTTGGGACATATGCATTTAAAGTAAATTATCAGAGCAATCGGACCAAAGAACCCGGTCCGTGCCACAAAAGGCAGAGCACACGATTATAGAACCACCAGTTGATTGCAAAGTTCCTAGTTGACAAATTGAGTTCATGCCTTCGTGGAATCTGATCCTGACTCCAACTTTTCCATCAGCTTTGAACGACTGAAATCGGGACTCATGTGACCAAGCCACAGTTTCCCAGTCATCTAGGGTCCGACCAGTTTGATCACGATCCCAGAAGAGCCAGTAGACGTGATGTCGTGCTGTTAGTCAAGGCACTCAGGTCGGTCTTCTGCAACCATATCCCATTGCAGCTATTTTCGCCACACTGTTCCGCGGTTATTTCATGCAATGCCACTTGTCTGTTAACACTGACAATTCTACGCACACGTCGGAGGTCTCCGGTAGGTAAATGCAAGTGGTCGGCTACTATGTTGTCCATGATGGAAGGTTATGCCTGAAATTAGACACTCTCGGTTGCAATTGTTGATAGGAAGGGAGGAACAGAAACAGAAATGGGAGCAAGAATTTCAAAAACTCAATTTTGTTTCAGAAACTTTTAAGAGTTTGGAGATCAAATAATTTGATGCTAAAACCGAAAATTAACATTATTAATTCAATGGTCAGGAGTGTATTGCGCTATGGGTCAGAAACATGAAAACTAACAAAGCTTCAGAATACAAAACTAAATAGTTGGCAAATATATGCTTGAGAAATATTTTAAAAATATTCTGGCCTCAGACCATATCAAATTCAAAACTCTACAGTAAAACCAGACAAGAACCCATCACCATCAGTATAAAAAGAAAAATTAATGAAAAAGGATAGGTTTCGTCAAGGGCAGCGCCAGTAGGAGGTCAGGGGAAAAAATTGCCCCCTATCGGGACGAATTAAAAAATTGTCGGGGCATGATATAGAATACGTGGTTGCAAAAAGTGTAAAAAACATTATTTGCAAAGGTGAACTCTATTACGCGGTACAAAAGAAAAAAATGGATTTAACATTTAAATTCCACTTACAAAAATAGCTTACAAAAATAACATTTTCGTATCAAACTGTTCCTTAAACGTTTCGTTAAATGTACATGAAATTTCAAATATTTATTATCGAATAATTTTTGCTCTATGAGAGTAAGAAGCATGGAAATTTTCTGAAAGTGCGGTGACTGCGACAAAAAATTTTCTTTATTACAAAAGTAATTTTTAAGCTTATAATGTGTGGTAAATTTCAAAATACAACTGCAAAATACATCGATGACAGAGAAAAATCAATTTAAAATTACATTAAAATGAATCTGTACAGTATGGTATCAAAATTAGTGATTTTAGCTTCTTAGAAACACTTGAAAAAAATGATGTGAAAAAAAATTGTTAAAGTATAAAATGCGTTTAAATTTGAATATTTTGAATTAATTTGTTTGAGCCCCCCTGTAGGGGGAGATCGAACCCCCCTGTCGGGAAAAGTCTGGCGCCATCCTTGGCTCACGTATTGAGAATGCCTCCTTAAAGAATACCATCAGTAGCCTTCACGTGGGCACCAGAAGGCAAGCGAAAAAGAGGCAGGCCTCTGCTAACATGGAGGAGAAAAGTGTAAGAGAAAAAAAACTGGCGAGATCTTGTGCAAAAGACCGAGTGAATCTGACGCAAGAAGATAAGGGCCTTATGTGCCACCAGGAACGAAGTAGGATAAGTAAGTAAAGTATTATCGGCACACTCTTGGCACTGTAGATCAAGGAATGTTAAAATCCCTCTCAATTTTCGAAATGGAATGTCCCTTGCGTCTAGCTCCAACTACCATTTCACGTTAAAAGCTTGTTAATCCTCGTCTTGTGGTCATAATTACATCAGAAAATTACATTATCAAATGAATAACTTGAATACAGATAAAAGTCCTGCTAGTACACTACCCATATATACATTTTGTACGCAATACTAGTGCCATATTTATATGTTACTATCCCATGACTTTCGACAACTCAGCGTATAACTACTGTTATTAATATATTTTGGTGGAAACCGAATGTCTTTGTTTATGTAAAATAAAATTAAGAAATAAATAATTTATCTTTTTGCGAAAAAATACACGAAAGAGAACAAGAATTTAGATGGTTAATGGGTTAAGAACTGAACCCCTTGAACTTTTTAAAAAAAAGGAAGACTAGTAACTATTTTATTTTTAAAATTTGTTTATATGACCAAGAGTGGTCTTTAACGTAATTCAAAATTAATTTCCCGATTGCAAATTCGGCCTGAAATTTTTAACTGTTAGCTAACTCTAAAACATATTAAACTACTTTAAGTATAAATGATCTACCATTCTTCTCATAAAAGTAATTTTTTACACTAGTAAAAAATGTAACCATGATGGATCATCCATGAATAAGCTATGAAAAATGTTTAGTATTCCTCCATGATGTTTACTGGACTCTGTGGAAGAAATCTAGATGTCTAATGGACGAGTTCTGCTGTATGGGTTGCATTTTTTGCAACAGAAGTCCGGAATCGACATAACTGAATTACTTCTGACAATACTAAAATTCTTACAAAAATAAAGAATGCTTACCATATCAATACTCTTGATTTGTAACCAGCTACCACCATAAGAAAATGCATCTTTGTTCGCTAAGTGAGAAAGTGCTATAGCTATCACAAGCAGAAGAAAGCCTATGGGTATGAACACAATATACCATACTGCAGTCTCTCCAAACCCTGTGAAAATGAAAATGGAAACAGCCAATATGAAGATAATGCACGGAATAGCATCCGCATAGACTGAGAAAGTTTTTTCTAGTGTCTTTAAGAGTGCATTGTCAGTCCAGTGATTGACAAAAAGTACTAAAATTTTGCAAAATGTAGCCACCATCGCTGACTGGGAAAAGAGCCATGACCAACCAATAAAGAAAGCCAGGACTTCACTCGAATATTGATAACAGCAGCTGTAGATAGACGGCACATCTTGAGACTGTTGGGAAATATATTCGGCCAAGCATAGACCTGCAACATGAAAATGAAATCAAATAAAGAAAAAGTTAACTTAGCGCTTTGTGTTTAAAGCTGAACAAAGAGCACAATTTTGGTTTTATAATGAAGAACTTTCTTCAATGACGAAACACGGAGTGAAAGCTGTAAAATCAGAGATGCATAAAAAAAATTACAAACCAGTTACAATTAGATAAAGGAAGAGGGACCGAACAAAATAATCAAACAAAGGATGATAGATAAAAATGGCGTGTTTTCATTTTGTGCTTATACACTGAAGAGATTATATTTCCCTGTCTTTATTTTTATCACGTTGTTTGACTTTGCTACACCTTTTCTCTTATATTTTCTTATGTTTTATTATCTCGATCTTGCTTGCTGTCTTCCTTACCATATAAGGAGAGCACTTTCATTTTTCTTTATTGTAACTTGTTTGTAACTTTCTTCTTCCTCGTTGTGTTTCCTTTTTTCATTCTGCGTTTCGATACTGAAGAATGTTCTTCATTATAGAATCATATGTCGGTTATACAGAGTGATTCTAAAAAGATGGGCAAAATTTTAGGAAGTGATAGTACACACCCAAGCAAACAATTTTTATCAAAGAATGCATGGTCGAAAATAAACGCAAAGGTGCTGGCGCATTTAGAAAGTTGTTTGATGCAAACGTTGTTTGATGACGCAGCACCATCTCATTACGTATGGGAAGTGCGAAACTATATGGACGTGACCGTTCCAAACCAATGGATTGGGCGAAATGGTCCTATAGTTTGGCCACCGCGCTTGCCAGGTCTTTCATGTCTCGATTTCTTTTTGTGGGGACAGCTGAAGGCTCTTATGTATGAGACTCCCATTGAATCTGCAGAAGAACTTGTTGCCAAGCTTTCGGCCGCTGCACGGAAAGTTCGTGATATGCCTGGTGTGTTTCAAAATGATCACCTATCTCTTCTTCGCAGTTGTTCTGCGTGCATAGCCGCTGTTTTGAACACTTATTGTAATCACACGTCATTAAATTTGCTTTTATAACTTAACTTCATCGTTCTTTGTGTGTTTTTGCCGCATATAAGAACATAAATTTTGACGCCCTCTAACGGTTTAGCGTTTTGTTTTCGACCATGCATTCTTTGATAAAAATTGTTTGCTTGGGTGTGTACTATCACTTCCTAAAATTTTGCCCATCTTTTTAGAATCACCCTGTATAATGTTGATTTATTTGACATCATTTGTGCTCTTTTAATGTTATTTAGTTTTATATATGAAAAAAAATATCAGTTTATTTGAATTATGTGGTACAACTTAAATGATTGCGTTATAACTATAAGTTAACAAGATAATTACAATTACCGATATTCAAAATTGGAATTTAAAATTTTTATTCAAACATGAAATGAAATTTTAAATACTTAATGCTACGAAATTTTCTCGATATTAATTATACGGAGTCTTAGAAAATCACAACAATGTGATATGGAATTAATGATAATGTTACTGGTCCTGTGTTCCACAACCCCAAGGAGAAAAATGCCAGTTTTTTTTAATAATTTATTTGCATTTCAGAAAATATTTCAGTTAATGCAATTGTAAGTATAAGCATTTTTTCTGAATCTCACTTAAATTTAGATTTGATAGTTTTTTGGCATCTCGAAATTTTTTGGCATTTTGTTTCGAATTTTTAAGTTTTCTTCCAACTTTTTCAAATAAGAAAAAAAGTTTTCGAGCAGTTTTTATTTTCTCTTTTAAAAACTTTTACGTTTATTTTATGGTATTATAGACTGAAATATATAATATTGATAAATCAATATGAGGGCAATAATAAGTTATAAGCATTCAAGTTCTGTAATGATGGACGTACAATTTTCCATTTGGTATTCTCGTTCTTAAGATATAGCGTAAATTGTAAAATAGCATTAAGGACTCCAGCTTTCGACCGCTTTTCTGAATGACAAGTTAAAACTCTATTTTTCAGACTCCTCCCTTTCGAACACAAACATTAAAAATATGATTCTGTGTTTATTAATGTTTAATGTATGTGATTGTTTATCCTGATACACGGCTGGTTGGAGAAATTGGGGTTGTTTGTTCGATTCTGTTTACGCAGTAAGGTGCACGTTAAATCTGTTGTGGTTAAATGTCTTTTCATTGATTGTGATGTGGAAGTTTGGAGAGAGGAGTGCCAGCTCAGGTGCGATCCACGTCATCTGACCAGGGTCAAAACTACATGGCATTCCTACCGTTAAAAACCGCCTATGAAACGCGTAGCACTGTACGAATTTCCTCCTCCTCTTGTCTTGAAAACTTTGTTTGAACTCTCCTCTTCTATCCCCCCCCCCAAAGGAGAAAAATTAGTCGAAGAATTCGTTCAGCTTATTAAAATAGCTCTTAATACGTGAAAATCCTATCATTGGAACAAAACTTATTCAAAATAATATTTTTTCCTACATTAATTTTTCCTCCTATAATATTTTTTCCACCCGTAAGTGTGAATATGATATTTTAAAATCAATTTATAGAATTTAGAAATAAATTGTTTTGTATTTGCAATAATTTGAAACTACTCGCGTGGGATGCGATAAGATTAGTGGAGAGAGTATTAATGTTGGATTTAAAATAAAATATCTTTTTGTGGCTCATTTTAACCTCAGTAATTGCTCTTCAGTTTTCTTTATTTTAGTTTGTGATTGCAGAATTCATATCATTTTCGGTTATATTTAAAATAAAATCTATTTTTGTGATTCATTTTTAGTAATTTCTCTACAGTTTTCTTTGATATAGATTCTGTAATTTCAGAATTTATATCTTTTTCGGTTGAGATTTAAAATAAAATCTCTTCCTGTTATTCCTTTAAAGATTCCATTAGTAAATGTTCAACATGTTTCTTGATAAGGTTCTTATTGTTCGGCGATTAAACAGACAGCTGAGACAGTTAACAGGTGCGTTTTACCTGCAGTGAGACAAACCTCTACACGTGCATAACATTATCTATCATAGGGGCACTCTCATCTCCTTTATTTACGGCTTCCTCCTGCTGTTATTATGTACACAGACGCTTTCTTGAACAAACCACGGGGCTTGAACTTTAGAATTACGTGACTGATTGATGAAGACATCCAAGTTGTACTGCTATTCAAATACATAAAATATATTCTAATGAGAGGGACAGTAAACTTAATATTTGAATGCGCAGCATATGTATGTTAGAAAATTAAGAGTGACTAAAAAGTAGTACAGTGTGTACATAATAAAGAGGATAATAATTTGCATATACATTCTGTTTAGCTATACATGCTTAATTATTATTTAAATCTATATATTACTCCCTTACTTTTCTAATAGTGAACTTAATGTTCGCGTGCACAGCGCCTGTATTTGAAAAAAAAAAAAAAGCTATTAATGCTCTAAATTTCGAAATTACTTTGGTATAGTGAGCATTTGTCATACATAAGAAAGAAGGAAATGATTAAAAAATAAATTCTATTTCGTTATTTTTATTTGAATGTATAATTTTTTTTCTTCCACTTCTTTCTAAATGTTCTATTGCACAACGTCTGAGTTTAAAAAATTAGTAAAGCCTTTAGATTTTAAAATGAAATATTATATATATATATATATATATATATATATATATATATCCTTTCATTTCGTTCATTAGTCATTCATTAGTTTTGGTATTTTGTCTCAGATCTCTCTAAAATCGTAAACCTAATATTCAATTGAGCAACGTCTGTGTTTTGAAAATTAGTAAAGCTTCCAAATTTCAAAATTACCCTAGTATTTATGTGTGCTTATGATAAATATTAATAAATTCATTTGTTAATACATTTTACATAGGAATTCATAATAAGCAATTATAATCTTATTTTTTATATTTTATCCCATATCTCTCAAAAATAGTAAACTTAATATTTGAGTGTAGAGCGCCTGTGTTTAGAATATAGAAATGCTTCAGAATATGAAATTTAGTATCTGATGCCTTTGATAAATAATAAGTATTAAATAAATCATTTTAAAAAAATAACTGTTTTTAATTAATGTAATTCATAATTAATATATTAATTTATAATAAGCAATCACTATCTTATTTTTTTTTTTGTATTTTATCCCATATTTCTCTAAAATAGTAAACTCAATGTTCAAGGGTGGAGGGCCTATGTTTAGAATATAGGAATGCTTTGGAATTTGAAATTTAGTATCTGACGCCTTTGATAGATAATAAGTATTAAATGAATCATTTTAAAATACATTCCATTTAGGTATTCATATTATGAAATTATTTTTATTTCTGTCTTCCTGTACCTCTCTAATAGCAAACTTAGCACGATTTTCAATTTATATAAACTTGATTCAAGTTTAAAATAATTAAAAATCATCTAAGCTTAAAAAGTCGTAATATATCAGATGTTGAAGTTGAATTAGTATTCTTTGCGTCTGTAATAGGATACAAAAATTAGATAAACTATTTAAACATACATTCTATTCAGATAATCATTATATTTTATCTTTATTTTACTATTTATATTTTTTTCCGTCTCTCTCTAACATTAAACTTAAGTGTTCGTGTGTGCAGCGTCTGCGTTTATAAAAGAATTATTTCAGGTTTTGAAGTTACAATTGTATTCTTTCCGAATGAAAATTATTTTAAAAAAAATCATTTTCATTATATTAATGCACAATCATCATTTAATTTTTTTCGCATATCTCTTACAGTAAATTCGATATCTGATTATTTAGCATCAACCTTTAGAAAAAAAGGAAGGCTTAAAAAATTTATACACTAAATTATTCAATAAGGCTTTAAAAAATACAGAATGCATTGATGGTTCGAAAGCAAAGCATCGATTCAATAATACAAATCGAATTTTAGAACTTTCAGTAATATAAATTTCATAAAACTAAACTTCAAATATCATAATAGAAACTGATTGAAAATTAATTAATTCAAATTAATTTTTTGAACCATAAATATTCTAACAGAACGTAACATATATGAGCATAACGTATTAGTTTAAGATGCGTTTCCA